ACAAAAACTACATCTGATGTCCTGAACTTTTTTCTCGAATTTAACCAGGCTTTTCATATGTAAGTTGTAATCTCGAATATCGCGGTAGGTCCTAGGCATAGGCCCTGACAGAATTCTCAGGTATTTAGGTTTGAGGGAAATTCGACGTTTGTTGAATGTTTTACACTTTTGTACGATACTTACATAGTCTTCATAAAATGGTCTTAAAAATCGTACAGGATAAATCTGAAGAAATATAAAGATTTTATATAATTAAAAATAAAGTACCTACAATAATTTGAATTATTGTTAAAAAAGTTGATTTTTTCGTTTAATAACACATATTACATGTTATTAAACTATTCAAAATGAAAAATGTAACTTGGTCAGCCTTGTAACAATCTAACTATAATATATATCTAATGATTTTTTGGCTTCAAAATAAAATGAACATAATAACTTTTCTGTTTTTGTATTAAACCTCTGCTTGAATGAATAGAAAGAATGGATATAAACACCCCATTTGTACAAAAAAATATTCTTAGTTGTATGTGTATTTTTACAAAATAACACAGTACTTTTATATATATATATTTTTAGAAGCTTTTTTTTTATTATTACAAAACATTTTAAAGTAAAAAATTAATTTGTATAATGTACAACTGCTATGAACAGCAAAATATGAGCACGAAATAAATTCACAGATAAATTATAGTGTTAAATCAATTCTTACCCGGAGGTCTACTGATTCAGTTGTTTTTATATTTAACGTTATATTAAAAAAACATAGCAAAAAAGCACCAATGTTGACAACCATTGCTATTTTTTTAAATTTCTAATTAATAGTAAAAATTAGTCTTTCGCAAGATATGGTGTAACTAATACTAAACTGTTATACTCGCAAGACGTTAAGCGTTTGCTAAAGTTTTGATTGTGTTAAATTGTAAAAAAGCCTAAGTAAATAATTTTATACGAAAACATTGGTATGAACAAATGATATTTTTTGGTTTTTCAACTTGTTTATTGATCATACATTATCTAAAAAATGATTTATACTGTTTTTTTTAAAGTTGCAATTCTTTTTAATAAAACATTTACATTTATTTCATTATAACTAGATTTGAATACAAAAAATTGTGTTAAAATGTATACATATCGAGCAGCGGCCATATTTAAACTACATCGGCAAAATGCAAAAACACTTTATATTTTAACGGCAAAAAGCCTATTAAGATGATTAAATAGCTTTCAAATTCACTAATGGATCTTAATAATAATTCATCCCAGTCGTTGACGGTAGACAGTTGCTGTTCGTTGATAATGAGCCGGTCGATTTTGCTCATGCCGGTACCGTTCAAGTCGTTTAAGATCCCGTTGGCCTTTGTCTTGACACTTGCTAAGATGTCTTTTATCTCGTAGGTGTTGAAAGCAATCAACCACTTGAATTCTGATAAAAAATCCGCAAGAAAATCATCTTTGAACGCCGTTAATTCCATTGCGATATCGATAATATTATTTATATATACTTCGACGATTCTCGGAGGCAGTCCGCCGGGTATGGATAATTTTTTCCCAAAAACATGCAGTACAACCGAAAGGTAACAATAAATTCTAGCATCTATAATGTTGATCAACAAGTGATGGTGGTTGAGGCGACCGTACGGGTTGTGTATCCATTTGCGATTTCGCACAAATTCTCTGGTGATAACCACCTCTTCTTGATGTCTTTGTTTCGTCATACTCCAGTCGACATTGGCTTCTGGTATTTGCCCAAACAACAACAGCTGTCCTCGGTCGTCCCAAAAGTGTTTAAGAAATAAAAATTCTATAGTTGCATTGTAATCCGGGTTGGGTAAAACGCCCAAATACTGTCCGGAGTAGCTAAGATGACGGAACATCTTTATGTATGTTCTGGTGTTTTTCAAAACAAAGTCAGATTCCATAGCAGCCGAAGGTAGGTATTTTTCTGCCATACATTTCCTGATGAAATCTGAAATGCCGGATTGCAATTGGACGTCTTCGAACGGGTTTTCTTGGATAAAAGTTGTATTGTCTTCGAACTTGCCGATGGCAATGATTTTCAAAAAATAACTCCAAAGCCATTTGCCCGTTTTTAAATTTTCAAACACTAACAGGAGACCCATAAGTTCGGCTTCCCGTTCAAGACGTTTTATATTATCCTCTTTATCAACGAAAGGTTCCCCTCTTTTTAACTTATCAACTAAGTTCTTCAAGTACGGTATGTTTGAATTTGCAATTACACAAAAACTACATCTGATGTCCTGAACTTTTTTCTCGAATTTAACCAGGCTTTTCTTATGTAAGTTGTAATCTCGAATATCGCGGTAGGTCCTAGGCATAGGCCCTGACAGACTTCTCTGGTATTCAGGTTTGATGGAAATTCGACGTTTGTTAAATGTTATACACTTTTGTACGATACTTACATAGTCTTCAGTAAATGATTTTCTCAAAAATCGTATAGGATAAATCTATAAAAATATATAAATTTTATATAACTAAAAATAAAGAAACTTCAATAATTTAGATATTTGTTTAATGAAACATAATATGTATGTGTGTTATTAAACTATTTAAAAACAAAAATGAACAATTTACCTATTTTTCAACTTAAAATTTTGATGCTTTATAACTTTTTTTTTAAATATTATCGTTATATTATATTTTATCTGAGAACCATAGGCGCTATTGGGAGGCTTATTATTATTTTAATTTTTAATACTTTTCCTGTCTTATGTTTAAAATAAAAAAAACCAAAAGCTTTTTGCAGAGTTGGTAACAGTACTTATTATTCCGTATTATTTATCTATTTCATGTGGCTATCACTCTTCCCATCAGTTCTGCGTTTTGTGAACACTCGTTTTTTGCTTTAAGAACATAAAGATTTGGCCAAGGGTTTGAATGAGACCAGACAGACTTACAGATTTGCCAATATTATAAATAGCAAAAAATATGACACATTTTCAGAACAAGCAAAGCGTAATACTCTTGTATGAAATACCTGTATAAGTTCTGTAATATTGCATACATTTTTATTTTATTTTTTGTTACAAAATAGAAATGCTAATAAGCTAAAGTGTTAAATGTTAAATTAATAAAACAACATACCCGCTCGAAGAATATTAACCTCATTACTTTAAATTTAAATACATGGAAAATGCAGAGCTTAAGCGTTTATTTAAAAGTGACTTTGTCAGTTTTAGTTAGAATAATTTCTGTTGGCCTGTGATCTCCCCGTCCCTACTATGCCCCGCCCTGCTGTACTGGCTTTTTTTATTATAATGTCTGAACATTTATTATTAAGACTACAAATGAATAGAAACACCCCATTTGTACAAAAAAATATTATTAGTTGTATGTGTATTTTTACAAAATAACACAGTACTTTTATATATATATTTTTAGAAGCTTTTTTTTTATTATTACAAAACATTTTAACGTAAAAAAATAATTTGTATAATGTGCAGCTGCTAGTAACCGCAAAATATGAGAACGAAATTATTTCACAGAAAAATTATAGTTTTAAATAAATTCTCACCCGGTGGTCTACTGACTCGATTGTTTTTATACTTGACGTTATAATAAAACAACATAGCATAAATGCACAAACGCTGGCAATCATTGTTATTTTTTTAACTTTTAATTTATAGTAAAAATAAATCTTTCGCAAGATATGGTGTAACTAATACTAAACTGTTATACTCGCAAGACGTTAAGCGTTTGCTAAAGTTTTCATTGTGTTAAATTGTAAAAACTATAAGTAAATCATTGTATACGAAAATGTTTGTATGAACAAATGATGTTATTTGGTTTTTCAACGTATATAATATATACTATATATTGATCATACTTTATCTTTATTATGTTTTATACAAATTTTTACAATTCGACGAAAAAAAGTTATTCTCATAACAAAGCCGTTATTTTACTCTCAAATAAATGTTCATATTTTGGTTGTTTTTTCGGTTACATACATCACATACAGAACTCGAGAATAAGGATAGTTACTCAATCTGGGATACCTGATATTTAAAAATTCATTCAAGTTAGAAAAGAATACTATTTATTAAAAGAAATCATTTGTGTCTAGGGTACATTTATTGTCTAGTTTTGTTCTGACTTCTGAAAACAGTTCCCCAAATTCTATATTGACTCTACTGCTACACTTTATAGTAGTACTGTCACTTTAAAAAGCATATCTCATATTATAAAGTTGCAAAATAAATAATATACTACAAGCACAATATAATTGTAAATGTCTATAACCGATTAGAAAAGCAACAGCACTGCGATAACCACAAACCGACTACTCGAGAAATATCAATAATGTCTATAAGTAATTACTAATTTATCAAAAATAAATACACAATGATAATGTAGTGATTTAAGGCGATAGGTATCTTAATTTCTTATTTTCCCCATTTATAAATTTTAACCTGAAAGTTCCCTGCTATCTACCATCACAAGTCTACCTCCACTTATCTTTTATTGCTGGTGTTTTTTTATGATGTTTGACTTTCGCCATGTATATATTATAATTTTTAACGAAAATTAGATTATTTTGACTGAGGTCAAACAACTGTTAAAATGTTAATATTCCTAAAATAGGAATATTAACATTTTATCGGTTGTATCATGCTTTGTTTTGCTAGAATTACTGCACTTAATTGCGGTTATGACTCTCGCTGAAAATTTATACTTTTTCCACTGCTCTGAGAAAATTTTTTTTTTTTAATTACCAAACAATTGAAAATTTATTAGATGTATTGACCATTCGGTTGTATGCTTAATTATATTATTTTTTTTGGTCGTTGTGCGTAATTTTTGCTATTCGAATAATGCGATGTGTGTGATTTTCTGGTTTCTAACTATAGAGGTCAATGCATGAAGAGCAAACGAGTTTTGTGTAGTGTGCACGTCCATATATACATTTTTTCTCCAACAAAAAAATAACCTAACCGCGACGGATGTGCTTTGCTTAATATCTACACACACGTTGTTAGTGGCAGTGTGTGCCCGGTGCTATGTCAGAGCTCAACAATAGGTTTTTAACAACATTTTTTTTAATCTGATTTCTGAATAAAATAATTGTATTGTTAAGGATTTTTTTTACTGATCAACGTTTTTCAAATCGAACAACACCGCGGCCAAAATCTACTTACAATATTATTAATTTATACAAGCGACGGCCGACCGGTCAGTATAAATGCTACACCTATATTTGTATTCATTTTAAACATATTTAGTTTATAAAATGTAAATTCACTGTGCAATCAAAGTTAGTACCAAGGAGTACGGTATTCGAATTAACTAGACCTTCAGGCTTCATTGGGGAATTTACCATGTACAATTGTCAATTAGCTGTTAGCATAATATTTATGTGTTAATATAGATAGTGCGTACAACACATCTATTCGCATAGTTAATTAATCTGATATAATAACCGGTATTGCCTATTGGTAATAAAAAAAAAATCACCAATTAAGTGTACACGAATAAGATAATATTATATTATTTCTGCGCATTTAATAACATCAATAATATTATAAGAATATAATATAGTAAATTTGTATATCTCTCGGCTTTCGAAACAATTATCGCGCTTATTAAAAATTTAACAATTAGTAATCAAATGTAAATTACTTAATCCAAAATCGCCTCTGGGTTTAATTTATAGTTTGTATATATGTATAGATATATTTTTTAGATTCGTGGGTGCACGTTAAAAAATAATTAGTCATGTTGTAAAAAATTAGTTACACCGAAAAAATTCATAACATAAACCTCTACAGATTTTTCCATACAATTTAAATCTCAATATTTTTTCAAACAAGCCTAATTTAAATGTGCGCTTTGGGTGGTCACTTATTGTGTTGGAACAATAGGTATTAAAGTATATTAAAGTATATTATCAGTTATTAAATACTATAGATTTAGTTCTATTAGAATCTATGGTTTATTATTGGTATTATCTTTATAAATGCACCTTTAAAATAAACTCTCAAATAAGCGCCCCCCCCCCCCCAGTATAGAAATAATATATTAGTCAGAGCACACATTTTGTCAGTTGTCAAGTAAATATAGGGAAAAAATCATCGCATACCTAAAGTATAACTCATAAGTGACTGTCACCATTAATCAGAATCGATATTTTTAGTGTCTAGTCAGTAGTCTGCTCTAAAATACTATGTAAAAGTCATAGCATATGACGTGTTTTAGTCTATGCGTTAGTTAATTTATATTTTTGTATGTATACAATAAGAAGATAAAACCAAACTCGGTGACTGAATACAATAATATAAATGTAGCGGTTCGAAAAAAAATTCAACTTTCCACCGACAACAATACTAAAAATATTCTAGTTGATTTAAACCAAAGTAAATATTAAGTACTAATATATGACTAATGCATAACTAAATGAACACTGTCGACAACAAGTCAGGCTAAAAAATTACAAACGCCTATATTGTTGTCACTGTAACTGACAACTGCTAATCAGCTCATTTGTTTTTATGAATTATTGACATTTTGTGGTTGTCAGACCGGTTTGTAAAAACTATATTTGTAGATATCCGAAGCTTTAAACTTTCCTATTTTCACTCAAATCTGTTTATACTGAAGTAATTTTAAGTAGGTTGACTGGCAAGGTAGGTGTACAATAAGGTATTTAACCTAACCTACACCTAAGACTTTGTAAAGATTTGAATTCAAGATATTCAATATTCGTTGGGTTTTTCAAAACGGTAGCCCAACGAGTGGCCATTAAAATATAATATTGACCTCCGACAATAACACTATAAAAATGGTTACACATATATTTATACCTATTATACCGATTCTTCTTTACCCGTCTTGAGATAATGATAGACTTTTATCTACCTCTATTCAAACACCGTGACGGCTATAATATTATAGTCATGATTTAAATACACTAGGTTACTGCGTTTTGTGTGTTAGGTACATCATAGATGGATCACTTTGTATCAGTTAGTTCGGACGTTCCCCGCTAAAAGCAACACTATACAGGCGATCCTACCGGGGGGCATTGGCCAGCAGCTGCTGCTATTGCAATATAATGGTATGTTACTATTATTACACCACATACAAAATGATATGTATGTGTATAAAAATATTTTATTGTATTTCATTTATATATTATACATTTTTTACAGAACAATATCAATTTTTTTTTCAAGTTCGAGGTTTTTCAGTAGGTAATGTCAGTAATAATAATAATTGTTCAGACTTCGGTTGGGTTGCAACAGTTCAATCCAACAAAATGTAATATTATATTTTATGGAGGGGACCAAACGTGCATTAGGCATACCTACCGTTACCAATTCTCTGACTCCACTACCGCTTTCACATCCACAGTCCAAGACCCTTTGTTTTCATTGATAAATCATTCAGTCGTTATCAGGGTCACATAACACAATATTATTCAGTATTATTCCCCTACGTTGTTGTTGTAGTATGTAGGTACGTTTATTAATATAATAATTAAATAATAATTATTCGTTTTACCAATATATTACTGTAGTGTTCGTTCTTTTATATTTAAATTAATTACCAATATTGTGTCAAAGTGATAATCCAACGTGACCAACCGTGTTTTAACAACAACAAAAATATGCGTGAGCGACGATTTTTTACTATAAGGTTTTGTACAACATAATACTTATGTTAGACTTATGTCTAGTAATTTGTTTTCGGTCGTATAATTTTCTTCGAGTTTATTATACAATATGTGACTAAAACGCTGATTGCAGTGTTGCAATCATTGTTGGGTCTGTTCGCTGTTTGCATACATTTACACAATTAGGCAAATTATTATCTTCAAAGGTGAAAGTTGTCGGTACGACCAGTGAAATTGTAATAATTACTTTCTAAGTTGCTGGTACTGCCAAAAACTCTTTTAGTTTTCATACATAATATGATTATACTTTTTGTGTGTCTTGGGGTCGCAATAGATACTGATAGTGTTCGATTCATACGATGGCAAAGAAACAAAATTAAAATACAGTTGAAGTCTGTTGTAGTAAATTTCAATGGTAACATAAGTTTCAGAACTACAATATTAGGTGTATATTTTTATTAGTGGTCGATGAGTTTACTTAGAACTAGGTTATTGCTGGGACTTGTGTTTATTCGTATTAGTAAGATCTATTATCCTACGATTATGTGATTTGTACAGTACGCATGGAAAAAAACAACCCTGCTAATTAAATTTTAAATTATATTTTTGAAACCATTTAAAGTATTTGTCAAATTATTTTCTCTATTCTATTTTATTAATTGCACACAATATTTATTTGTAAATTTAAAATTGTTAAGTGTACACTGGGCTTTATTAATTTAATAGGTTTTTTTTCTCAAATTTAATTAAACATTTATTGTATTTATAAGTGTATAATAGTAATATGTTAGCTATAGGTAATCTAATGGATTCAGTAATCGGCTTGATCAATTTTATTATTATTAATTGATTTATTTATTAATTAATTTAGATTTGTACGCGACGACAATTTGATAACACTTTGTGATGAACACATTATCTGAAACAGACATTATCGATGAATCTCCTAATGTTCCTAAAAACACCCAAATGGCGAATGATAACGAGTTAATTTTATCGCCGAAAAAACATCTGGTTTGTTTCGCGACTGTCAGAGGGGATTGTATTGTATCGAAAAACGGTGCTTCGTACGCTGGAATTAAAGAGTGCTTGTTTAGTGAACGAATGGTTGAAAACAAAGAAGAGCCAACCATAAATCAAACTATTGAATCTCCAGTTCCTGATTCTGATATCGACAGTGGAATGGAATCGTCAGCGTCTAGCTGGGATAGGTCAGTCAACGAAGTAAAAGAACATGCATTTGCTAGGCTCGAAGAAGAGTTGCGAAAAGCAAACGAAACACTTAAACTAAGAGATGAAGAGGTGTCGCGTTTAAACAGAATACGATCAGATGTTGAATCCGAACTGCAAGAGTTAACAGCTAGTTTGTTTCAAGTAAATATTATCTTCTTTATAATAAATCTTATCCAGTCAAATTAATTATTTTACAACTTATTTATATATTTTAAATAATTATATTTAATTATAACCTTAGGAAGCTCACAGTATGGTTAAAGAGGCAAACTTGCGACAAGCAGCCGCTACAAGAGCTTTAAAAGAGTCTTCGATGAAAGTGGATGTATTGTCTGCTGAAGTAGCAGCTTTAAAGACACTGGTCTTAACATCTACACCGAGTCATCCTAATTTATCTAGAGAGGACAGCGTCTCATTACCAGGTTAATTTCTTAACTACACCTTTTTTCTTTTTAATTGATAAAAGCATTTGCTAAAAATGTTAAAACTAAAAATCTAGAAACTACATGATACATTTTAGTTTAAAACTTGTTAAGAATAAATTGTCATCTAAGTAATTCTTTTTTTTTTATTATTACCTACCTAAATTATTTAATTTTGAATTATTTGTGATTTGAAAGATTCACTTTCGAAAAACAAATATTTGTAATTAATCAATTAATTTTTTTTGGTATATTAATACACAGTTGTCCTTTGTTATCGTTATATTCACTTGAATGTTTCAATTGAAACTCCTAATCGAAAAGTTCTATACAAGTCTGTGTTAGATTTGTATTTTAAATCTAAAAATATGTAAAAAGTGGTTGTTAAATACATAAAAAAAAAAAATTTCATACACAATTAAATGCTGTTATGCAAAATATCTCAATTATTTCTCTTTGTTTTTGATATTTTTAATAATTGAAATATATTCTGTATTTTCCATTTTGAGGGATGATCGCTTTTTGCGCTGTTCAGCTATAGTCAAATTTTATCACTGACTGTTCATTTAATTAAACATCCTGGTTATAATAATTTGCATGCATTCGTAATCAAAAACACTTTCATCGAGCATTTCCACAACGTTATTCTTGTTACAATATTAATTTTTGATATTGCATTTTCAATTGGTGTAAAAGAAAAATACCAATCAGTAAATAAAGCAAACAGCACAGAACAATTTAACACAATGCTGGTCCTCTATAAGTCTATTTGACTTTGTAGATATATTTAGACTAATTCAATATCGTCTTATCTGTATCGTAGTTAATTTGAATTGGTCTAGCAAGGACTTATCGGAGTGGCTGTCACTAGAGTACTATAGATGTTGTACACACTCTTAGATTAAATTTAGAAAGCTCTCGACACAGTAAACTCGTATTATATTTATATTACTAATATGTAATTTCAATTTTTAGGTGGGTTAAGCGGTGTTGGTTTATTCTACCGAAAACATAAGAGATCTCCTTCGCATAATAGTTTGAAGTATGGACGAGAAAACTCACCACCCGATTCTCCCTTGAAACAAAAACCTAACCAGTCGGCTACAGACAGTGAAAACTCGAATACAGTTGAATGCGGCGAAGTAAATAGAGAATTTGTTTTGCTCAGGAACACATTGTGTATTAATTTGATTTAATACAATCCACCACAGGTTGATCCAAATGTACATCGAGAATTTGTTTTATGGATGAAATCGCCAACCTTGGATAAATCGGATGCTTTCATCAGTAGAATATACAGAGAGGATATTGATCAGTGTTTAGAGTTTAATAACTCCACATTAGCCATGGACGTGAGGCAGGCAATAGAAACTGGCAATCTTTTCATTGAATCTATGGACAAAAGCAAAGCCCATTTTCCCAAGTATGTAACACATTATAATGTTCTCTGTATTACGTATCAGAATCGGGAGAGTGAAAAAAAAAACGTGTAATAAATCATTTTATATTTTAGAAAATGTGCCCTGATGGAATTACCATTACAGTGTTTGTATAGAATGAATTTGGGAGGAGCAAACGGCGATTGGTACTGTATATCCAAAATTTGCCGAAATAAAGTAAGTTTACGATAAAATATAAATTTCTCAATTCATACAAAAAAAAAATATATTTTCTAATGAATAAACAAACAAATTGCAGACTTATTAACGTAAATTTTGCTGTGTACAATGAAACATTACCACTGATTTGAATATATGAACAAATTATGTTCTAGCAGGAAAGCTGCCATCTTGTTTCCTAACTTCATATTTTTCTAGGATAACTCGACGTATGTAGCCAAAAAAAAAAAAGTGGTTTCTACTTTTCATCAGATTTCCTTAACTATCTGATTTAATGGTTATAATGTTTATTATTTGATCCAAATTTTCACAAAGAGTTTTTTTTAAGTTAATTATTATTCTATAGATCGGAAACAAAATTGTAGTTTATATAGATTAGTGGCACGTTTTTCTTACGAGCAAACTACACACGATGTGCATTCAATAAATTCACTTTAGTGCACATTACTTTATTTTTTATATTTTTGTATGTTATTAATTTTAATAATAATAATGGTTCTTTATTTAGATAACTGCTGTATGCGATTTCCTCAACTACCTCAAGTATATTCAGAGGGGACTAGTTAAAAGTCCAGGTTAGTACAAAATAAAGTAATAATTTATTTATTATTTCAATAGTTTATGTAATAGGAAAATACTTAAACTTTTAAAACATATTATTGGTTTGAGTAAAATTTAGTTTAAAAAAACAAAAATAAATTCTTAATAAAAATAATATAAAAACTATCAAAAATCAATATTGAACCATTACATAGAAGAAAAATAATGTGTGTATGATAAGGTAATTTATTTTTTTAGGTATTCCTCAATAAAAAAAACAAAATTGTGAATACGGTAACATACCCATGTGTAATTCATTACATTTTTTTGAGTGGTTTATAGTCTACTTAACAATTCCACCGGTATTCTGGAAACTTTATAATACTGTAAAAGAAACTAACAAAAAAAATAATGTGCCTCTTATGTTAAATATTTCATTCTGTGCATCATATCTTGTGATTTATCAACTAAAATCGCATAATTAAATAACAACAAGTATTAAATTAATTTAACACATCAATAGTACATTTTACATTTATAAATGTGTTTGGGATTTTGTTTTTGTTTTTCTTATGTTCTGTTTCGGTTTTCCTTAATACAATTATTAAGCGAAAGGTGTAAACATTTTTTTTTTTAATTTTTGACCTTATAACGTAATTTATGGATACGATATTTGATTTTTAAAGACACTAATCAAAGAATTTGGTCCAGTGGTTTTCACGATATTCTGGGTCCAGTCACGAAAAATAAAAACTGAAGTTCTAAATTAACATTAGTAGTATAAGACTATAGACATTGGCTAGTAGAAAAGTAGGGGTGAAATGTATAAATGCAAGTTGTGCTGCTTGATAACCATCGGCAAGGCTAGAAGTACCACCAAGTACATAAAAAAAAGGAGAGTGGGCATGTTGAGTGTATTATTTTGAACTCAAAGAGTTAAAAGTATTTTAATTATTCAAAATATTTGAAATATCAAAAGTAAAGAACTTACTTACCAAATTTCAAACGCCTCAAATCACTATTTCGAATCTAAATACAATTAAGTGAATTTACTCGTTTGTTGGTCGAACTGACTGAGCTACTGTATAGCATAAATATCAGTGAAATTGTATTTATAACTGCAATAATAATTGATGTGTCACAGTTAATTTTTCAATAACTAATGTTGTTGTTTTTTCCCTAGAAAACGATATGTACTGGGAAATCATTAAGCTACGAAAACAAATGATGATGGCCAAATTAGGATTGGCCTTGTAACCGTAAGCTAAGTTTTCTAAAGTACTTTATGTCAAACCAAAGTCTTAATAAATTGTACGTTTTATCTAAGATTATGTCTTTCAATCCTATGTGATTATTTCAATTTTCAAGTGTGATTAATTTGTGTTTAAAACTATTTTGTGCTAACTATATTATGAAAAGTATTAATTCTTTAAACTCAAGTTCAAATTTGACTGTAATCATTATTGTGTATATTACATTAATGTTATAGACAAATATAATAAGGAAAAACGGCTGTCAATGTACGGCGCCCACCTATCTAAAAATAAATGCAGCTATGTGTAATATGGAATTTAACTTTAGGTTTATGTTACTTACTTAAAATTGATCTTGCCAAATGGAAAATGATTATATTTCGCTCTTAAGAGTGTTTAAATAAATATTTATGAACAAATCCAATGAATATGTTCTATATACTATTGTATATTATAAATATTTTATTAAAAATACAATTACCTATATTATATTAAATTTTAAATATGATCTGTTGTGATGTTTTCTAAATTTTATTTATGTTTTAAGAGTATATTTTTACGTGACTCTATTATTGTATACTATGACCAATTGAAATTTTTATAACGAAAATAATAATTTATAATTGTTTTTAAGATGTTCAATCTAACTTTTTGATTGTTTGAAATTACATACTTCCAAAAAAAAGTTGTCTACAGTTAAATTTAATAATTAGTTACAAATCCGATAATGTATTGTAAAAAATATTATCGAAAATAAGTATAGCCTTCCATATCAATATTTGAGAATTATGTATACCAGAATATTTTTTTTTTTTTTTGTTCGATTACTATATTTACAATACAATGACTTATAACGATTTAGGTTTTATTTTTATTTGCATGTCTTCATGTGTATATATATATATATATATAAATATATACCTACCTACCTACCTATCTCATTTAAATAATAAATGACATAAAATATTATAGTAATAAATATTATTGATAACAAATGTACATTATACTTAATTTCTATTATTTTTTAAATAAATAAAAGTACCAGTAGAGTAGACGGTGCTCTATGCTATTAACAATCATACTTTTTTTATACTTAGCTAAAGACAAAAAAATAATATATTTCACTTAGTGTCGGTACAAACAGCATAGTAAACTTTAACACAAAACTGTCATGCCTTGTAGCTTTTCGCCTTGTACCTCTATAGACTCGTCTGGTTCGTTATTTGCAGACACCATGTTTGGTTCGTTTTGTTGGTTTTTGTTATTTGAATGGTTATTGTTCCTGAAAAACATATTATCTTTATATGACTTTTTGGTAGGTACATAGTTTAGAAATGTCAGAAACGCAATTCATAACGACAACCCAATTGATAAATGTTGTTAAGATTTTGTTTTTAAAGAAGAGTAAAAAATCGTTTGTAAATACTAGGTACCTTCTGCCAAACGCAAGTCTAATTAGATCTGAAAAAGGCGCATCCACGATCAAATACAACGCAGCAGCCATTAGATACGTTTTAAAAGTATCATATATCCAAGCATCAAACTGTATATTATAACAAATAAAATCCATCGGTTATTAAATTAAACACTACTGGACTTGATATGTTTCAAGTTATTACTACAATACAATTCGATGGTGCTCGGGAATACAATAATTTGTTGTTTTTAAAAGTTTACGGAAGAGAATTATCTTAATTATTATTTAAGTTTGAATTTTAATTTTTTAATAATACAAATTCCGAAGTTTAGATTTAGCCAGTTTTTCCGAACACCGTCGAATTATAATAATAATTGTATGAGAGTTTTGTAAGTATAACCAGGTCAAACCACATGTGGCTACCTAGGTTACCTAGGTAACCATATTGGTAGTAAACAAAATTGGGCTTTACACAAGCACCTAGTAGTACTTATAAAGTATGTAATGTAACACATTTTAACGAACAATAATTATTATCCGTCATCAATATTCTGTTGAGCATTTTCTTTACTACTTATTTGAATATATATTTCACGCCTTACTAATGATTTAGCCGACCCGTGGACGGGTAATCTCTGCGAGGCAGACGATATCATCATGACCGCGAGGTTGACCATGAATACATGGTATGAAAGTTTGCCCAATATCACCATGAAACGGTTGCTCAACACCTTCGTCAGAGGACCTGATGATGAAGAAAATTGGTCGCATTATATCCGCTTTCGGCGTTTTCAAGCGAGTATAATAATTAACAATAATATTATTATTACCGTAACCGGTGGTATAATAGCAAATGGATACCCAGACTGCGATCAGAGTCCAAGAACAATGGTTGAATGACGCGTACAAAGCGTGTTCCACAGCATTGTACGGCCTATGCCGTTGGTAGAAAATAGCTCCGGAGAATTGTACCCACAAGCTGAACGCCGTGACAACAAATGTTCCAATATAAACTACGGCCTGATTGAATAAACAAATTATTAATCGACGCAAACCGCCTGTAGTAATTTGTTTGCATGTGTTCTAACCACCTACCACAGGTAATTTGATTTTTTTTGCCCTCAACTTCTCCACGAGAAAAGAAACGGTCAAACCGACTAAATAGGGTACGGCTCTCAAGTAGCTGGCCCTGTAGGCTTCGTCAAATGTCCTATAACTTCTGGGATTCTCGAGAAATCTTAACCGAGAAATATTATTTTTTTCATTATATTAACCTGTAAACTTATTTTGGGTTTAGTGGTACACCCCCCCCCCACCGAGCTGGTTCGAAAAGGATTGAAAATAGGTCACCAAAATATATTTCAGGCCTTGAATATTATTTTAACGTCTTTCAAATGACGTGACGTGATGACACGTGAGTGATGGTGACGCACAATATACCATAGTTGCCGCCTTGCGTGTGGGGAACGGGCGCCATGAGTTTAGGGAAACGTTATCATCTGACAGACCAAGGCCGAGAAACGTGTGTCGCTTGCTGCCATATATATAACTGTGGAAGATGAGGGTAACCTTAGGGTTATATAAGACGCAAGCTCTTGTTATCCTTTTCGATATTTTCTATTACCCGTTCCTAAAGAGAATATACCGGGCGGCGACCGGTATACGTCTGGCGGCGCGCATCTCCCGTAAAAGTCTTGTTGCCCCTGGACTCGTTGGAACTACAATGTAATAATGTCGCTGTGTCTGTGACCGTGGCATTCGAAGCCGCAATAGCGACTTTGATTTGTAGTTCAAATCCTCTGGTCGGGTTAAAGGCTGCATCGTGTGGTCTTCGCCACATAGTGTTTTCACCGGACTCCAATCTAACGTAAGTATTACATTATTTATCGAGTGGTTCGCTTGAATATTCGCGACTAGGAGGAAGGCTCTACAGGACAGGTAAAATGAATGTGAACTGTTATTGTAGAATGTTAGACGTGTCTCACAACCGTCTGGAAACGCTCAACTTGCATAGCGGCATGGCGGAGGTGAATTGCAATTATAACATGCTCAAGACACTGGTCGTCCCTGACACCGTACAGATTTTAAACTGTCGAAATAATCCATTAAAGTTGTGTGGGTTTTGCCATGCAAGTGTTCACTTACAAATTGAACACTGATATTGCAAAGGACCAACAAAAATGTAAGGTGTGCTTCGACAGGTGCACAAGGGCGAACGGTGGCAAATTTTCCACTTGCCCGGCGACTCATTACTACCATCCGCAATGCGTGGCCAATTACACCCGGTCAACGTTGTTAAGATCTCGGTGGCCGTCTCCATCACCAGGAAACGACCCCTCAAATCCAATTGTTCTATAATTGACACACACGTGATCGCATTTTCAATGTTATTATTATTATACACATTTTTGTGGTTCTTAATATATTTGTGTTTTGTTTTTCCAAAAATTGACCTTGTTGATGACCTGGCTGATAATACTCGTCTCACCATCCCTCCCGTGACATCACGCCACGTCACGTGACGGGGCATGCCCCACTTACTCACTCTTTCGAAATACCTATCATGGTTCTATATAATATTGACGTACATAACAACGATTTATAACTGTGAATATAATCAATGTCGGATGTCAGTTTATTGGGACCTGAATAAAAACAAAATAAATATATTTTGCTCATATAATTTTAACTCGAAATAATAAGATACTAATAAATCTAAAAAATATGAAAAATCTATTTTTATAAAAATCCCTACTATTTTAATCCGAAATAAAAATCTAGTATTCCAACTAATAGTTATTAATTTGCTAAAAGTTCTTTACAGGAATTATTCAAACAACTATTTGACATTTGTCTATGACATAAATTACCATGGTCCATGGAATGCAAAAATTACATTGAAATCTCGAAGGAAAATCTTACAAATTAAGGGTGAATTTACTTATGTATTTTGATCGATTTAGAACTATTAGTTGAATTTTTACTTCAAATAATTATAATAAAAATTACTCTAAAAATAGTTTTTTCATATTTTTGGAATTTTTTAATAGGTAATTAGTATACTCTGTTATATTAATATCCAGTAATACGATATCCAACAAAATGTTGACTGTATTCACTGTTTTTATTTTTTTTCTATGGCTTATACAGTTATGTGGTAGGTAGGTTTCGTGTCACCATAAAAACCAAGACCTGACATTTTTGGTGATCTATTTTTTATTCGTTTTGAACCGGCTTAGGGTAGTGTACCGAATTATATTCCTCTAAATCCAAAATAAGGACCACTCTAGCCTACAAAGCACTATAATTTAATATTATGTAATAAAACAATAATAACAAACATTACACTTTTACAACACATAACTTGCTGTCGGTAGGTACAAAGAAAAAACAATATTGATAACTTACGGTATGAGTACTTTATACAGGCCGTCGAATTCATTGACTATGGTCATGTAAAATGGTACGAATAATGATAAAATCAAAAGAACCGTGAGCAATACAACGCCTAATTTGGGTCTCTTCATATAGATCAATATGACTATAACGCCAACGACAAAGAACTGGAAGTCGCACGAAACGTACCAGCTTATGATGAGACACTGTAACAATTGTAAGTATACAATTAAGTAAGTTTGCATTTGCACATTTTCATTGCCTAATATTTCGTTATACAGTTTTCAAACATCATTTTAGAAACAATTTAAGTTTGAACTTGTCGCCTCTGGTGTGAGTTGGGGACTTCTGTATGCAATATACATAGTAGTAGATTTAGATAGATATAAGTACTTGATTTTTGACGTCAATGTAATTGTTAATGAACACCAAGTTTGTCCACCAGTAATTTTGACAATTGTGTACTTCATCCCACGTTTTTGAAGGCCAAAAGGGACCGTTGCCCAGATGAGGTAACACGTGACCAGTAAATGCCATCATCAAACCATACGAAGGTACCAGTCTGAAATGCAAAACGGCATATTATTTGACTCCAAGAGTTCAAGAGTAAGTTTTAATAGGAACACTTCTTACTTGGCAAATCGGTACGCTAACGGCAAAGTTAACTTCAGCCACCACGGTCCTGGTTTTTGAAATGTTGACTTAAGTAGTACGTACGTTAAAAACCCGGTCATATAGAAAAATGGATCGACTAAGTTCATGCTAGTCAACACAATAGAGGGACCGTCGACATAAAGCTAAATGGGAATAGATATTAGTAATATCAATAATAATAATAATAGATATGGGATAGATGCTATTGGGAATATATGTTATTTCGGTATCATTAAAGTTTTAAAGTCTAAGTATTTGTCTAGAAAGTCAAAGGTGGCCATTGACCAAAAGAGATAGTCGAAAACACGTTTGACGTTTGAAAGAAAAGTATTAGAATATATATACGGACCAAACTTAAAACCGGAGATACTAATGTATTATGAAAGAGTAATGAGACTAAATAATAAGCCTCGTCTGTTGTACTTCTATTCTCTTTTATTAGGACAAAACGGTTAGATTGGTATTTGGAGAGCGGATGGACATCGAACTACAAATGTACTTGTAAAAAAATTAAATATAATAAAGACCCCTTGAATGTCTTGACATAGCTACCAAAGATTTAACAATGACCAGACTGCGTATCAAGGCGATATGGATAGAGAAATCTAGTGATGGCTTCTGAATGTCCTGAACGGACTCTTGAGCTGATAAGATAGAAGAGAAAAAGAAGATTTATCGACTAAATAATCACAGTGGACCTTTATAGTTATAGAAGTTATAATTATAGAAAGGTGTAAAACTAAAGAATATTAACAATAAATAAGCAATTTACTCTTGGTATTAAGTCTTGTTACTGTAGACTTTTTGAGTAAATAAAAAACTTATAATAGAATTAATATATAAATCTAATTATATAGATATATAAACATTTTTTTTTATATAAGCGGTTTAGCTTAAATATATATATATAGATTATAACGCTTACTCGTTCCATTGGCTCGGGATAGCTGACAGGGTTTCCTACAAAATACATAAACCGGTGTCCAAATAGTACGAATATCATCACCACCACTTTAAATCCATTAAAAATGTTCAATTCGTTATTTTTGTCGTACTTCAATATGTCTTTGGCGTTTTTAATAATGGAGAACGACTCGTAAATTTTATACTCTCCATCTATAAAAAGTCAGGCATTTTAGTATACAAATTAACAGCTATAGTTTAACATTACTGCTAAACAGTGTTGTATTTAAGGAAGAGGCTGAGGGAACTGAAATTTCAGAAAACATAAATTATTAATTACAGTGGAGTGTGTCAGAGTTTAGACCTCCCTAAATGAAATCATGGCTAAGCCACTGAGATTAAGTTAAGTTATAAATAATTATAATACTGCATCGATACTTTATTTTGGCACTCACACGCATAAGTGTAGCTAAATTGCCTATACTGAGCGCCGCATAGTAGTCCAAAATCAAAAATAGTTTACCAGTATTGTTTTGTACTTGCCCATTTAAAGTGTTGTTTAATCTATGCCTGTGCAATAGCAAAACTATTATCCCTTCGTCAGTGTGTGGGTACATGTTGAACCACATGTGATATTTCTAGCCAACAAACTAACGTAGGGTTAAATGGGTAAAAATACAATTTAAGAGGCCTCTTAATGTACAATAAAATAAGAAACCAAAGAAACGCTACTACCATAGTGTTACTGTAACACTATGATTGCTAACACATTCTGTCTGTGGTAAGATTATTAGAACTAAGGTGTTGACGAACTTCTTGAGATTCTACATATTGAAAATATAATATTTTTTAAGATATTGTTCACACTAATAATGAAGCATTGATTAGTATAAATTATTTATTTACCTGGTATAACTTTACTATGATTACCAACACGTTCTGTCTGTGATAAGATTATTGGAACTAGGGGTTCATTAACTTTTTGAGATTCTACATAATGAAAAAAAAATGTATTAATAGATATTGTTTGAAGTTTAGATAGTATACATTTATTATTTATCTAGTATAGTATCACTATGATTGTTATAATTATAATTAAGTACACTAACTAAATTTGCTTACCTTTACTGCTTTGTGTTTTAAACAAGATCACCAAATGATAGAACGTTGCAACGCAGCAAATAAATAAGAGGATAGCAATCACAGCCCTGTAAATAATAAATATACAATCAAATAAAATAGTCATCTTACAATGTTGACTAATAAAACTGGTTTTAAGTTTTTTCAAATCACTGGGGACTCCATCGACATTTTATTTTTATTAAAAATCTTATCTATATGATACCGAGTTAAAAAGTACTGCACAATGTGGAGTTTGAAAAAAAATAAAAGCAAGAGTTGTGGTAAAATATTAAAAATAAAGATTAATTATGCCAAAAATGTACTTCTGTATTTAAATAATATTCACTTTATCAGTTTTTTTTTCTCCTTTTTATATAACATTATAAAAATAGGATATCAAAAGAAAAACATTGTTATTTAATAATAAGTAATAACTAATAAGATAGTTTTTTGAAAGTAATAATCTGAGATTACCTTCAACTTCACTTATGTCCAAGACAAAAAAATTTTTTTTGATTTTTGTGACTTGAAAAGTGATCTTTGTGTACTTAAAAATTAGAGAATACTAATAAAATACAATTACTTGGCGTCTGGCGAAAACTAAATCCGACGTTTCAATGTAATAAAATCAAAAACCAGTTCATTTTTCTTAATAATACTGATAATTTATGGTAAACCTTCTAAGATAAAGTAGGGGTAATAAACCTGTTCTCTTTTAAACATTTGTTATGAGATAAAGTAGTAAAATTGTTGTTCTTTTCCCGCAAATATATCAAATAAAATATGTATTTCATGATTAATAGAGCAAAAGATAAAAAAAAGTTGTTTCAATAAGGAAATTGAAAAAATAACATAGGCCCTTCTATAAAGAGCTCAAAGACATGTCAAACAATAGAGTAAAAAATGAAAAATCATTTTTTTATAAATCAATCTCCGGAATGAAAAACTTTAAAAAAAAAGTTTTTAGCCAGAACCGCGGAGAAAATGTACAAAATATATATTAAACAATTATTAACTACTAGTATTATATATGTTTTTACCAAGTTATATAATATCCTCTAGTGTAAGGATATGAATCATTGCTGGTGGTACACATGATTGGATCGACTCGAACGATAGGATTCACTTGCTCTGGATTAAATACTTTGTTCAATTCCGTTTGTAAAGAATTTTGCAGATCAAGAGCTGAACAAGAAGCAGGTATGCAGATGCCAATTTTCAAAAGATTTCGTTGCACTTGATCCGAATAATCAACCCACTGTTAAGTATAAACATTCATTATAAGTTACATAATTAACCCAAGAAGTCAACCCGCAAGTAAGTGCATATTTGGTTTAATATATGCTGTATACCTATGTTTATTTTATAAGACATTATTTCACAAAATATAGTCTTTTATTGTGATTATTGCAGAATAAGAATAATAGTAATAATTTATTTAACATATACATATGTTTAATGGATATTTAATGATGGCCGATGTACTGAAACGACAATTGATTGTAAATATACTTATGAAGTATATTAATACCTTCCTAATTTGTATGCTCTAATTACCAAATTGCTCTGATTATTTTGTGAAAAACAAAATAATTAGGTAAGTTCACAGTACAAAATTTACCCCTAGTATTTGATGCCAAGCGTTATCCATATTTTCCGGATAATCTGGTCTTGTCAGTGTGTAATCTTTTTTTGTTGCTGTGTATAATCTTATATCAGCTAAGCAATATTGGCCTTGAACCGGTGTAGCGACATCAATGCATTCGTCGTAAATGCCCAATTGATAAATTTCTCCGGCCAGCAGACCACTTGGGTATCGATTCCAAGACTCGGCCACTACAAAATACCAATCATTTTTAATATCTTTGAGTACAAACAACAATTTAAAACTTTATTATACAATTTGTTATAAATCGAATATTGACAATATGGCATTGGTTTTACTGGAACGACGTTTAAAATGTATAACGCTAAATCATTCCACGTATTTAATGAACTTGACATGATTCCTAGTGTATAAGAAAATTAGATCTTCGACTACTTGTTTGTATAGCGTAGAAGGCTATTATTATATCTTGTTCTGGACAATTAAATGTACAAATAGGAATTGTTTATACGTTTGACAGTTGTAGTGTGTTGCCGATTAATATTGTCATCTAAACCTAACCTAACCGGTTTAGTAGAAGTGTAATAGTTAATAAGAGTTTTGACTTTTGATTGAATACAGACAAGTGCTCTGTTGCTTGGCCTTAACTTAGTTTTATTCTGATACAACATCAGCATCAGATTACATTTTTATGTTACATCACATATTCTGTACTATTTACAATTAACATTTTTTAAAAATTATTATTAGATACATATATGTTATTAAAATTTTAAATAAATATTTTTTGGGAATATTGATAATTTAACATTTCTAGGATAATATATTATAACTTGTACAACAACAATTTATTATTGTATTATAAAATTCAATAATATAATATAGGAAGAGACTGAATTTATAGTAGAAACATTCAGGTTTATTCTTCGAAAAAATAAATCCTACTATTAATTATTTATTTTATTGGCCTCAATTTAATAATTTTTTAGTCAATATTTCATCCAAGTACCCTCACAAGGATAACCGAATTCCTTCCCTTTATCTATTTTAAGTTATAAATAATTTCCAAGATCAAAATTACCAGGTAAAGAACTTATGTGTTCCTGTTTATAATACACACATATTATGGTGATTTTTTTAAGGTCCTACATCAAATTTTTTTCTTATTTACCACCTATATGTTCTAGAGCTTTGTCAACTCTCGAAACTTAAATGGTAACATATGTATTATATTTAAATGCATTTTTTAATCAAAGATAATTTGCCGAAAATGTTCACTGGCCGATGACCAGTTTTAGTTAAATAGTTTTTAAGTTTAAGAACAGGAGAAAGAGCGGAGTGCAGAGTTATTGTTTACTGTTAGCACATTACTCAATCGCACTCGTTGTACATTTTAAGTGCAAAACAAATTCTAATAACAATTTTTTTTTTTTAATTTTAACGAATAATATTCTAATAAATGGCATGTTGTATATAATATTATGTTATTGAAGCGCTTACTTCGGACGGCCCAATAAGTGTTGTTTCTTAGGTGTCTGACATATAGATCTGTCTGGACGCGACAAGCTGAGCTGTTGGTGGATTGCACGGTGAAGTTGGCAAATGCCTTGTAATACAAATCCGAAATCCGTGACGAGGGGAAAGCATAGTCGTCGTTCTTATCGGTAGTAGACTTTTGCCCGGAGACATCAATATCCTGAGCTCTTGAACGGGTAGACACAGACAGTGCCACAAGTATGGTTAAGTACACTAGCATCGAACAAGATATATCAAAGTTAGGTCTGAACACAAACGAGTAAACAGAAATAATGCAAAAATAGTACACACAGCGGTCACTCTATGCCGGTGGACGGTTGCATGATTTATACACACACATGCCTACCCCTCTTTGAAATAATAGAAGAATCCGGGTAAGCAATGTACATAAGAACTTTTAGACCTTGACGACATGTTTACAAATGCTATCAATCAATAGCTGTACCTGCTATTTTTTAATTGACGGTATAGGCCGCTTACAACGCAACGTTTTTACATATTATTTTGAGTTTTTATTCAAACTAAAAAAAAAACTGCGTTAAATGAAAAATGTATACAAAATATTTAGTTACAATGATTCGTTGTGTCTAAGGTAAAGCATCTTAAAAAAATCTAGTTTGAACAAGGAATTGTGCAAAAACCAATATATATTTTTAAATTATATTTAAATTCAGACTTACAGTGGTGCCAACTAAATGTTTGTCTTGCCCCCCCCCTCCATCCCTCTAAACATTATTACCAAATATGACAAATGAAATAAAACTAAGTAGTAATTTGTATAATATTTATAATCCAACCAGGATAATTTTTCATATAATAAGTAATGTAATAAGTATCAATTAGGTTTTGTACATGTTATCATATATAATAAAAATATGTTGGTTTTACAAATAATTAATATAACTCATATTTACAATACCTACTTGATATTTTACAACACTTTTGTTAGATCTGTACTAAAAGGTGCAAAACGTTTGATAATATTGTCTGGATCGACTGGAATATCACATTGACAAGACAATATCATAAGCGCTTCAAGCTTGTCTTCACACGTGGTACTTTGAAGCATTGTTTTCACTAATTTTAATTTAGAGGGCTTTCTCTGGAGAAGCATTTAAGTATATCTATAGAGTTAGTGCAATACAAAGTGCTGTGCAGAGAGAACAGGCAATGTATCTTTTAAACCGGTTTCATTGCACACTATACACCATGCGAATAGTACGTTCACTATTATGAATTAACTTTTAAATATTATCATCAGCGATTTATTTTTGTTTCCTATCCGGGTACAACTTGTAAAATATGCATGATTTTGTGTGTAATGTTTTTGGTAGTGCTAACAAACAGACAAATACTTGTATTTTTATACATATTATATAAATAATACGATTATAAGCTCACAGGATTATAATACGGGGCCATAGACGAAAATGACAGACAACGGCACAAACAAAAAACCAAAAATATTTATTTAATAATTTACCTAACTTTTAATTTTTTCCAAATCTACTTCCTGAATAAATTTTACAGTATTTCGACAAATGATTAATTTCTTATAATATTTTTAAAAAAGTTACTTAATAACTTAATTCTAATATTCGGTAGATTTTAACATTATTTTGTCAACTGGTCGAAAAAACTAATGAAATTTTATTTTTTGTCATTATTTGTAATGTTTTCCCAACTTTTTTTCAATAAATTAATGTAACTCAACATTTTTTAAAACTACATTTAATCATCAACAAAAAAAAAAATTTCTAAAACATTTGCATTTTAAATATTTTAAATGACATACCAATTCGTTTGACTCATCATCAATTGGAACATGCAGGTTTATTTTTCGAAAAAATTAATAAATCCTATGATTAATTACTTTATTTTATTGACCTCAATTTAATAAAAAAAAAAAACCGTTTAGGTTAACCAGGTAGTCAATATCTTTCATCCAAGTTCCCTCGCAAGGATATCCGAATTCCTTCCTTATATATCTACTCTAAGTTATAAATAATTTCCAAGAAAAAATTTACCAGGTTAAGAACTTATGTGTTCCAACTTCCAGTTAATAATATACACATTTGCCGGGTGATTCTTTTAAGACCCTACACCAAATTTTTATCATATTTAGGACCTATATGTTCTAGAACTTTGTCATCTTTCTAAACTTAAATGGTAACATATTTATTATATTTAAATGCATTTTTTAATCAAAGATAATTTGCCGAAAATGTTGACTGGTTGATGACTAGTTTTGAGTAATTAGTTTTAAAGTTAAGCATTTAGAACGGAAGAAAGGGTAGAGTACAGAGTTATGTAATGTAACTCAACATTTTTTAAAAATAGATTTAACAATTAACACAAAATAATTTTTATTTTTCAAAGAAATTGCATTTTAAATATTTTAAATGACATACCAATTCGTTTGACGATGAAGTTATTGGGTACTCTTTACTTTATGAAAAAGGTGCAAAAACCAATATTTTAAACGAGTAACTTCGGAGTGCATGTTAACGTCAAAATTAAGACTTCTTTTTGTCTACTATTTTAATGTTATTTAAGATTGAGAATTCATAAAATTCATTATAAATTGTTATATTGTAAAAATAATGAAATGTATTGAAAAATTAAAAACACATTATTTTAGACATGATAAAAAACACAATTCATTTAAAAACAAATATATAAGCACAATATAACCTTTTTTTTAAATGTTAATTATTTTGTCTAATAAAATATTACTTAAGATATTTATCGACAATTTCACTCAAAAACCAATCTTCAGTGAATTGCAGGTGATTACCAGGAACTGACAAAAAATGTAATCTTCCCGATTCTTGTAACGCCCTAAGGCCAATACGATCCTTAAAATAAAAATAAAAATTATTAATACAATTTATTTCTGGAATTTTCTGAAGAAAAAAAAACAACTGTTATTTCAGACACATTACAGTTGGCTGAAGATTTACACAGATACGTCAGTGTTTTTAAGAAATATAGACAACATAGATAATTCTGAAAACTCGAGAAATAATCTAATGGTCCGTGCAATCTTCGACGATTCCATAAAATATAGAATACTTACTGTGAGGTATATGACTGATTCTTCAAGAGGTGTAATTTGTATATCCTGGCCCGGTGTATAGAATGCAAACCATTCAGTTTCTTTAGGGATTACTATGGTGTCATTGGTAAACATTACTAATACAAAATTTTTTAATTTTAATAAATTATCACGGTAACTTGTGTTGTTTGTTCGTTCATTGTTAATATCTGCTAAAAAATAGCTGCCCTCAACATAATCATTTTCTTTGATTGGATCATGCCAGTATTCTGCTTGGACAAATGAATCTTGAACCCAACTAAGAAAAATAAAACTTATTTTACTTTAAAGCTTTAATATTATTTCATAATATAATTAAACAGTATTAGTATGCTGCACACTGTATCTTATCGTTGTCCTTATTTATTATTAAGATAAATATAAAACTGCTTAGTTTATATTCTCACCTTACGTATGCTTCTTTATCTAAAAGTTGTCTAACATATTCACACCATTTTATATTAGGATAAAGGCATCTAGGCCAACCAAAAACTCCTTGATGTTGACCACCTAACGATATCAAATTTAACATTGGAGGTTTGGGACACCTTTGTGCAACTGCTCTTCTAAAATACAAAAAAAATAAAATATATGTGAATAAGTAATGAGTTTTTAAATCTTTAAGATGATTTTAAATTTACAAAAATTGAGATCCTTGAGAAAATCCAACAGCATTGTAACCATTTTTCAGTCTTGAATCGGCAGCTATTTGTTTACACGCTTCTTTAACTTGAAGATTAGCATTTTTAAAAAAACCATTTATAGCGTCCTATAAAATTAAAAATTGGTTATAACTTGTAAGTATTAAAAATCATAAAAATAAGAGCTAGTAATTGAATTGCAATCGACACGACACTATTCTAAAATGTGGTATGTACCAAAATGTATAACTCTGGTAAAATAAGAGTAGCTCTTTAATACATTAACCGCCATAAACAATATGAGCAATTTCTGAATAACATCAGAAAAACACAACATCTTGGCTTGTAATGTAAACAGTCAGTACATGATCATATAGCGGTTAATGTACAAAGAAATTTCAAATTGTAGTTGTAAATATATGTAAAACATGAAAAAAAAATCAATGGCAACTTAATAAAGATATGATAATATAAATGTGATACCTTTTTAATTCATTTTTTTAAAAACTACCCTATACCTAATATCTATAGATATTCAATATCGTATACGGGGTGATTTTTTTTTTAAGTGATCCATTCAACATCTCAGAGTTAAATCAGTTATTGAATTCTGTTTTTTCCTATGTTGTTTTTATACAATGTGATCTCAATTGTTCACAAACCTTTAACCCCCTTCTAAATTATTTATTTTTAAATCAACTTTTGAAACTTAAACAGTAACGATACTCATATTTTATTAGACTTTTAAAATTAAGAATAATTTTATTGAAAAGGAAGGGGGTTAAAAACATAAGTTTGTAAAAAAATTCAAATCAGATTATATATAATCAATATGGGGGGAAAAAATGTCATATTACCTAATTTAACTTTAAGAGATATGTAGTAGATCCTCTCTGTATAATAAATATAATATTTTCTTGTATACTTAATAAATTATAATCTTGAATTTTTGCCTCGGTTTCTAGAATTTTCCTATAGTTTTTTTTTTTTTTTAAATAAAATAAAACTACAAAAACCTGTTCAATAGAATTCCCAATTCGTAACGATTTCACATAAGAATTTGGTCCCAAATTTTTCTCTAATACTTTTTTGATTCTTCCAAGACTTATTGGATTACAGCAAGTATCACCTAAAATATAGAATTATAATTTTAATAAGAAAAATGTTCATTTTTCAAGTCAAAACTATTCCTAATCGTTTCTTATGTTGAAATCGTTTTAGAAGAATTTAAAAAAAATGCAAAACCTTTGGGAAACTTACTCAAAGAAACCTTAAGACTATAGGGTACTGGCCAATTTTTCAGTCAAAAACTACCCATTTAACTTCTATCGGTCCGATCATTGTATTGAAGCGATAAGACAAGTAGATTCTACTTGAGATCGGTCGGAGTATTTTTTCAATTTTTAATTTTAACCCTTTTTAAATTTGATTTCCAAATTTGGAATTTTATATAATGTTCAAACGTGTTTTATACATAGTAGGAATAAGATATCAAAAAAGTACTCCGACCGATCTCAAAAGTACACTTCAAGACAAATTCAAATCCGATTTCAGATTACTTATCGGATCAGTGGTTCAGCCTGTGCGATGGAACAAAAAATGTATATTACATTAACTAAAATGGCTTTCACTGATAGACAAAATGATTTAAATTATAAATAATACCATGAAACTTATACAAATTAACCGGTAAATTAATTGACATGGTAGAAATTTACTAAAACCATTTTTTTTTTAATACTGTCTATACAAAACTCAGGCAGTACCCAATAATGGTAAAAAATTGGCGGGTACCCAATAGCCTAAATGGGAAATTCGGCATTATTTAAAAAAAAACTATTATAATTAGTAATCCCAAACAAAACGATTTAGATTTTAATGTGTGTTTTTTTTCTATAATTATTAATATTTACACGAGATGATAATATTATATCTTACCCATTCCGTGCCATAAAACAACAGGTGTGGGTACGGTTTCAACCTGGTTAGTGTGAGTTACAAGTAAAATCGTATTAAAAATTAATATAGCCAAACAGACGTTGGCGATTCGAATCATTGTAACTATATTATTATCAGATGATGATAATAATAATAACATATATTATTATTACTGAGACGTTCGGTGCAACAATTTATATAATCACTACATGTGATGTGTCATAAAATTCAGTGTTTCGTTATTGGATTACAATAATAATTTAAATGAAGTTTGCGCGCAATGCGCGGTAGTATTATCAGATGTTGAAAAAACAGAACAAAATATCACAAAATATTATTATTAGTGTACAATAGGTAGGTATTTGAATAATTTGATTGCAGAGTGCAGCGGCCGATATCCAATGTTACAAATATTCGAAGGGCAAAGAAAACCGGAATTATTACTTGATAACAAATGATAATTTGATGGTTACCAGACCGTATTATTTTGACCATGGTGTGTATTCATCGCCATTATCAGAGAACGGTTTTTGTCTTCCGTTTTTCGTATAGATGATTCATGTTGTGATTGTGATGAGAAAAATTTAATTTTTCCACCGTGATAATTTCGTTAGTTTTGTGCTGACCGCCGTTTTTTTATTTTTATTTTAATAAAAAAATTGTTCCTATATTGCGCGTGACAATTCACAATTCAACTACAGGTACCGGTTTTGTACACAACACATCAATAACACTTGGACTCTACACTCTCGGTGGCTATTCTGACGGGTTTGCACTGTCAGATAATACCTACAATACCAGATGCTTTATCCCGTAGATTTGAACGCGAAATCATTAAAGTAACGCCTTTGTTTTCCAATATAACTGTCCAAAAACGTAATGGCTAAAGAGTATGACCATCTGTTCAAGTTGTTGATAATTGGAGATAGTGGTAAGAACACACAGAACGTTTGAAACCTTGTATTACCCTTGAATCATAGGTGTCGTAATTAAAAAAAAAAATTTATCACCTGACAAAAATTATACACACCGCGTACTTAAATTTACAGGTGTCGGTAAAAGTTCACTGCTAGTCCGCTTTGCTGACAATACATTTTCGGGTAGTTATATAACGACAATAGGCGTCGACTTCAAAATCCGAACGGTCGTGGTTGACGGAGAAAAAGTTAAACTACAAATATGGGATACGGCCGGTCAAGAAAGATTTAGAACTATCACATCCACGTAATATTCATGAATATTTACATTTTGTAATGATATTTTTAGTTATATGTATTTTTTTTTTTTTTTTATCAATTATAGATATTATAGAGGAACACACGGCGTCATAGTTGTGTATGATGTAACCAATGGAGATTCATTTGCAAACGTTAAACGGTGGCTACATGAAATTGACCAAAATTGTGAGGTCGTTAATAGGATACTAGGTAGTTAATGTAGTAAATATTTGCGAATAATGATCAATGTTAATTATAGTAGCTAACTTGGTTTTATTTTTACTATTTTAACAGTGGGAAACAAAAACGATGCTCCAGATCGAAAAGTAGTGCTCACGGAAGATGCTAAGAGATTTGCCGATCAAATGGGCATCCAATTATATGAAACTAGCGCCAAAGATAATATAAATGTTGAACAGGTAACAGAGATATATTTAATTTATAAATTAATTACGTAATTTAATTATCTGATCCCTGATAAATCCTGATTATTACTTAACACTACATACTGTAGTATTTTTTTTTTGTCATTTCTAATAAATTGACTAAAGTGTATTTATTCTAAGTGTGTTTAAGTTTGTTAATCACGATATATGGAACATCCTATTCGTAACTGCCCTAATACTAAAAAACATTTTTAATCACATTACTGTCTTTAGGTACAATGCTCTTATCGATATTTATATTTCTACCATTAAAGATTCTGATTAAAGCTTTTATTTTTTGAAAATTATTTTATCACGTTCAGTTGTAATAATTCATATAGACCTGTAACCACCCCTGCCCCAATATGTTCCGTTTCCACTATTCCCTAACCCCACTGTCCTGGCTTTTATTTGTATGAACTTGATTATTATAAATTACTCTCTTTGAAATATTAAACCTATTAATACTTTTTTCCTTACCTTATCATATTTAAAACAATTTTAAATATAAGATAGTTATAATAGTTTTTATAATTTTTATTGTACAGATGTTTATGTCGATCACTAAACAAGTATTGCGGAATAAAAAAGAAACCAAGGAAAGACAAGTTCATCAAAGCGATGATGTAGTGTACCTTCGAAAAGGACATTCTAAAGGAGCAAAAAGAAAATGTTGTTAAAATTTGTTTCTGCCTCTGTAAGTTTTTTTCCAAGTTTTATGCTATAATTAATTATAACAGTTATTAATTAATTATAACTTTACAAACTACTATTATTATTTTATTTTATTATTATAATTTTTTTTTTTTTTTTATGTTACCACATACACTTTATATATATATTTATAATATGTGAATACACCAGCTCAATTTTTTTATTTCACATAAAAAATACATACTATTTTAAATTTTAACTGAATTTATCTCATTTTTTTTAATTAGTTACAATATTTAAAAATACTATATGATCATTATAATCATACATACTCTGTTAGTTATAATTTTTTTTTTTCCAACAATTTGGTGCTGAATTATTATGTCAACATTATAAATGAAATATATTTACATCTTGCCTTATACAAGTAAAATAAATGCTGGTATGTGATAATTTTATAATATTTTCAGGTATATTGCTTTATAGTTTAAATATGTATAAAAATTATTTAAATATATCAGGTTCATCTTTTATGAGAAATAAATTAATATATTAAAAAAATCTTTATAATTAAGCTTTTGTAGACAAATATAGCAAAAAAAAAAAAAAACGATTTAATGTATACAAAAAGGCATACTTGAGTATACAAATAAAGTTAAGAAAAATATTAAAAGCCTTAATGTTATTTTAAAAAAACATTAATTTCAAAGCAATTCTAAGTTAAAATTACAATTTTATTACTTTACTTTTATTACGATTAAATATTTGTTATCTATGTAATTAGACTCCTAATTAATGTGTGTAAACTTATATATACATACCAATTTTTTAAATAATAATATTACATAACTATTAAACTTTTTTAGGTATCTAACATAAAAAATTATCAATTAACCTTTGGGTTTAAAATAAATGTTATTAATTAGTAATTAATGTTTCTCTTGTTTATCAATATCGAAACTTGTTGAACTTGTTAGCTTGTATATCAGCCCTATTTTTACTTATGGTATTTTGTGGTTAGGATTATATTTTTTGTTTTAAGTATTTTATCAGAAATTAGTCTTACAATGCCATACCTCCAGTAACAAAATTGTTTTGAGCTCCTGATTTGATTTTTTTTATTTTTTTTTTATTTTAGAACATTCAATTTTAAATTCAAACATTCCAAAATTGTATATGTGTATACAAGTTATAAAAATGTAATTTATTAATCTATAAAATTATATTAAATTAATAATAATAAATATGCAAAGCGATTATACGAGATCTTAAAATTACAAATAAAGATTCCAATTTATTGTAACTTGTATTTCTACTATACTACTATGAAAATATTAAATTTATGTGTTACAAATCTGTAATTTTTTTGTAATATACAAACCAATATGTATAATAGTAAAATTATGTAATAATTGGGTTAACAATGTTGTTTTTTTAAAAGGAAATAAAAGTTTATACAACTAAAATTTCTGTAAAATAAAACCAAATAAAATTTGTATGTGCATATTATTGTCTTCCATTATTTTGTTGTTGAATGTAAATAGGTATGTAAATATGACATTTTTATTATTTAGTTTATTAGATGGCATGTTTTTGTATATTATAATAGCTCATAGTTATTAATAGCTAATAATATATTATGATTAAAATTAAAATTGTCATTATAAAAATATTCTCATTTGGGAAATATTTTTACTAACAATTAAAGTATTTCAATACATTTCTTGCCTTCGAGTTCTTCATTACGATAATCCAAGTTTTTTGCTGCATTTTAATTTGTTGCAAAAATATGATATAATATTTATTTGATTTATTAAAAGTGAAAAAATAACAAAGTTTTATTTAAAATTTGCTTAAAATTGTTCTTGAAATTATTTTTATGGATATAAAATGTATATAGGTCATGAGAATTTGACACATCTATATTCAGTATAATTATTCGGTTATGTTTGTTGTTTTAAATTATTACTGAAAAGAACAACTATTTTAAAGTAATTACATATATTTACAGAAATAAAACAAATTATATATTATGTATATATAATCAATCATGGTTTGGGGTTTTTTAAATAAGCTATTGACGCATTTTCATGTTTTATTAATTTCCTTTTGAAATAGACATTAATTATTGACTAAAATTATAATCTTTGGATTGACGATATTTGCTATTTCATTTTATTTGTCAACCATTATTATGAAAAATTGTCTACCTTAACATTTAGCATTTAAATGCAATTAACCAATTTTTTTTATAGTTATCCAATTTAATATTATAATATTTGATAAGTTTTATAACTGATATCAAATGTATAAAATATGCATACGATAGTGAATAGACGCGTAACTTAACAAATTATATCTATTCTGCTTTTTATTGTAATTTAATTTGAATAATGTAGTACATGTAAAAAATATTATTATATATATATAGGAATATAATTATTTATTCAATCATTATTTGTAATACACCCTGTGTATTCTAAAATCAAAGGTAAACTAGTGTCGAGTGTTGTGTTTCTCAGACTTGTTTTCTTGATAGTTTGACCACAGACTATATTGTATACATATTGTCTGTGATTTGACGTTCATTTTCTTTGCTCTCATGTTTCTAACTACCTACCTGTGTTATAACATATTATACAAATATATATATATTTGTGTACAAGGTGAATTTCTAAAGCGATTCATTCAATACTTCATATGGTTTAATTAGTATTTGATTTTTTAGTAGTGTTTTTATACAATGTGATATTAATTGTTTACAGACTTACCGAAAACCAGTTTTGAGTGATTACTTTTTGAGTTATAAGAGTTTAAAATTTAGGACGGGAGGGGAAAGTGTGGTTGAGTAATGCGAGCATATTAAAATAATAAGACACTCCGTCCTTCCTTTTGTTCATAACTTAAAAAAATAATTATCCAAAACTGGTTGTCGACCAGTCAAAATATTTAGTAAATTATTCTTTGTTTAAACATTTGAGAAAATATACATATAATGTATACGTTACCATTTAAGTTCGAAAAGTTTGTGAAAAACTAAGATCAATTTTACATGAAAAAAATAGGTCAATTTTCGAAGGTAGAAAAGTCGAAAAAACGACCACAGTAATCAAAAAAGTTAAGGTAAATATGTGTAAAAATAGGATAGTTTCCTTTTTTTTTTTTACTGTTTTTTTGTTTTTATGGAGAATTCAATAAAAAAATTATCTCAGCTCACTGGAAAAAATATTAGCAAAATTCTCTAATTTTGGGCGACACGAAAAAAACCAACTTTTTAGATTATAAACTCAGTTTTATGATTTCCTGTAACTCGAAAAAATAAATCAATATTTTTTCAGAAAGCTGAGCTTATTTTACACGAGAAACTGATTTTTAATACATTTTTTTCATTATGGCCAAAATAATCCAAAAAAAAATTTGAAAATATTTCTTTCATCGTTACAGACATGCAGTATAATTTTCAAAAAAATCTGAGGGGGGATACACTGAGAAAAATAAAATTATGTACTTCTTAAAGACCTTACGAGATTTCGATAGTGGATCACCCTGTATATCATGTATTATGTATACACATACAGGCTATTTATGGCTACAAGTCAATAAGTTAACGAAATGGACGAATAATAAATTAGTGTAATTACTATTATGATGGCGGTAAGTAAACACTTAAGGGTTAAACATGGCGAGATGTACCTGTACAAGTGTAAAACATTGTGACGTCAACGGTAAACACTGTTAAAAAGCGAATCGGTATTTACAATAATAATTAGTCGGTTGAATTGTGTTGTGGCCCACTTACTTATACTGTCTCAGGTTGGAATATAGAGGCATAACATATTTTTATTAATGTGTTATTGCTCTTGCCGGCCAGCAGCACCAGTGGAATTCCTGCGAGAACATATAGTGTTTACTATGTTTGACCTTATTAATAAAATTATTAACGCAAGTAATCCGAAGCTAAAATTTGTATATCTACCTACATTATTACCTTTACCGATTTTCCAATTAGTCGGCGGTCTTACAAGAATGCATTTTCTTACCATAAATCATATGTAAGTCGACGCATGTCACAAATTAGCTTATACTTATTAACAGACATTGTTCAATGTCAAAGTATTTTTATGTCTTTTCAGTACCGAGCTATGTTGGCATAGTGATTAGTGTCTATAATACTCTAATAATTGTATGGAATCGCTTAATAAATAATAGTATTAATAATCGGTAAACGATTTTACCAAATCGATTGTTTTTTTTTTTTAATATTAAATTTCTCAGTTGGATGATTTATTTAACAATACAATATTGTAAAATTATTTATTATCTTTGTATTTAATCCTCAATGGACATTTTTTATTCAAATTTCATGACGTCATAGATATAATGCATAGGCGTTACCCCCATATAACAACACCAGGATCTTTTTTTTTTTTATTAAAGATCAAAAATTGTTGTTAATACAGCAATTGAAAAAATTCTGGGCCCCTGTACAATTTTGGTTTTTGAAGCTTTTAAGTTTTGCCTTAGAGGAGGCATCTAGGAATGATGAAAAGAGGCTAGAAAAAACATTTAAATACATGTAAGCAATAGGCATGGAGTTAACGTTTTACATGGTAAAAAAATTCTAATATATTATAATATAATTTTTAAAAAAAACATACACTTTTAATGCATACAATTTAAGTACATAAGGGAGAGGCTTCAGCCCCCCCCCTCCCTTTGTATCCACCCCAGTTTTTGCCAACGGTTAAATCGTTTTGAGGTTAAGCAATTTTATTTTTAACCTTAATTACACACTAGATTATAAAGTTGATAATTGTAACCATTATGTTTGACCAATATTCTTGTATGTGATTTTTTTTTTTTTTTTCATTTTGTCCGAGGTACGTTGTAAGTTAGCCAATATATACCATGATATCTAGTCGTAGTAGGTATAGATAACGGTAATAATACTATAATATATAATTAATGTCTTATTGAGGACGACCACGGCGAAAGTCTATGGAATTGGTTTTGGTAAAAATCACAGATTAGGTTTTATCTAATCTCTGTGGTAAAATATAGCATAGGGGAGAGGGGATAATGATATAGAAGTGCTTATTTAATGTTTAAAGTATAAATATATTGAGCCGTGCGGATACATGTGTTTCATGATGTTGTATATTACAATATAGTCTACACTGTGGTATAACTTTTGAGTACACGAGTGGTTAAACGAAATTGTCTGAACCCATTTAAAAACAAATTATAGGTACTCTACCGTCCTAGTTGATGCAATATTCATTATGCGTACATAATAATGTTCCTAGGTTAATGCATGTGTCGTGTAAAAGGATATTATTGTAGGTACTTACTATCCGTAAGTCTTGCATGTAAGTAGTAGAGAGAGTATGACCCTTTAGACATATTATACCTATAGCTGTACCAGTTGTTCGGATTGTTTGGTTTATTTTTTTTAAAGTGATTTAATCATCCAGTCATTTGTTTTTTGTTATTAGTTTGCACTGATTTTTGTATTAGATTTGTCAATGAGCTCGGTCAACGTGCCACAGTGACTGTAATAATGTTAAATTCTTAACTTTTTCCGTTGTTCTTTCCTCTTTTCCTAATTACTTTCATCGCAATTATGTTTCCATTGTATTATTCTCTTCAATAAAAAAAAACCGCTCTCCTAAACGATTAAATAAATCTGCGGTGTTCAGTCAATAATAATAGGTGTAAATAACGAAAAACATGGCATTTAGAAATTAACCAAATAGTAAAAGTTTATTATGAAATTAGCGTTTTGGTTATTTAAAAAATTATATACACTATACACAGTTTGATAATTGATTATAACGGATTTGAAAGAAACTGGATAATTCGTGTGACATCCTTTGGATCCTTTCTGAAATAAAATAAAAAAATATGGTCTTACATTGGAAGAGCTTTCTTCGATTCTTCAAGGAATAGCCACCGTAGGACGTTTCCTATTCGTTTGGACGTTTTTCTCAAGTTTTAGATAGAATTGCATTTTTTTATTTCCTTTGTCACTTATACTTTGTTAACTAAATCAAAAAAATTGTAGTGATCATTTTTTGATTTTCATAAAATATTGTTTTTTTTTCTAATACGGGTTCCCATATAAATACATTTTTGATGATTAATTCACAAAGTTTATTATTTACCTTCGTTTTTGGTTGATTTTTTTTTACATATTTTATCATATTTTTTGTCGTATTAGACTTTGTTCACTATTTAATTTTTTGTTCACTTCATTATTTACAAATAACATTGTTGTTTGCATATTTCTTACTTATTATTTGTACTACAATGTTAAAAAAAAAAGTTGTCATGCTATTAACATGGATATATTTTTATATTTTTTCATCCATTTTTTTCGTTTATTATACTTATTGATTGTTTACTACATTTTGAAATTTTAGTAATTTTTTATTAAGAGGACGCCACACCGCCCATTTTTAAGGAGTAAAGAATAGGCAATTTTTTTACAAAATTTTAACTTAAAGGTTAAACCGTGATGTGTAACTAATAGTTCAGTAATTAGGACTCTTTTTTTGGTAGTTAATATTTCTTTTTTTTAATTTTAATTAGTTTTTAAGTAGATTTTTTTTTAAATGAAAAATTAAAATATCCCTTGTTATCCATATGCAAGTAAAAAATAATGCAAAAAGCACTTAGAGTTGAGCTAAGAATCTGAATTTTTGGAAATTTCTTATTTGATTATAAACTACTTTTTAGACAAAGTCGAACTGTATAATATTTTACAAAATTGTGTTTTTTAATAAAATGTTTTTTTTTTAACCGCAATTATTGCATTAATTGAAAGTTACTCGAATAATTGATTATTTGGATAACATTTCATTTGAAGCATAAAGCACACATTTTGCCATAAAAATCAACTAAAGGAAACGGGATTATAAGGCGTAAAATTTGCTAGATAGTAAACTAAGTGTTAAATGTTAAATTTATATTCAACAACCATTAGCCTTATTAATTAAAATTTTAATTTGAATACCTGGAAAATGCAGAGCTTAAGCACCATCGAATTTTTGATTGAAATTGCGCCTATGTGTATGTATACATATATTGCATGTAGTCAAAATGCAATCAAATATTAAATTAAAAAAAGCAACTTAAAATGTCCATAATAAATTATAGCGTACAGCGTATGGGTCCCTGTCTTTTGTAGAAGTGAGAGCCAAGTACTGTAGTTTGTGATGTTCCATAAGTAAGAAATATTGATAAAAAAAAAGCATTTTTCAGTCGAGTCTGCAACCACGAAAGAACATTTTCATGTCTCGTTGAAGTACCGAATAAAATTAGAGTAGTTATAGAATGGAGATAATGAAATGGTATATTAACAAGCCGTAACAAGCTAGTATCTAAGGTGGCTAGTAAACATATCAAGTTGCTGTCTAATATTTTAGTGTTTTTATAATATCTGGCCTAAAACAATTCATAGGAATATGACCTCTTAAATTATTGTACTTATATTTCAGTTATAGTTTGATCATTGTGAAAAGTTAAAATCCAACATTTGAAAGTTGCACAGGTTAAATTACATTCTATTATTACCAGAATTATTTCTCAAACGTTATTTACAAAATACTGTTGTTAAAGAAATGAGCGTAGTCCGTAGAAGACAAAAATTGTATAAATTATAATAATACACATTTTAGATTTAACCGTTTGGAATAATTGTCAATTTATTTTTTTCCATAGCAATTACAGTCCAATACTAATATTACTTATACAATTATATTTTTTCAGAAATACTAAATGTATTTTGGTGATATTGTAAGTTTCAAAAATATTACAATTAAATGATTAAAATGTTTTTAAGGAAAACTGCAACTTGAATATTTTGAATAATATATTTTATTAGGACACTTACGACTTCCATCCTTATATATTATTATAAAACGCAATGTCTCTTTGTAGTTTGTCCTCTGTTATGTTCTCCATAATTTGCGTCTTTTACAGTTTTTTTTAAAAACATTAAAAAAAAAAAAAAACCACTTAGATTGTGGTTATTATTTGATATAAAGAGTATAAGGATGTATAATTAACGTGAGGCCCCTTTAATTTTGCAGCCATACATAGGCACACGCCAATGGGAAGAAATACCCCTGGCTGTTTCTATCAATATTTCCTTTAACGGAGAAGAAGAGGTTATTTAATTTTTTGCCCGTCTAAAAAACGCGGTCTATAGGTTGTGGATATTTTTAAGATATTATATCCGTTTAAACGACTGAAAAGTATAATCGTGAGTATCGGCTTTGCGTCGGAGGTGAAAAAAGTCAATGCATATGCCATTTATAAAGCCTTCTTTGTAGGTACAGGTACGTGGCTCGCGTCCACCGCAGCGTTGTTATGTTAGGAAGAAGGTGCGATGCGCTCAGCCGTTTTGCCGCACAAGCGTGAACACCTCGGCCCTGGAAGGCAGGCACCTATGTACTCTCGTTTAATACATATTCTGACAGCTTGTGCTGCAGCAGTTAACGTACCGTGACTTTTCGTGCGCGCTCGTGTTGGACGAACAACAAACGAACACGGAAAAATGGAGAAAAAAAAAAATAAATAAATAATTAACAAAAAAAAAAAACAAGTCACCCGAGTCTCTCCATAGAGGTCTAAATATAGGCTCCGGAGAACCGCGTAGGTCTGCGCGGCCGTCACAGCTGCTGCTGCTGCTGCCGCTCGGCGGACCGCGGGGATCGGACTTCTCAATGATATCTGCGCGGACGATCTTAATAAGATAATATTCAAATTAATGGCTCGCACAAGTGTACCTACATACTACACGCGTGTGTGTGTGTTTTGCTATATTATAAAAAAAATTCGTCAGCTCCGTGTCAGCCGGCCCCGGATCAAGGTTAAAGGGAGGACCCGTTTGCGCGCGGGGTCAGTCGACCGCATTCCAATATGGCCGACATCGGAATGCGGTGCGTTTCGGCGGTGTGTGTGTGCGCGCGTGAGAGAGTACCTGCTGTACATACTATACCTACTACAAAATATATATATATATATGTATAATAATAATAATATTATTATTGTACGTTTTTCCGCCTGCCTGCCCGTGCCTTCTTATATATATATATACACACACATCTTGTAAAGCCAACCTCCTCCACCGGGTTTCACCGTTGCGCTCGGAGCGGCGCAGTGCTCCCGGGCGACGGCGAGTGAAATTTAGCGGGCGGCACCGCCTCCGAGGCCCGCCGAACCGAGATAACCAGTGAACACCAGGTAGGTGTATAACTAACTATAAACGCCGTTGTGTGCAGTTGGTCGTGTGACTCGCGTTGTGTTCTGGCTGCGGCCCGCGATAATAATTAATTAATAATAAATTTTAAATTATTGTTATTATTATTTCGCGACAATCCGGTAGGGCGACAATATATTTTAGTACACGAGTATTTTATCAGCGGTACGTAGGCAGTGCGTTTGGCGCACGGTTCCACCCCGACGACGATGGGTTCGCGTAGTGCCTGCAACGGCTTTTGCTGATCGTTAAAGTCTCCACGACAATAAAAATATTATTATTATAGTATAATAATATTGTGTATAGCTGGCTGAAAGTCTGTCTTATTTTTGATCTCGTTATCAACGCCAACGGACGTTATGCAAACCCATCTGGCAATGGTCGCCTCGGAACTGTACCCTTTGTGAGTGAAAAAATTTTACAACATATACATATCGCCTAAATTGAATTTCGAAATAAGAGCGATAATAATAATTTATCGAGGGTTTGCTCGGATGCCAATGACCATAAAATATGTATTTGAAAATATCAAAATATTATGCAATTATATGCCTTTATTGAAATCGGCTAAAAAGTTTTAGACGAGCTTTCCAATGGCCGACTTGACATATACTGTAAATAACATTTTACTCAGGTTAATTATTTAAAAAGGTATTGCACGTATCTTGATAAAGTTGAATTACAATTATTATGGGGATGTTTTCAAATTTATATGAACAATGATGATTATTTTAGAAATTTTGGACTATATTTTATAACTACAATTTTCATTTATTACTTTTCTCATATTGTGTATAATCTTCTTTAGCTCATACTCGTAAGTTTGATTAAAGATAATAATAATATAGAACATTTCTAATAATTATACTTAAAAATATGCTACTAAATCTGGAAATAATCATTATAGCAAATATATGCTCAAATATGCAAATATATGCATCATAAGTTTGCTAATTTGAAATCTAGTCCTTGTGAATCAAATTTACATAATATTTGGGTATAATTCTGATTTCACTAAAAAAAAATGCAGTCGTAAACATTCGAGCTTTAATAATTACCCTAGTAGAAAGTTATAGAAAGTCTTTAATAACATTTTCCACTTCTTGCAATGATAATTATATAATTGTTTTATTATGAAAGTAATGCTTTAATGTAAAAACCTATAAACCTAGACCAACTTAATTTAACTTTTTTTCTTTTTATGAAATTTTTACCACTAGCACATTATTATCTCGGCTTGATATTCTATGTGAAGGCTCAAAAATTATAAATAGAACTTAATAGACTTTATATAACAACTCAAGTTTCAAATTATTGATTTCACATAACTCCCCAAAAATATTTTTTTCCTTTAATAATTTAGAAGTTATTTTATCTACAAAAGAAATAAAATAATTAAGTAAAAAAACAACACAGAAGGGGCAAAGAGATCACAGGTTTTTAAAAACTATTATCACTGGAAGTGATTAAGTCGCTTTCAAAAAACGCTTCAATCCAGATGAAAAATTATACATTTAGGTATTAGGTAAGGGGTTTATTATAGCAATAAAAGTAACATAAAATTCTTAAGGTACTAATTGAATTAGATGCTTGTAATTCAATAGAATTGCAGTTTAGCTATTTAATTGTTTTGTCTTAAATATATCCATATAGATTGGTATTATTGATTGTTTTATAGAGCTAGGTATAAAATTTGCTTAAAAATGTCCATTTAAATCATTACTATATAAAAAATAGTTGTGGTGCATTTTGTTTTAGCTGAGGGTTGTACTTTTAGTGTAGCACTTAGGACCACAATTGTATTTTTAGTGTCTATTAGGGTAGATACGATTATAGTCTGTCTATTCTGATAATTTTTATTTCATTGTTACCAATAGACAATATCGTAATCAACAATGTAATGAATATATTTTCCTTTATAATAAATATTAGTTGAAAATATTTAAAGTATTATAGTGTTTTTCTCGATATTTGTAGGGTATGATGTGAGATTTAAGTCCCTAAAAAGTTCTATATTAGACCAGAAGTGTAAAAATTCACTTTCTCACTTTCACCCTTTTCTCCTAGAAAAGGGTAAAAACTTTTTCTTAATTTTTTCAAGTTTAGTATTAGGACTCGTGGTGAAAATTCTTTAAAAACAGTGAAATCGCACTCGCCTATTTTTGGCAATATTTATTAATGTCTATTAGTAACAATACAATTCTGGGTGTGAGCCCTACACTAAAAACACAACTTTATTTTTTTCAAATAGTAACAATTTGAATCAACATTTTTAAACAAAGCTACCGTCAAATAGAGGGGTAAGCCGTTGGAAAGAATTTTAAAAAAATTTCAGTGTTATTATATAAACAAAAACCTATAAGCTAACGGTCTTAGTCCCCAAAACTGTAATAAAGTTAAAAAATAAATTTACTGAATAACTGATGTGATGTTTTTTTTTTTTATTTAGGTTGTAAAAACCTATTTATAGTTATGATCATTTAGAAATGTTGTCAAAATCATGCCACAAAGAGACCTGTCTGAGGTAATAATAATCATTGTAGTATTTTACGAATCAATATTTTTCTAATATGAAACAACATTGTAATAACTAATAACATTTCTATATTAAGGTGGAACATGATAATGGATGCGGCGAAGATTTTATGGAAAAAGTACGAGAGTCTAATGCAGCATGTGAATCTGGTGACTATCCCCGAGCCATTCAACTCTATACAGAGGCTCTGCGTCATTATCCCAACAACCATATTCTCTACTCAAACCGTTCTGCTGCTCTGCTCAAAACAGGAAGGTTTACAGAAGCATTGCAAGATGCCACACGATCGCGCCAGATCAACCCTAACTGGCCTAAAGCACATTACCGAGAAGGTGTTGCTTTGCAATGCCTGGGTAGGCATGGAGACGCCCTGGCTGTTTTCAGTACAGGGCTGTCTATTGAACCAAATTCTACCCAGTTGTTAGGTGGCCTTATCGAGGCTTCAATCAAGTCTCCTTTGAAAAGTAAGCCCAACCATTATGCATTGAATACTATTATTTCTATAGTTATATATTTTTTTAACACAAATATTAAACAGTTTGTATGTATTTTTGTTTAAGGTGTTTTAGAGCCAACGTTTGAACAATTAAACAGCATAAATCATAACGGACTTACATTAGACAAATCTCCCTTTCTTGTCATGTCCGTGATAGGCCAGGAACTATTAGCAGCTGGACAATATTCAGTCGCCGTTGTTGTTTTAGAATCTGCTCTAAGAATCGGCACTAGTAGTCCTAAATTAAGAGGATCAGTCTTTTCTGCACTATCCTCTGCATATTGGGCACTAAATTCATTGGATAAAGTATAAATATATTATATTAAAATAAATACGATTTATGTATATATTTATAATAATAGTATATACAATTTTACATTCTGAAAATAAAAACTTGTATGTTTCTTTTTAGGCAATTGGATATATGCAACAGGATTTATTGGTGGCCAAGTCTTTAAAGGACGTAGCTGGCGAGAGTCGAGCTCATGGTAATTTGGGATCTGCCTATTTTAGCAAAGGTAGCTTCAAAGAAGCATTAACAGCACACAGGTATCAATTAGTTTTTGCTATGAAAGCGAGAGAAATGAAATCTGCCGCATCTGCGCTTACTAGTTTAGGTTAGTATAGAGGTAGAAGTGTTTTTCAATAAAAACAGAACCAACCATGCATTACATAAAATCCATATAAGTTCATGCAAACAAATAGCAAGTTGTGAAAGTTAATATTTATTCAATACATTTTTATTAGGACATGTGTACACAGCTATTGGTGATTACCCCAATGCCTTGGCATCGCATAAACAATGTGTGCAGCTGGTAAAACAAACTGGAGAAGTCCTTCAAGAAGCAAGAGAAATAGGAAATGTCGGCGCTGTATATTTGGCTATGGGTGAATTTGAAAGCGCATTAGATTGTCATATGCAACATTTAAAATTATCAAAAAAACTTGGAAACAAAGTACGATTTAACAGAGTTGTAAATGTTGCTTTTTTTTTGCTAAAACCTAAACCTTTTCATGATAGGTTGAAGAAGCTCGTGCATATAGCAACTTAGGCTCATCTTACCATTATAGAAGACATTTTTCACAAGCCATTTCATATCACGAAAATGTTTTGAGGCTGGCGCAAGAACTTGGCGACAAGGTTATCGAAGCCAGAGCATATGCAGGACTTGGTCATGCAGCTAGATGCGCTGGAAACTATGCTCAAGTATGTTATTGTTTTCTACACATTGTTTTTGTTAATATTTAAGAATTTATTTGTAGTGTTTTTTTAAAAAAAAATTTTTTTTAGGCAAAACATTGGCACGAAAAACAATTGGATATGGCTTTAAATACACACGATAAAGTAGGAGAGGGTAGAGCATGCTCAAATTTAGGTATTGTTTATCAATTACTTGGCGCTCACGAGTCCGCATTAAAACTACACCACGCTCATTTGAACATTGCTAAATCACTACATGATCGTGCTGCAATGGGACGAGCTTTTGGAAATATCGGAAACGCGTATAGTGCTATGGGCTACTATGAACAAGTAACGTTTTTATTTGATAAATTATAATTACTATATTCTCGATAATTATATATTTAAATTCAATTTTTATTATTTGATTGCTTAAAGCTTCCAAAAAAAAAAAATCAAGTTACTCATTTTCTTCATTTAATATTTACATAGTACGTTTTATGTTGTTCAGGCAATAAAATATCACAAACAAGAATTGACAATATCGAAAGAAGTCAAAGATCGGAGTGCAGAAGCTTCCACACATGGAAATCTAGCAGTAGCTTATCAATCACTGGGAGCATTTGACATGGCTCTTTTACATTACAGAGCTCATTTAAATATTGCCAGAGATTTAAAGGATACAGCCGGGGAAGCTTGTGCTCTTTTAAATTTGGCTAATTGTCTGAGCACTAGAAATGATTTTACAGAAGCTATTCCTTATTATGAAAACTATTTAATGTTATCTCAGGTAATTGACTAACAATTTATACTTCATAGTTTAGTTATTTTTGAATATAATAGAAAATTAAAATGCAGTAGGAAATGAATTGTGTTAAGGTATTCGAGTTAGAGAAGCATTTGCATTTGTTCCCGGTTTGGATTGGGTGTGTAAATGAAAATATATTAGGATTATTTTTATGAGTTGTTTCGTCGTGATATAATGAAGCAAAACCATTGCTAAAACAATATGATAAAAAGTATTTTTTTTTTATAGGAACTACATGATATTGAAGGGGAAGCTAAAGCTTGTCATTTTTTGGGCTATGCTCACTATTGTTTGGGTAATTATCGAGAAGCTGTTCGTTATTACGATCAAGATTTGTCGTTGGCCAAAGATTTGCACGACAGAATGAATATGGCTCGAGCTTATTGTAATTTGGGCTTAGCTCATTTAGCATTAGGCAATCTAGAAACATCACTGGAATGTCAAAAATATTTTTTAGGTAAATAAATCTTTACATTTATATAATGATCATTTTTCTATTATTTATATCTTGTTTGATTATTTCTAGCCATATCACATATGACAAAAAGCATACAAGCCAAACTTCGTGCTCTGGGCAATATCGGTGATATACTTATGAAAATGAATAACACGGAAGAAGCTCACAAGATGTATCATCGGCAATTAACATTAGCCAGACAAGTAAGAGATTTAAACATGGAGGCAGCAGCTTGCAGCTCTCTTGGATTAGCCAACAGATACATTAAATGTCATGACAAAGCACTGTCTTATCATTGTCAAGTAAATAATTATTTTAAAACACAAATGTTACATTTTATGTGTTTACAAAACATTTTTGTACTTAGGAATTGGCTTTAAGACAAGAAATGAATGATTTGAAAGGCGAGTGTTGTGCTCATGGTCACCTCGGAGCTGTTAATATGTCGCTCAGAAACTATAAAAATGCTATTAAATGTTACCAATTACAACTAGAAAGATCCAAAGAATTAAGAGATAATTCAATCGAAGCTGAAGCTTATGGAAATTTAGGTAAAAAAAACTACTAATCTGAGCAACCGCTATTTTAAAGTTAAAAACCACTCCTATGGGGAATGCTTTGATTTAAAACAGTGATTTATATAAAAAAAAAATTGTATGTATTGTTGATTTTAGGTATTGCTAGAATGAATATGGGAATTTATGAAGGTGCTATTGGGTACTTTGAACAGCAATTGGCCACCTTAGAACAGTTGTCAACCCACACGTCACTAACGGACAAAGTAAATATATCCTGGCTATAATTTTAGTTGTTTTAATGCAACATTAAAATTGTTGTATTGTGCAGGGTCGAGCATTCGGCAACCTTGGAGACTGTTACGATGCATTAGGAGACTTTGACGAAGCTATCAAATGTCACGAACAATTTTTAACAATAGCCGTACAACTTCAAAACGTCCGTGACCTAGAGAAAGCCTATACTTGCCTTGGCCAGTCTTACCGACGAATAGGATATCTCGACCAGAGTCTAGTTTGTTTTGAAAAAATACTAGTCATTGCCCATGAACTTAGTAACTCCGAAATGAAAGCTTCCATTTACGGCGAATTGGGCTCAAATCATATAATGATGGGAAATTACCAACAAGCCGTTTCTTGTTTCCACAATCAGATATCAATAGCTAGAGAATTAAACAACAGAGTTGTTGAAGCAAATTCAGCGTCTTCTCTTGGTTACGCTCATCAATTACTAGGTCAAAATAGTATTGCCTTACACTACCACAAACTTGATTTAGAAATCGGAAAAGAGCTAAGTCAACCGTTATTACAATGTAGAGCCTACGGAAATATCGGGAACGTAGAAGAATTATTAGGGAACCTGAATGAAGCCATCAAGTACCAAGAAGAACATTTATCGATTGCCAGTCAAATTGATGATAAAACTGCCAAAGCAGCTGCGTACGGTAGTTTGGGATCATTACATCATACGCTGGGGCACACGAGCCAAGCAGTAATTTATCTTACTCAAGCTCTTCAAAGTGTAGACATGAAGGGCAAGTCAGATAAAGAAGGACATATTAGGTTCAAATTGGGAATGGCCCTGTTGGCTGATGAGCAGTCTGATGCGGCAAGAGGTCATTTGGATCAAGCAGCAGAATTACTGGATAACGCTCTTAATAAAGCCACTCATGAAAATTTCCAATCAATTGCAAATCTAAGACACCAGTGTTACCAAGCATTACAAGTAAATATTTTTTACACAAACAAAATATTTTATAATATGTTTGTGTGTGACATTTTATTTTAATTGTGTAGACAGTATTAGTACAATTGAATAGATGCGAAGAAGCACTTCTCGTAACGGAGAAGTATAGAATTAGAGGGAAAACTGCTATGTGCAATAGCCAGATGAAATCAACTTCCGACTGTCATAAAATAAGTTCTGTCGAAGGTTTATTAGATATTGTTAACAAACAAAAAGCTTCAGTTCTATATTTCAGTTTAGCGTCTGGCTACTTATTTTCTTGGCTAATTGTTCCTAACAAAGGTAAATAATTATAAAAAAAAAAGTATATTTCATAACGAAACATACATAATATATTTTTTTTTTTATGCATTTTTAGGCATTGTTAAATTTCACGAAACATTGATTCAAACTGAAAATGGAACTGACAATTTATTGATGCAGTATTTAAATGATTTGAAAAACACATTAACTGTACAACCTATGTATGTAAATCAGTAATACAACCATTTTTAGAGTATCTTCTGTCTTATAATCATTTTTTTTTTTTCTAATAGAATTGATACAGAGTTGAGTGAATCTTGTCATTTAGATGAATTAGAAGACAAACTAACCAAAGACAACGAACGCAGTTATTTAAGAATGGTCAACAGAAATCATTTGTACAACTCCAGCAATTACAGTCTTAGTAGTTTATTTAGGTATTTTTTTTATCATATCATTGTTATTTTTTTTTTTTTTTATTATACAAGGTAGTTCCTAACATAAGACCAATATTTTAGCCATCAACTCCCGAGGTCAAATCTACCATTTTTCTGGTATTTATAGATGCAGTTTCAATGAATTTCAACCTTAAATTTAGAATTTAATTTTATGTATTATCTAATTTTACCACAAAGTTTATTAATTTTAAATTTTGGTAGGTTATAAATCGAGTCCTTTTAGTTTCGTAAGCAGAAAATCCTAATCCATTCTGATATAATAGTCTAGTCAGCATCTTAAAAGTTTTGGATAAGTTTTCAATTTGTATCCCGGGAGTATTCTCTGAAATATTGGTTTTTACCTTGTACTCTGTTTGTGTTGTAATACATTTTTAAGAACTTGGACATAATTTTAGCGTGGGAAGTGTTGGTGGAAGTACGATTGGGTCTGTAAGTCGGCCTGGCAGTGTAAGAGCTAAGAAAACAAAATCGTGGTTGATTCCTGACAGTTTGAACAAACTTTATGAATTGTTAATTGCTCCATTTGAAGATTTCCTATTTGTATCGTGTGGTAAATACACGTTTAAATTGAGATAATCAAAATATCTTTTAATACTTTATTTTGTTTTTGTAAACAGCATCCCATAATAAAGGTTGTTCCGGCAGAAAAGAATTGTTATTGGTTTTGGAAGAAGATTTAATGTTAGTGCCGTTTTCAATGTTACATCCAAAGATGGATAACGAATGTTTACTGACTGGGGAATACCTAGCAGAAAAATTCTGTTTACTTGTTACATCCTCGTTAATGAAGTTCAAAGAAAACCAAAGGTATGTGTAAGACACCAATGACAATTTTGAAGTTTGGTAGAGTTTGATTTTAACTTAATTATTATACCATAATGTACACCATTACTTAAATAAGTATTATTTATTTAGAGCACTGAAAAAATCAATAGCTAACGATTCAACAAACATGACTACACTTGTTGTTGGCAATCCGCGACTTCCAGAATATATCCATGAACAACTTTGCCTCAGTGAAGTACCACATACAGAACAAGAAGCTAATATGGTTGCAGAAATGTTACAGACAAAACCGTTTGTACGGGAACAGGTAGCTAACAGACGTCGACATTTTTAATAATTCATGTCAATTTAACTTGTGATTGATTTGATTAGGCGAATAAACAAAATATCTTGGATCAACTTGTCAAAGCAGAATGCATTCATTTAGCAACTCATGTCAGTTGGGAACTGTCGGCTATAATATTATCTCCAGATGAAAATGTAAGAATTAAGACCCATTTATGGAATTAATCAGTTAAAATGAAAAATTACGATAACAGATATATTATTATTATTGTATAACTAATCATTTATCATAGGAAAATAATTTGCACGCTGAAGTAAATATATCCGAAGTATTATTGACAGTAGAAGACCTATTGTCTTTAAAGTTAAACGCAAGACTAGTAGTACTCAGTTGGTCACATTCTCGAGACGATTGGGCTTCAGCTAAAGGTCTTTCCGACCTTACAAATGGTTTACTTATGGCTGGAGCACAATGTATACTTATTCCTCTGTGGCCCGTTCCAAGTACTGCAGCTAAAATTTTATTACGAGCATTTTACTCGGCCTTATTACAGGTACGTTTGTAGGTTATTTTTTTAATTATTAGTACTCTTACTAAACTTTCAATCGTATTTAGGGTTCAAGAGTGTGTCGAGCTCTTTGTGACGCAATGCAGACGGTTCAGCATACAAAACATTTTTCTCATCCTTCCAACTGGGCTGGATACTTTTTATTTGGGTCTGACGTTCGTTTGTCAAGCAAAGTTGCTCTTATGGGTCAGGCTTTGTGTGAAATAATAAAAACACCAGACAGGTGCCGAGATGCTCTTAGAGTTACCCTTCATTTAGTAAGCACATATATGTAATAATATCCAATTCTAATATCTTGAGGGAAAACCTCTGGTCAAATATCTTGTACTTAATAGTATTAAGACGATTGTATTTAACTGGATTTTAAAATGCTACAGGTTGAAAAATCTTTACAACGCATACACAGAGGACAAAAGAATGCAATGTATACAACTCAAAAAAGTATTGAAAATAAGGTAAGTACTATAGGAATGATTTTTTTGAAAACAAAGTTTTACTATGTTTAAGGGGGCTAGCACCGAGGCCTTTTTCCATGGGTTTTTGATGAATATTTTCTTAAAAACTACTCGACTTGAGTTGAATAGTTCTTTTATATCTTGAAGAACCACTATTTTAAGATTAAATAGTGGTTTTTTTCTAGCGAACCAGCAGATGCTGGTTCGCTAGAAAAAAAAAACTAAATTTTTGGTGTATAGTGTAAAAAAAAACTTGTTAGATTTTTTTAAATCTGGGGGGGATTTACAAAAAATTATACAACGGGTTTCCAACCTCTTATGTATTGTCGCATGTCAATCACCGCAAAGTTTAGAACAGATTTAAAAAAAATATATATCCTTTAAAAGTCATTCTTTGTCTTAAAAATCGTTTTTTGTCAGTGCCAGTCTCCTTAAACCATCAATATTGACATAAAATATTGAAGTTTTAATAGATTGGTTAATACAATTTCTAATTGTTCGGTTAAATCTATGATTGATTTTGATAAGATCTAACATATCAGATGTTAACGTGAGAGTGTCCATTTTCTAATATCTTTAGTTCAAACTAGGATTTTCATTGTCCGACGTCTGTGAAGATTGACATTGAAACGTGTCAAAAAAAATGTCAAAGTTAAATATGGATACAACTAAAAATTTTGAATATTAATCAATATTGTGTTTTAATTACATTTTTCATTATTAATTTGTTTTAAATTTGATTTAATTAAGATTTGTTTATCTCTTTAAAGGTTGGCGATGTATGTGGATGGAAAGAGCTACTTCAGTCAGTTGGATTCCGTTTTGAACCTGCTGCAAATGGCATTCCGTCCTCTGTATTTTTCCCTCAAAGTGACCCAGAAGATAGGCTAACTCAATGCAGTGCAAGCTTACAGGCATTACTTGGTACTTTATATCTATTAATACGTAACATAATTTTTATCATATTTCGGCATTTAAAGCATTTGTTTATTTTTTTTGAAATTACATAAAATATAACACAGTGCTGTGGTGGAAATGTATGTCTTGCTTAGACGATTTTGAAAATGGTTAATTTTTATATTTTTAAAGTTCTAATCGTTTAAATCATTATTAATCGAAGTCCCAGAATTAAAAATTAGTATTTTAACTCGTTAATAAGGTGGTGTGCTTGTATTTCCTTATGACACCCTTAACAAAAAGTTTATCTTAAAAATGCTATATATTAGTTTTCTCTTTTTTTTCACTGGTAAAATATCTATTTTATTAGCAATTGTAATTATTTTTATTTTTGATATAATTAGGTCTTAACAGTGTTACGTTGAATGCCATGTCGAAATTGATTTCAACATCCGAGATCACCGATGATGTCATGGCTGTTGTACGTCATGTGAGCGAACAGTTGAACAGTAGACTTCTGTCTGAAAACGAGCAGCCCGTTGATATGTCTGTAAATGTAAAACTATGGCATACGCCCGGATGTCATGAGCTTTTAGCATCATTAGGTACGCATACAATTATAATTATTTGTGTGAAATAAAATAAAACCACTATTGCAATGTGTAATTCATTGTTTTAAGGTTTTGACTTAATCGAAGTTGGCAGTGAAGAAGTGACTTTGCGTACTGGAAAGCAAGGGAACAAGCGAAGTGTTCAGTTTGTACTTCAAGCCTTACTAACCTTATTTGGTATGCAATTATTTAAATGTTTAACCTTTCTGTACGGTCATTGTATATCTATGTTGTTTTTGAAAAGTAGACACTCAGGAAGTCCCCAAAAGCCTGTCAATGTGCTCTTCGAGTTCTCTTGAAAGTGTAGTGACTGTTGAAGATGACAGGCCAAATGATATAGCGATTAAACCTTGTCCAGCGTCTGCTTTCCAAGTGTCTGGTATCAGCGGATCAGGAGCATTTACTAGCTATGTTAGGAAAAGAGGAGAACCGGATGGTAGAACCGCTTCGGATGCTTCCGCACAGATAACTAAAGTAATTCTGCTTTGTCTAGATCCTAATATCACATTTGATGTTTTGCAACGAAAGCTATGTTGCTATATTGTGTATTTATATTTGTATGTTAACACAGACTACTGGTGGAGCCTTAGTTATGCCTACAATATTGTGTCGACGATCAGGTGGAACTAACGGTGGTGGAGAAAGTGATGCTGCATTCACGCCTTCACCGCCCGTTTCTGGATTAGGAGATGCTCTTAGTATAACTCTAGCACATCAGACTAAAATAAGAAATTTATATTCAACACCAGCCAGACCAGATTCATCGAGTTCTGCAAGTTCTGCGACCGATTGGGAAGGTTAGTAACATGGTTAATAATTATATATAGACATGGTTATATTAGGACTCGACTATGATTTTTTTGTCGTGTATTTAGGTAATGGGCATTCTACGATACTTCGACGGGGGAATTATTCACTTCCTCCAATAGCACCAATCAAAAAACTTCACCCGTCTAGCGAAATACTAGACGACATTGTCGTAGAAAGTGATGTAATCCAAACAGACGACACTGAAAAAATGTCACTTTATCTGGCGCAAGTAATGGATATGTCCAAAAATGAGCCTGGTAAAGCGCTATCCAACATTGAAGTAAACAATGATATTCAAGACCCCATAAGAAGTTCACAATTGCGACAGTTGAATTACGATCCAAAACCTACTATATCAGAAGTTTATCTCGAGCGGAAAATAGGTCTGGGATTAGCGCCTTCTCTGTTGAAACTCCTGTCACTGGATAAAAATTTGGCTAACGAAAACAAAACCACTTGGCTATCGCCGTCTATGCTGAAGAGGTTTGGTAGCGATGTTACTCAAGAGACACCTGTGTACGGAGAACTTAACAAAAGGGACGAAGGTGATGGGAGATCAATTGCCGAGTCCCAATCCAGTACTGGGAGTTACAAGAAACGAACTGATACAAATACATTAAGGAACTTCGAAAGTCTCATTGAAGAAGAAAACAGTGTGAAAGAACCTAAAATTAGATTTAAAAAAAAGTCGTATGCACCACCCCCGTCACCGGGAACCTCCTCTCTTAAACCTATAATCGACTCGTAAGGTATACCTACGTAAGGTGATGACCTACTGCATTTAACCATTATTATACCATGTGCCTATGTTTAAGTATAGAGTGGCACAATCAAGGGGTGGTAATTAACGTTTTATTCCCCCCCACCAACCCTTGTCTTGGTAGCACCATTTATTTATATTGTATATAAGACAATAGTATTATTGTTGGTATTTTATATTAAGATGTTATGGGGAAAGAAATCTTTTTCTTGGTTAAGTTTGTTTTACCGTTAATAAATAATAAATCAAAAACTGTTTGAAAATTGTTTTATTTCATTCTTTGAATACAGACAGTCTGAAGAATAAGAATAGTGATTATAGTTCTTAGTCGATTTATAAAATAAATATTTTAGGTTAAAAATACATTTATAAAGTAGTATGCATCAAGCTAATTATTATGGGAAACCCCATACTTTATAGTCGGATTTACTAAATGATTAATAGTGTTTTATGCTAATCCACTAGATACTTAAAATCATAAGTTAACGTAGTAGAATACTTTTTTTTCCAAGTTAGGGGCGATTTTCCTTAGCGGTATAATCTATATAGCAATCATGTCTGTTTATTTAATCATGGAAATATCTGTTTGTTTCTGGCAAGGGCGTATAGCTGTTGTATATGACATTTTGATCCCTTGTATTAAAAAATGTTTTAAATCTAGAAAAAATTACCCAATGGATATGTTTAAGTAAAAATAACCGAGGACAATTTTATTAAGTTTGTTTTATATGGTATTACAATATAATAAAAAAGTATTACAATAACTCATTTCAACAATAATACAAAAACAAATGTCCGTATGCTGATAGTGTTATCCAGTTTAAATTTAATTCCTATTCGAGGTATAGCTGTCAAAAATTGATGCAAGGTGGATTTATTCATTTATATAATATCCACCACCTTGCATCAATCTTTAACCTAGGAAAAGTACACCAACAAAAATTAAATATTATTGTCGATAGTGAATATTTATCAAATAGTTAATGATATTATGGATAGTTTTTTTTGTCGGTTTCTTTTACTCAACCAAACATATTTATCCGGTTATCAAATGTATTGCGTTCATTCCCATAAAAAAAAACCACTTTGGAGTTTGGCCTATCCATTATTATAATATTATGGTTTTAGTTTCGACAACGCAACCTATACTATATAGGTCAACATTCAAATGCTATAGATTTAAGATTTATAGATCTTAATATTTGCTGATAACACGATAAGTCGAACAGATGTACTTGATCTAATGATGCGCTAAGGAATATGAAAACGTCGTCAACTCTTCTAGAGGATAACTTTGTCAATGTTTTAAATTTTTTTCATAAAGTTGACCGGCATTAAACGACAAAAATATAAAAAAAACAATTGCCCTTAAGATGATGTCAACGCGTTAAAATCAATCGTTAAAACTTGTTAATGGCAAAGCGCGGTATAGGTCAAAGTAAATAAAAAATGTCAGAATTAAAGTATAAATTTTGAATGTTTGGTGAATAATATCAAAAGTCGACGAGAAAACCCCTTAGATAGATGAAGTTTTTAAATATGTGATTAAAAAATGTCTACAATTATTATTTAGCCAATAATAGAGAATTATGCAGATGAAAATACAACTGTCAAGGATGCTGTGAATTAAACGTTCTGTCTGTATATGCATTTATTTCTTCTCTCTGTTCATATTATAATCGTCGGACGACGGCCAAGAAGAGCTGTGAGATGGGTTTGCTTATTTAAAAATCTTACTTGATCAGTCTACTCCTAGATGGCGGTGTAGTTATTGTTATTTCATAATATGGCTATTATTGACCGGGAGTAGGTTTTAAGCTTCTGGCCTAGTTATAGCGGTTCAGTTGCCAAAGAGAAGGATGGTAGCATATATTTTAACAAAATCCTAATATTTATTTGTAAAACTGTGATGTGTAATTATTTGTTCGGTGTAATTAGGACTCATTTTTTGATAGTTTATTTTCCGAACTTTGACAACGATTTCAATTTGTTTTTTTCATCTAAACATAGCTACGCATATTCTCTAATATATATAACATATACTTATATATGGATCTATCTCTCTCTCTCTCTCTCTCTCTCTCTGGACAGTTGCCTGCCCAAAGAGAGAGGCCACCTATTACTATATTGGTTGTAATTATTTATAATCAATATACCAGTACCTAACCAACTAGTTGGAACTTTGGCCTTGACGTTTATGGTGTTATCGTTCAAAACAAAATAATTTTACGTCGGTATAGAGTATTTAAGTATTGTTTTTTACAAACTATACTTGTTATTAACGTTTTTTTTATAGAATTCCTCGTGACGCACATTATCGTCATTTATATTGTACACTAGCCGTGGTAGACCCGCTTGGCTTGGTGAATTTTTTTAATAATACGTCCGAGTACGGATTTTATTTTCTTCCAATTATTCAGAACGAGTCACAGATTTCTTTTTTTGTCTAATACACAGAAGTTGCTTATACATACCCACGGCTGGCCGAGAGAAAGTCTATATTCATATTCTACAGAATGCTATTGAATACTTCAACCATTCCCCACACTACCTGCACTAGGGTGACCATTAAAATATGTGGCACCTTACAAAACCAAAATATATATTTATAAATGTTTGATCTAATATAAGACCTTAATTTTTTTGATTTTTTATCAAATATATATATATACCCCTAAAATGGAGGTTTTTTAAAGTTAATTTTCTCAAAGAATCGTATTCGACCAGTTATTAAAGTTCTGAAATTTTCATCTTAAAATCAAAGCTTTTCGTCTAATAATGGGAATGTGCCGAGATTTATTTCTACTTTTTTTTTTAGTGATGAACCTTTTTTATTTTCAAAATCTGAAAAAACGTCAAACTGAAAAAGACGTCATCGCGCGTGCGCGCGTCACGTCTGCATAAAACGAGCATGCGCAGAAATCATCTTCACAGTTTTTATTTTCAAAATCTAAAGGAAAAAAAATGTATAATTTCATTTTTTTTTCAATTTTAAAAAATAAAACGTCTTGGATAAAATTTGATTTTTTTGTATATTTTGGGAGAAACAAATGGAAAATGTGCCATACACAATACGTGCCGAATAAAATTAAAATGTAAATTATACTTTTTTTTCATATTTTGAAAACTGGTCGAAATCAAAATATCGATAGTTTTTAATTAACGTACGATTTTGCGTATTTTTGTATCAATATTATATTATTTTGTTGTTTACAACTGGAAATAGTATCGCTATTGAGAGTATCGATAATCGATATATGTGTACCCATGTGTACTCTATGGCCTATCCGTAGCCAAGGGCCAATGGAATGGCGGCTTGCAGTAAAACCGTCATTGCGTGCGTGCGTCACGTCTGCATGGAACGCGCATGCGCAGAAATCATCACAATTTTGTTTTCCAAATAACAGCTCAAAAAGAAAGTAAATCCAATACTATCACAAAAAAAAAAGTTAATAAATTATAGTTTTTTGTTATCGCGTTATGAAAAAAAATAAAAAATTATGAGTGAAGTTTTTGCTTATATCGTTAAAAGTAAGTACCAAGCATGATATTATTATTTAATTTCTCTTTTCGCCATTCATTCGAGCGTAAAAAAAATTGGTTTTTTTAAGAAAAATAAATGCCAATCAAATTTTATATGTGTCAACAAATTAAAAACAAATAATTTGAAGAAAAAAAATAGGGAAATTATTTTTTTCCCCAAGCCTCAAGGAACAAATAAAGTGATTTTTGGTCCACCTTAAAATACATTATTTATTATTAAGTATAGGTGTTGTACGCCTATATTCATACTTAACATAAATCTATAATAAATATATAGAAATGAGCAATCTATAATACCCAGGACGACGTCCTATCTTTTAAAAATAGTTAATAGAGAATATGCTATATTTAGATGGAAAAACACATTTAAATTCCCCATTAAGGATGCTGCGATAATCCACGAAAAGTCAATTAACTATCAAAAAACGAGTCCTAATTCAGTGGCGTCATTTTGGGGGGGGGGGCAGGCGGGGGAATTTGCCCCACCCTTAATTTTTATGGGCTGGTCAAATTTTCGATACATAAGGCCGTAAATTATCTGTTTTTTATGCAACTACCTACATTTACTTACCCTATAATAAACCGTCTGAACTGACTACCAAGTATAATAAGTATGAAGGCTTATAATATTTGTATTATTACTGTTTTGTATGCAAGTGTTTTGGAAAAAATATTTATATTTGTAAATGAACAGTGGGCCGATAAAAATGTTGCCTCACCCTAAGAAAAACTGAAATGTCGCCCCTGTCCAAATTGTTACCGAACTAATAATTACACTTCACAGTTTAACATCTAAAGCCATACCTATACCTATACCTATACCTAACTCCTTAAGAGGACGCCACTCATCCCATTTTTAAGGAGTTAAGTGTAGGCAATTTACGGTCACTGTAAATATACCGCTCTCACATTCTTGTCCCCCGCAAAACCATTTTTAATATAGTCAAATGCGTTTATACACTAGAATTTATATTTTCCATAGTACTTATACTTGTTATATATAATGTTATTATTTTTAAGAGACCAGAGAATAGGTATTATATGAAATCGTTAGCCGTTATCTCTCGGTAGAATGTACATTCGAGTGGTATAAATTATCGCAGTGGGTATATTATTATGTTATTCGTGTAAGAAGAGTCATACCATCTTCATGGTATTCGAAAGCATGGCCATACGACCGAACGGTATAAAATAATTGTTCAGCTAGTGTCAAGAGAAGACCCCTACCAAGAACGCATCTGTTACTTGGCCCTGCTCAGTTGGTGATATCAAAATATAAGGTTTATACCTGGGGTACCGTTAAAGTGAATGGATTTGGAAAAATTCAAGCACCACTTCGGGTATTTATGTTGTTATTAAAGAAATAAAATATTGAAACGAATAGATTTTTCTAAAACGTTTTCGGTTTTGTTTAGTATAGGTAATCAAAAAAAAAAAAAAAAACGGCTCGAATGTACAAAAAAAATGATTACCCATCAACAATGTAAATTGTTTTGTTTATTGTCAATTTTCAATAAAATCATTTCAATATAATTATTTAATTTTTACAATTAGTCTTAGAACAAGAAATATGACAAGTAAAGTGTTCGGATTGTCAAAATATAATTCGGGAAAAAAAACATACTTTGAGTGCAACTTTAAATAATGAAATAGTTGATAATATTTTAATTATATCATTTTTAATAATTATATTTTTCAATCATATTAGCAAATCATAAATGATTATTTTTTTTAAGATTTGCACATAATTTCACGTTTTTTTTTCTGCGCCGTTTAGAACTCAATTGTTTTTGTCATTAAAATATTGTTTATACTTTTCTTAGTTTCCTTTAGTATTACAACTAATCACACTCTTAATAGTCAGTTCTGACTTCTGTGCCTACTGCCTATAATAATCGTGTACAATAAAATTTGACTTTTTCGGAACCAAATATAATTATTACATATTATATAAATATTAAAATTTAAATAAATATCCGTTAAATTAATTAATATGGATGGCGGAAGAAGGCGACAAACTGGGAAAAAATATACAGTAAAAGTATTCCTTTTTTTTAATTAAAAATAAAACAATTTCCATTTTATATCAAGCGTTTCCGACGCTAATCGTTAATTAGTTTTTGTATATTATATATGCTTGTATTTATTCGGAATAACCTTGAAAAAAAATTGAATTTCATATTTGAAAGCTTATTGATATTATCATTATTTTTTTTGAAACCAATGGATTCCACAATAGCCTTTTAAATGCAATTTACCTCTAAAATAGCGATATATAAACAAATAATGGCAAGAGTTTTGAACGAGGTGTAAGTAGTTATTGTCACAGGGGCAATATTTGGGCAACGTTAGGGTGTTGTTAGCACTGTCACTACTTTTGAATAACCATACTTGGGAAGAGGGGGACCTTTATACTATTTTTTTGGCCTTTAACCTCCCTCCATTTTTTTTTAACCGAAATTGCACACCTGGCCATGGTCGACATATTATACAGTATATTTTAAGCGGGAATTTTTTTTTTTTTTTTATCATCTTTAACAAAACGTGTTACGAATAATTATGACTTTCCCAATGGAGAAAAAAAAATATGAAAACCTTACATAACACATTAAAATATGTTAATGTTTATCTTTGTTTTTTCGATTTGAATTCGATAAGATTATAGCAAGATGGAACCAAAAAAAATGTATCAACTCGACGCGGTGGTCTCTATGCGCGTCATACACGTTTTACTGTTGTTCACGTTACGTGTTACCTACGGTACAGTAAGCGCATAACGGCGTGTGTTGTGTGTACAATCTACACGTCGCGGCGATTGGCGCTATTGCCTATTGCATTTTCGTTAAGGTAAGCACACGGCGGCTTGGGTTGTTCGCTGTAAACGTATTATGTAGTACATGTGTTACACATATGTTACAACAGGTACGGTGATATTGTAACACAACAGCGTGGTAAAGCGCACTTTTGCGGCTGTTTTGCTCAATAAAAATGTGAAAATTGTTTTTCTCGTCGGTAACACGTTATGTAATATGATTTATGTGTCAGCCGACACGAAAAGTGTGCGTGGCGCGCGGCGGACGGAAACCGAAAAACACGATCAATGCAAACAAATACATAATAATAAAAAATAAAAAAAAAGTAAATCACAAATAAACCAAATCGTATATTTTATTAAACAAATATTAAAAAAAAACGTGTTACATCATCATAATTTATAAAACTGTAGTACCTACTACTACACCTAATGAATTATGAAAAAAACAAAAACAACTGCCGCTGCTGGTCCAATCGAAGGCGGTATTTACACGACGGCAAGTGGGAACAGTCACAGATTCTATAGTGTGTATATCGATGAAAACTGTCAGTGCCACGTAGGATGTAACCGGTCGGTGGCGGCGGCACTGGTGGCATCTGGTGGCGGTGAACACTTACACAAGGCGGCGTCGAGCGCACGCGGCACGACCGACGAGCTCAGACAACGAGCGCCGACTAAGCAATAATAAGCGGTCGGTCGATCCGAACCGAACCGCCGCGTAACAAATATCGCCGAGGCTCGCCCAACGCGCAGTGTCGCAGTTCCGACGGCCGACGACAGATATCGTTTCGTCCCCTCCCTCCTGCCGCCGACCAATCGGGCTGACCGTCGCGGTTGTGTAACGAAACGCTTTGTTGTACGCACACCGAACCGGGTACCGCGTATGTACACCGCCGGGCACCAGTGTGCATTGTCTGATCGACTGTTCGCGGTGCGGTGTCTAGGCTCAGCTCAACTCCACAGTCAACGTGTGTTTGTGCCTCTCTTGCGTCGCGGTAAACAGTTCCCTTTTGTTTATCGCCAATATTCGCGCATTGTGTGTGTGTGCAATATTATTATGCGTTTCGGTTACCTGCGGGCTATTCCGGCCGGCGTGCACGAGATTATTTCTACCGGAATTATTATTATTGGCGTCTTTGTGGTCATGTAGGTTGTATGTTGTAACAACTATCGTATAGCATTCTGTTCCTCGTGAGTGTACTTGTGCAGCGGTCGCGTCCTCTACCCCCACCCCGTTTTGTACCGCGGCTTACAACGTTTGTCATCATTTGCCGTTGTTTGCCGGTCGGGACTGACGCTTGCCGTCCAAGTATCGGCGCGTTACCGCCCTCGACGTCTTGCAACCGCCGTACAGTCATGATTGTTTAAGACGCGGAATTAAGTCGCACACAATGGACGGTACCGGTCCGGACGAAGACGGCGAAGGAACGCCTGCTAAACGTAAAGTATTTTCTATTTTTGTTTTTTTAATTTCCGGTTGAATTTTGCTAATAATTCTGCCGGTTGTGTGCGAGAGACGGATTTGAAAAACAAATTGGACGTGTTGTGTTGATTATTGACAGGCAGCGAATGCGAAGAGCTGGCGGAAGACCTCAAGAAATACTTGCCGTTTTTGCAAAATATCATCAACAATTACAAGGATTTGGACATACAAGATTCGCATCTCGACAAACTCCGGTCTTTGTACGATATGGTGGAAAAAGAAAAGTTAGCATGCAATTTAAACTACATAATACATTTGTTTTTTTAAATACACATTAAACCAGCAAAATAATACGTTTGAACGTGTTTTGCTTTCTTCAAAACGTTCTTTAAAACGAACGGTTAATATGTGTAAACATATCTAATTTATTATTCAAACCGAGATTGTGTACAAATGAAATATTCTACAGTTTAGGTACAATTATATTGGTAAAAATTATACATGCAAGCATATGGATAATAGCTAATTAGTAATTTATATTACCATACCGAGGTGATGTTTAAAATTGCAAACCGGTTACCAAAGTCAACATTAGTCAAACTATATGCATTAAAAACCAATTTATTCCAGTTTTGCAAATTGAAACTGAAAAACCAAATTTGGCAAATATATTACTAGAAAACATGTTCTGGTCAAGAAGTTAAGTTTATCTTTAAAAAGAAAAACCATAGGCGGACTTTGGGGGTTGATACAAGGGACATTGACCTCCAATATGGGCTTGAGTTAGGTGAATACTGAAGTTCCTTATGGGTTCATAATATTTTTAATGGGCCCCCCCCCCCCCAGGTCAAATTTGTAGTCCCCCAATTATAGAAACACTGGTACGTTTGATATAGTGCTATAGAAAGCTGTTCTTGTATGTTTTGGCTGTCCGTAAAGGGTGTGATAGAATAAACTTAATGAATGAAATTAAAAAAAAAAAAACTGCTTTTTGAACCAGTCTGTCAGCTGCTAATTTATGTTTGGTGTGAGAAAGAAAATGGGATTGCATATAAATCAATCAACAATTTCAATTATATAAAATCTAATAAAATACAAATTGTGTATTGTGGTAAAAATTTATGTGCAGTTATTGTTTACATTTATAATATGTACACAACAAATATAAATACACATTTTTAGAAAAAACTGTTTTTGTGATTTTTTCATGACTGAGTTATTGTTTTTGAGCTTCACTAAATATTCTGACCATCTATTAATTAACTAATTCTAATGAATTCAAAGTTTAAATGTTACACTCATTTAATAAAGTAATTATATATATTTGACAAGAAATAGTATTTATAATGATAATTTGTTCTTTCAAGAACTAGTACTTGTTTTCATATTTTGTTATCTAAAAATCATAATAATAATGAGATTCATTGTCACGACTCACGGGTTGGCTCCGATGAATGGGTTGCTAGGCTTTAATGATTGACAGTAATACATGTAAAACATAGTCCTTGTTTTTGTGGTTATGAAACAACATTTTTAGTTTCATTTTTTAATTAAAAAAAAAAAAAATGATATTACATTGCAATGTTGGCTGTTAAGTAATAATTTAAAGTTTTATGTATAATGTTTCAGATTATTAGGTGATATGGCTTTGCCATGTTATTTATGGTAAATACTTCCAATAATATGCACTGTATGTGTGTTTAACCTCACAGATCATTAATATAAATATAATATTCTAAAATTTTAAATAAAATATTGAAAGAGTTCAGAGTGAAATGGCGAAAACTCCACTTAATGCTATAGAATGATATCCAAATGACATTTTTCAAGACTTTGTGTAAAAAACTCATAAATTAAAAATATCTATTGCTCAGTTTGACATCATATAAATTAAAAAAAAAAAGCAATAATATGGTTTTTTTAAAAATTCTTTTCTCCTTGCCCAAAAAGACTAATTATTGTAATTTAAGTTAATTTGTATTTGTTTAATAAGATGAGTTTAAATGATTGTTAGTATAGTAATAGACTATTTACTATGTTTCTTTTGTTTGTATATTAAAATTTTAACATAAGCTATTAAGGGGTTCCTGTTATAAAGATGATCATTATATAGCATACAATTAGTACACAAATTGTCATATTATTTAAAAATATTAAATAGCAGATTTTTTACATAACTCTTATTTTTTCTATTGTTTTAAAGAAATATAATTGTATTGTTTCATTTCTAGGTTACCCGCTACTAAACTAAAATGTTGCCAAAATGTAATTGACAATTTGTACAATAAGTATCGTGAAGTAAGTTAATTTATTTAATTTAATTATTTTAGCTCAATAACAAAAATTAATGTTATATAATATTTATTACATAATACACTTAAATAAATGTATGTTTTATTCTGGGATTAAAAAGAGTATACTGTATTTAGTTAAATGTCTGAGTAGCTCCTCTCCTAATAAATTAACCGATCCAAGTTTTACTTGTATTCATCATTATTAGTTTTTAAAAATAAAATATAATTTGAATACATTAAACTTGAAAGCATACAACTATTCTTATCAGATAATAGACTTATATTTTTAAGTTATTCTTCTTTCGTGATAATTTTTCACTTAATTTGTACATTACATTTTTTATAATCGTTAAATTTTGATATTAGCTTGTTTAGCGTTGCAAATTTATTATAGTGATGAATTTTATGTTTGGGATATTAATATTACATTTTTTTTTTTAGCTTCAAAGTGGAGATTTCAAGGTATGGGTTTTATAAGTAATATGCATTTTTTTGGTTTTGTAGATAGAATCTTTTAAGTTGCTATATCACAAGCTTCTTTCGGGGGTTGTAAAAATAAATTAATTTTCCAAATAAAATCAGCAACCCCTAAGTAATGCAAATTTAGTTTTCAAGTATTATATACATTTTCTATAGTATTAATATATTGGTTATAAAAATAACATTTGTTTTGAGTCGTTGATCTAAGAAGAAACATTCTATGGTCGCTGAGAAGTATTTTTGTAAATTTTATAAGCACATCAGGCATTTAAAAATATATTAATTTTAAAAATTATACATTTTTTTAAATATAGCATGTAGATTTAGATAAAATGTGTATTTTATTTAAGTATCCTAAAGTGATAACTTTAAAATTCATTCATATTCACCGACCAATGATTGTTTTAAACAGTGGCTGTCTAAACTTATTAAGTTGCTAGCTTTCTAGTACTTGACTTTTTTTTTTTTTATAAAAAAACTTAGAATGCATTAAGCAATTTGGATTATGAAAAATGTATTTAGTACTGAATGATTTACTGAATTTGAATTTGTGTTATTAATACCAATTTTTTTTTTATTAAATATAATGCATGTCACTTATTTAATGATGTACAATTATTTGTCTTGAAAATAATGTTTTTTTATGATTTAGTTTATTAGTTAATACAGTAAGAATGCAAGTGTCATTTCAACTAATAAAATGCTAAATGTAAAAAAAAAATTTTTATGTTTCAACAGGATATAAATTCACTGGTAAAAAATAAAGCGGAGAAGAATGACCAACCAAAGGATGGACAAAAAAATACTATGTACATTTCCTTTATTACTTAAGATATCGATATATTATTTTATTTAAATATATGATTTTTGTTCATTTTTCTTTTTTAATTTATGTATTTTTTATAGGCATATGGATTCAAAAATTATGTTAAATAGTCTTGATGAAAAACTAGATAAGGCTACATTGTTTAGTACTAGTAAAGACAACACGTTTTCCAATGAACAAGAACTTGAATGGGTTAATAAAGACGATTTACTTACGAATGCAGATTCTAATGTATGTTCTGAAAGTTCAAAAGACTGCGATTCGAATGGTTTTTTAGATAGTCGGTTGCGACTTAATAAATTCATTGGAATCGCTGCTAATGCAGCTTTGGAAAAACTAGGCAACACTGATACGACTGACAAGATGAGTGAATCGACTATCAAGGAACTTGCTAAACAAGTGTTAGATGGTTTAGTTAAGGAAAAAAAAGCTGGTATGGATATATTGAAGGGTGTCGAATTAAATTGTGTTGATTTGAATACTGTAAAGGAAGCTTTAAAAAATGTAAACATCAATAAATCATGTAATTTACCAATGCAGCCGCCACCTTTACCACCGTCAAGTCTGCTGAAATTATCAGTAACAAATACATCGACTAAATCACCAAACAGTAGTGAAATTGTCGAATCTCAAAATATAACTATTAGTGTACAACCAGCAGCACAATCGTGCTCTGGTAATATTAATGTATCGTCTAATAAGCCGCTAAGTATTCGTGATAAATTGACAAGTGACATAAACATTCTGCATAAAATCGGACAGCCATCGACTGAACCAAAACAAAAATACATTTCAGCATTAAAGCCTGGCACACTTCTTGATTTAGAAAGTTCTAAAGTTGTCCGGTCATCACTTCATATAGAGTCGTTAAGAGCAATGTCTAAACCAAGTGAATCTAAAATCAGTAAGCAGCCGCCACCCCCAGAAGTCTCTCCTCGTGATCCTCGGATAAGGGCGAAATCTCAGACGAGTTCTGATAAAGTTGTGATGAAAACTAGTACGATTCCACCACTTATCCCACCGCTTATCCCTCCGCTCATGCAACCTTCGTTGATTTATAATAGTAAAACTAATCCTTTATCAGGACTGGCTAGTGGACAGACCAATTTGACAATGCCTCCTGGCTGTACAAATATGCAGATGCCATTTAATCAGCAACACCCGAAAGCTTTGTACGACCCAAACTTTACTTATCTATCAAATTATAGAAATCCAAGTCAATCTAATCAATATAGGCCAAATAGTAATAACCAGAACTTGGACCACACAAAAAGTTACTCTCCGGGACAAAAACAAATGAGTAATTTACCAAGTGATGTTTTAATGAGACCTCGGGAACAAGTACATGGTTATGATGATTATAAGCCTAATTGGAGAGATTCCCAGTCGAAGAGAACAGATTACGGTGCAACTAAACATTGCCGCAGTTACAAAGATTATAGAGAAGCAAAATATGGAAAAGAATCTTTAAATAGAAATTCTTCTAAAGGCTATGATAGAAGTAAAAGTAAAGTTCAAGAAAAATCCGTTCACGACGGTGAGAAAGGTAAGTCTTCATGCAGCAATCCTTACTATACTTTTGGAGTAATAAAGGATTCATCTGGAATTAAAAGTTTCAAAATACCAAAACTTAATAAACGCGTTAAAAATGCCGATGTCAATATTGGTAATGATACTGACAAGGAAGTAGTAGTAACAAATGACACTGCCAGTGCAGAAGTTGTTGCTTCTAAAGAAACTATAAAAAATCCAAGTGACTTACCTGAAACCGAATCTGTGCATACTCAGATTTGTGATACTAAATGTAGTAACAATAGTGAAAATGAAACTGAACAAGTTGCCAAAGAGAAAAAACCTGTCGATGATCCTGAGAAACCTAAGGATACATGTAAACTTAAAAAACCCAAAAAGTATAGCAAGGAAAGAGAATTTGAAAAAATTGTGAAAGAAGCTGTACAAATTTCTAAACTTGATGTAAGAGGACCGAGAACTAGAACAAGAAGTACTTTATTGAAAAGTGATGACGTTAAAATTAAATCTGTTGAAAAAAACAGTATGTCGAAATCTGACAAACAAGTTAATGATAAAACTTCTGTTTTGACAGTAAATAATAAAGAGTCAGTTACTAAGTCAAACTCTGATAGTGATTCAACAGATGTAGGACAAAATGTTATATCATCAACATCAAAAGATCTGGATTCCACTTGTTCAGTGACAGCATCTAACTGCCAAGTTTCCGAACAATCGTCACAAGTTATTTCTTCCAGTGAGATTAATTCCACCGGGGAACTAATAAATAATCCTAACGTTAAAAACTTGCTTTTTGATCTTATTGCTCAATCAAATCCAAAACTTATGTCGGTAATCACTAAGCTACAAGATGAAAGTGTTATTGATAAGCTCTGTAAGCTTTTGGATAGGGACGGTATAATCGACAAGGAAACTCAAGATGAACTTACTGCTTCTAATAAAGAATGTTTAGATACCAAAGGTCATAAAACTACCAATAAAAATGATAAATGTGAAAAAGATGTTAATCGTGATGTAGAAGAAACCGTAAATTCCAATATGGAGTGTTCCTCACAAAATGATAATGATGTAGCTAATAATTCAGATGATGAAAGTTTAAATTGTAATAGCGTGAAAAATGGTTCAAGTGGAAATTGTAGTAAGCCTGTTGATAAAAATAATATGAACAACAAGGAAATTCAAGATGAAGTTACTAAAAACAGTGAAGGTGGAAAAATTATGAATCATGAAATGAAAGAAAAGAAAAAGACTCATTTGGATTCTGCTTCGAACGACGATAACGATTATGTTAATAGTTCAGACGATGACAGCTTTAAAGTTAATTGTAAAATGATGAATGTCAAAAGGACTAAAAATTGCCTAAATGACTCGAGTGATAATGATAGTGACAACGCTAGTTCAGTTCATCCAGAACATGACCCCAAGTCGCTTCAAAACTCGCTTGATTTAAATAAATTGTCGAAAAATGACAAAGTTTCGGAAGGAGATAAATCTCAGACTACTGAATTCAGAGAAATAAAAATAGTTATTCCAAAGCTCGATGAGAATATGATAAACAGTGAAATTTTTAATCGAGAACCTTCCAACAAAAATATTTCTGCAATTAAATGTATAAAGAAAGTTACTAAAAAGCCACCAATAGTATTTGTTGGGCCATTAAGTAAAAAAAAAGAAATGTTGAACGCTAAACAGAACAATGAAGAATTAAGATTTACCATACCTAAGTTAAGTAAGAAAAAGAAGAAAGTAATCAAATCAACGCTGCCTGAAGAAAATAAAAATATACCAAGTTCTACTTCATTAATTGATTTACCAAATACTTCTAACGAAACATCTGAAACATTGAGACCAGATGATTTGAATGAGAGTACAGTAAGTTTACAAAATGAAAAGTCGGACGAACCGGGCAGTATAGAGGATACTATAAACCAAACTTCTACAAACACTCATAATATAGTAGTGGACAATAAATGTGATCCTAAAAAAACCAAACCGAAAATGAGATACCAGACCGAATTAGATAAACTTCATGCACACATTAGCGATATGTATGATGTTAAGGCTATTATAAATTTGTCTAATGAGCGCCACTGTCGGACCAATAAACTTGTCGATTATACGGGTACCAATAATTTAGCGTCCGTAGGAAAAAATAGGCTAGAAGATATGGAAAACTCTGAGTTTGACGTTGAACCAAACAAACGTGTGTCTATTAAAGAATCAAAAAAAAAGAAGAAAGGTAGAAAACCAGGTCCTAAAGGTAGTATGTCTATAATCAACGTTGAAGTCGCTCCTACTGTTGAGAGTGCTTGTGAAGAATTAGATAGCCAATTGTCTGAGGATACAGTAATGACCACGGACAATGAACATGACGACAGTCAACCTAAAAAATACAAAACATTTTTAACTAAATATAAATTGTCGAAAAAAATAAAGAAAAAAAAGCCAATGTCGAATAAGAAAAAATATATAACATCTGAAACAACAAACAAAAACAGTTCTGTTCATGTTACTGATCAGGAAGTTGATTACACAGACAAAGAATATTACCAGGACGTTGAAAATGTTATGATGAAATGCAAATTTTGCGATTACTGTAGTACCGATCAGTCTATTGTTCATCACTATAAACAAATCCACACGGAGGAGGAGGTGTTACCATCTAGATTACCCAATAGTTGCGCTAAAACATTAATAAACGAGTCAATCAGGGAAAATTTAGGTTTCATGAATTGTGAACACGTCGAAGAAACTAAAATACCAATACATGATCAAAATATCGATAACTATTTTACATGCGTCTTTTGTCGAACGACCTACTATGATATCGTCAAGTTTTATGATCATATCACTACCCACACCGGTGAATATCGGTATAAATGTAAAGAGTGTGATGAAGTTTACGTCGACGAAAGCAACTTGGAGGAGCATATTAAAATTCATTCGACTTATGACAGGTCTGATGACATCTTTAATCTAATTTACCCAAATCCTGTCCAAAGTAACACCCTCGTTGGATACCTATGTCCATTTTGCAATTTCGTTCAGTTGAATTATAACAACACAATTAGACATATGGTTCGTCATCATTCTGCCGAAGATAAAAAGCTCAATAGTTATTGGACTGTAATACGTGTGAATATGTCGTTCAATGAAGACAGTAGTAATTCTTTACTCAATAATGATATAGATTATAGCAGTTTGGTAGGGTGTCGACCTCCTCTTCAACACAAACCAGACAATAGTGATTTGAGAAATAAAATAAAAACTAAAAGCGGAGAAGTCTGTAATCCAAAAACAAAAAACAGGATGTTGGAACTTATTGCTGAAGCCAAGCAACAACTTCTCACTAACCCAAAATCTATAAAAAATGAAGCGTGTGAAGATCAAGAAGTGATAAGTGTATCGAGCACTTCACACGTTGAACAATTAACAGATAGAAGTAAGTAAAGTAATTAGTATTTTATTGTTCATTAGTGTTGTTTAATGTTTTTTTTTTTATCAACAGGTTTGGAGAGCAATGCCAGTGATTCGAACTCGCAAAGTAACCCAAAAAGAGTTTGTCCCAAATATATTCTGAAAAACAATTGTACGAACTGTGCAGTTGGCGATATAAGCTGTGAACAGAAAGATTCCATTCTGCTTTACAGATGCATGGTTCCTACATGCTTTAAAAAACGATTTTCATCAATGTTTTTTAATGAATTTTCCAAACACATTGAAACGTGTCATCAACTAGTAAATTGGAACGGAGTATGCGATATCTGTGCAGAGACAGTAGAAACAAATTCTAAAAGTTCACACTTGCCCAATGCTCTGCAACATTTGGTTTCGTGCCATTTGATATTGGATGAAGACAAACAACTCGATATATGTATGTGTTGTTAAAATAGCTTTGCGAGTTATAGTTATACGGAACATCTTATTTTTCAGCAAACATTGATGATGTCGACGATGAACAAAATCTACTTGATCAACAGCCAAGTACTGAAAACGTCACGACTGATCAACAACCAAATACTGAAAACGTCACGACTGATCAACAGCCAAATACTGAAAACGTCGTGACTAATCAGCAGAAGCCATTAGTAAAGTTGCGGGTTCGTCATTTACCCGGCGACACTCTTTCAACGATTTGTAAGTAAAATTATAATTTACAAAACATAAGTGGCGCCAATTACACATAGCTTAGGTGAAGCAACTGGTCCTAATTAAAGTTTATTGTACAGTAGCACACATTTTTATGTACAGCCTAACAGGATGGGTCGAGTTCTAGTCATTTTTCATAAATTGTTTTATTGCTGGGTGCCAGCGCAGAAAATGTTATGTTTTATTATGCCATTAAAAATTTAAAACCCGTTAATGTTCTAAGCATTATGATAATTTTTTCTAAAAAAATAAAATAAAACAATTTACTAGCTTTATAATTTTGCTTGCACTAATACCTATAGCTTATACGATTATGCATGATCACAGTTTGTATGAGATTGTTTAATAACAATATTTGAACACATCTCTAACTGAACAGGTGATGTGTGTTTCGAAAATGCACACTACGGTTGCATGTTATTACTTCTTATCGAACATACTGTGTATTATATTTTACACTTAAATTATAACACGAGTAAACAATAACAAATTAATATTTGCTAAATCATGATTTATGACTTCAATGTACACATGTATAGTGTTATTTATTTTATTGAAATATTCTGTGCTACAAAATGCTGTACAACAGAAATTGAACAAAAATTTTAAGACTGGAATTTATTTTTTTTTTTTTTAAATAGGCTAACACAAGTTTTTGGTTTTCAATATCGTGTCATTTATCTTAGTGATTGTATTTACTACAATCATAATTTAATTTTTAATTTTAAACAACTTTGAATTAATTTTAAAAGAGAAAACAGAATATATTTTTTAATTGTATACAAAATATAACAGTTTTTAAGTAGTCTGTCCTTGCTCATATGATTAAATCATATTTTTGAAACTTCAAAAGTGTAATACATGCTTTTTCTAAATTTAAATTAAAATGTTTTTGTTGTTGGCTGCTGCTGCTGAGGTTATTGACTTAAGGTACATGTTATACCTACTCTATTTACCTTTGGCATCGATGTAAAAGTTCTTAACAATATTATGTCATTATGATTTTTTATAGCCATATTTATGTTAAATTTAATATGTCTATTATACAATAGCTAGAGTTATCCGAGTATTGTACCTAAAACACTACAATAATTTTAACAAAAAATATTTTGATAATGACGTGTATGCATAAAACATTGTTTTTTATATTTTAGAATAATTGTTTAAAGAAGGTAGAATATTTTTTTTTAATATTTCTTTTCGTCTGAAGGTATAGTATAGAGTTTACAATTAATTCCTTTAATTGTTTAATGTGCATAAAATTATAGCAAAATATATCTAATTTTATCATAATGCTTAAGTTCAACAAATGTGATAAGTAAATACATTTTTATACATTTAGGTCGTCAATTTTAAGTATATAGTTTTTTCAATATAATGCGTGTAAAAACTTTACAATTTAGAATGAATACAAATTTTACTATAGTAAAAAAAAAAAAAAAAGGAGTGTATGAAGTCGATAACAAATAATTGAATTGTTTTGAATCACGGACAATAGGTGATAGTAATGACTTAAAAAGTAACGTTGCGGAGGGACTGGAAGAACATCTGTGTAAACAGATCCATTCTGTGTTTTCCTTAAAAGACAATTTGAAGCAAGCTGTAGTTGGAAATATCAATTGTGAAATAGTGAATAACACGTTATTGTACAAATGTATGGAGATCTCGTGTGTAAATGATTTTTCCACAAAATTCTACAAAGAATTCGCTAAGCATATAAAGATAAACCATGAATTGTCTGCATGGGATGGCATGTGCAATATATGTGGCCATGGATTGTGGAGAAGTATTAGTAGCCTGTACTTGGAAAATGCCCTCGAACATTTGGTATCCCATCATTTTATAGTTTGTAAGGACAAGCGATATATTATTACTAGTAAGTAAATTGTCACAGTATCTATGCGTTATTTGTATTGAAAATCTATTTATGTCAATTCCAAAGTTATCGTGTACTAATTGCATAGCATGGTTTTATATGTTGGACTTTTTATATTATGCATTTGAAATTCTATGTTCAAGCTCTTTTGTTTTTTGATTAGCTTATTGAATTAGTAAACTAGATTTTTTTTTTAATGATTAATACATAAACAAAAAAAAAAAAGGTGGTTTGTTGGTCCAGATGACTTTGTTCACAAATATCTGTTTTTTGTTATTACTTATTGGCTACTGTGTGGAACGTAAAATACCTAAAAAAAAAGCCTTTAAATGATAGACTGATCCAATTAACGTAAACTACCTCTTTTGACAACGTTTTCAATTAGACCATTTTACAAATATTTGCCTTTTAAATTGTTTCTAGATCTCTCTAACATTTGAATCTTATAATGCACACATTATCGATTTTATTTACTTTTGAAATGAGGAATAACTTACTTAACATTTTGATTGGTTAGCAAAAAGTTTTGAATAATTACACTTTAAGATTATTAAGACAGGTGGTCTAACAGTCCAAACAACTAAAAGTAGTACTGTTGCAATATATATATATTTTTTTTTTTTTCATATTTAAGCAACACAATTAGCGTAAGCAAAGCGTGGTCAAGTTCGTTGGGAGGCTGGAGCCCCACAACAAATTACGAATGTGAGGCTTGAAGGGGTTCCCCCATACCTCCCTTCCACCAATTTATATTATCGGTGATTACTATAGTATTGTTAATACGATTATATCCTCGACTAAAGTGTGAGTGGTGAATAAAACCAACATCTTTATTATTTGATACCATTTTCCAACTTATAATTTTAAAATAAACATGTTCACAATGTTGTCTGCAGAAAGTGGATCATGTACTATATATATATATATATTAGTATTAAATATTATATTTACATGTGGTTGTAGTGCTTTATTACTTTGGGAGTTTTGTACATAATTACTGTGGTGTGGTGCTTAAAATCTTTTATTTTACAAACAATTTCATCTATAGTTAGATATAAGATATTTTTTATGGCTACTGGAAATTTGGCTTAAAATGTATTATAGTTTTGAAAACTTTTTTTTTTCTAGAAAAATAGAGCTTTTTTTTGTATAATTTAATTTATGTTTAAAAATCAAATACTAATGTGTCATTATGGTTTTATTGGAAATAGAATTACTTAAATTAAGACATATTATTTCTTCATGGTATCTTTCATAGCAACAGTTATGTGGTAGGGTGGCACAAGTTGGTGTAATATCACTTTTTGGAAAATAAATTGATTATAAAATTCTAAAAAAAATGTTTGTTATTCTATAAATATTGTAAACATTCTCCATACAACCAATACCCATACCTGCAATTTAAAATTCAACTAAAAATTGATTTTTGGTCGGATCCTCTCAAATTACTCGGTTGCTTACACAAATCTAATGAACATCAATACCTATTTTAAAATAATTAATCACATCAAAAGTAACAAAAAATTACATGTCAACTTATGCCATCTAGTTAGAGTAGTTAAACATAAATTATAAATAATATGGAATTTTATTTGTTTTTTTAGTCTACATACACTTTAATGTAAAATAAACATTTATCCTTGTATAATTTTGCTGAGGGTTGACTGTTTTTTTTTTCCAGCAAATCATCCAGTAGAAAATAATATAAGAAGTTCAAATAATCAATCGATTACCAATGAAGTATTAGCTGAGCAAACTATTACAGAAAATAATTCAGGTAAATTAATAAATCTAATTATTCAGCAAAATATACTCGATTATGTTTTTAATTTTTAAACATCGCTTCTTTATGATAAAAATGGATTAACTACCAGGGCTCATACAAGTATCATATTTACAGGGGGGATATGGGGGATAAGATCACCTTCTTGAGCTGTTGTCTCAATATAGTTTTACTTTTATGTCCACCTGTTTTCTTATATCGGACATGAGTAGATAGTGTAACGGGGTTGAGAGAATTTAAATGGGTAGTTAACACAATAATTAGAATAACAATAACATACAAATTTGTATCTTAATTTCGATACAAATTGGTTTGGTTAATACCAAAGTATCAACACAAGCTGTCAGTAACACGTGTAAGAATAAATAAATATACTCGATGTCTCCAGTCGGGTAAAAAATAATAGAATTAAAAAGGCTGAACAATTTGTTTGTTAGAAATCTGAATTTTTGTTTTCTCATTACGAATATTTGCATGTATATTATTATTTTTATGTAAAAAAAATATAAAAAATGTTTTATTTTATAAATATTTTGTATGTTATATTTAGATGTCATTGACAACGAAGACTACCAACACGGAACTGATGTTGTCGACACTAACATAGCTATAAATTCCATAGCCAATAATGTTTCACTAACTTCGACATCAAGTAAGAACATATTATAAAGTCAAAAAAAAAAACAAGATTTTTTTTTTTTTTAATATTTTAGTGATTCCTTTTTATTTTATTTAAAGATAATAAGAAAATATTTCGCTATATTGGACTAAGCTTAGCAAATATACACACTTAGGAAAATGCAATTATTTTTATTACCATTGGTTTTTAATAATATAAATTCACAAGTCCACGAGTGACTCTTCACAATTTTATAAATGATTTCTTTAATTGTGTGATAAACATGTTATCCACACTAAAATAATTGAATAATTGTTTGACTGACAATCAAATTATGAACGGCTGGTGTTATCCCTAAGAATTATTAGGGCCGATTGGTTAGATTAATATATTTGATTTAGAGTGTGCCCCTAGTCTGCTGGTTAGGGCAAACCTAAATATTGTACGTAGGTTTTTTATAGTTTGTTTGCAAAGAAATACCTGTACGATATATCCAGTATAGTCTTAGCAAATAAAACAGATAGCCTAGAAAAAAACTTTATATTAAAAGCTTATATTTTAATTAAATACAATTTTTAAATGAATTTAATTTAAAAATAATTGCATTTATATTTGATTAATTTGTTTAAAATTACCACATATGGCACTAAACAAGTATTTCTCTAATAAAAATGGTATTTTTTATATTTTAGGCAATGAAATGGATTTCAATACACATCAGCCTAACAGCATCTCAACAGAACCACCTCCTTCAATTAAGATAGTAAATGTTCAGAGTTTAAAAAGGGTATAATTTGTAATTTAACATACACATGAGCAACTCCATTAAAAAAAACATTTTGAAACATATTTCTAAAGATATTAATTGTCTTTAGAAATATGTTTCTTAATTGGTCTTAATTGTTACATTGTAATTTAGCAAATTTTACTATTTTTATTTTTAGGTTATATGTCTATGTGTAATTAAGAGGGGGAGGCGCTTACCTTTTTTTGTAGAGAATACATTAAATGTTTAAAACCTTGTAAAATTTGATGGTATTTATAAATGTTTTTTTAGAGTTACAAAACAAAGAAACGTAAACTTCAAGCTAATAAGTCTAATGGTGACGATGATAAATTGGGCACGTGGATGATGTTACCCACACGTTGTGAAAGTATGAATTCAGACTACAGTGTGCATCTTGAACCAGGACAGCAAATAATAAATTATGGGGATCCTAATAATGGCACATATTATTTAATAGAGACCGATTATAATAAAAACTATGAAAAACAGTTCCGTGAATTGCCAGTTAATGTGTTGAAAACTGATTTAGCTTTCCAAGCTATGATGGTTGTGCCAACACGTTTAGGCCTATTCAAATGTTTTGAACGATCGTGTTCGAAAATTTTTAACAGTATAGAACTTTTCAAGTTACACATGGAGTTGCATTATTGTAATTCAGAAAAAAAGAAAAGTAATTAATGTTATATTTTTAAATAGTCAATAGACTTTTAATTCTATTATAATTTTTGTCAATTATTTTATTTTTATTTTTTAGAAAAACAAATTTACAACACGGAACAGTTCAAAAAATGTGTTTATTGTTTTAAAACATTTGATGATGCAAATTCCTTAGCGAATCATATTTCCGAGAGGTATACTCATTGTTTATATTTTTGTCAGTATTGTTTTTATCGTGCATACACAGCATCACACGTTTTGGTACATCAGGTAACTATAAAATTAGTAACAATGTTTTCTATGAATATTTTTTTCTTAAAAGAAAATTAATTACAACATTTATTTCAGTCGAAATTCCATACTGAAGCCAAGCCTTCAATACTACAACTACAACTTGACAATCAAAGCTTAAGTTCCAAAGAATCTGTGTTGGCTGTAGATTACAAAAAATTTGTATTACCATACGTTTGTAACGTCGGTATGTAGTTTTTTTATTCTTTTTAATTTTTTTTATTGGACACTATATTTTATTATTTCTTTTGCGTCTCCTATTAACATTAAATACTCTTATTAAAAGTCTTATATCCTCTACTCGGACATATAATATATCTTTTCAATTCTAGTATAGCTATTCAGTATTCTTTGACTAACTATTAAAAGTTTGTCAATCATTTCTCTTGGTATTTTTTGTTTCCTTTGCACTTAACTACTTAGTGGTTTTATAATCTAATAACATTTTTTTAGGTCACTGCTTGTTTTCTTGTTATGTGGTTGACGATTTTATAACACATTCAAATGTCGAGCACCAACGATGTGATAAATTTAGTTGTTACATATGTGATAATAATAATGACAACGGAAACGGTTGCTTTGCTTTGCAACTAGAAAATTTGATTAAGGTAATAACAGGTTACAAAAATGTTTGTGGAGAAAACAAAAATAATTTTTTTTATTATTTTTTTTTTTAGCACTTTAAGCTTCACACTATAAATTTGTACCAATGTATTTTCTGTTTATTCGGAGCGGAAAATTTGGACTCAATGATAATACACTTGGCAATGGAACATTTCGAGTACAACTCTTTATGTCTAGAACGATCTTTGATAAATACAGATGGCGTAAGTTACTTTTAAATGGTTAATCATTTTAAATATTGATATTAAATAAAATTAAAATACTATTTCAGGATTCTTCAAGAATCGAAAATCTGAAAATATTGCGATTAAATAAAGACATAGACAATGGTATTGTGCAAGTAGTGAGTCTCCCTGCTGATACTAACTCATTGCCAGAAATTATGCCGCACAGAACAAAAAAACGACGAATGCAATGTCCGGACGTCCTTGCAGCTGCAATGAATTCTGCTCATATTAACAGTAACCATCAATCGACTACTAATCCGATTGTTATAACAGTTCCTGACCAAACTTCTATGATGAATGACGAATCGCTTATAACGAAACCGGACGATGAATTTATCATGTTAAATGATATAAAAGAAACAGCCCAAGTAAATGCCACTTGGGCGGAAACAGACAATGATGAGGTTATAGTTATCGAAGACGACGACAACAACGATGATGATGATGATGTTTATAACTACAACGGTGATGGCAAAACAATATCGGAATCTGATTCTACGAGCATTTACGGAAGTACTGGGAGTTCTGTTAAGCAGAAGCGTTTAAGGAAAAATTCATACTGCGGTGTTCCTAAAATGAAAAAAATCAAGATCTCTACGAAACCTCACGTGGCTTTGGACAAATTATACTACTGTTTACATTGTGGTAAGTGTATGATTAAAATTGGTATTATCTTCTTTTAATAATAATGGCGAATCGACTGAAAGATGTATAATACTTCATTTTTTGTTACAGCAAAAGAATTCTTAACAAGCGATGCCTTTAAACTCCATATAATTCACTGTGTATATTGGACTAGTAAAACCGAAAAGCTGTGTTTTTACTGTACAAGATCTTTCAAAAATATCGCATTTTTTATCGAACACTTAAAAACGCATGGTCCGAATCGTTTCAAATGTTCTATGTGTAATTTCTATGTTCCAACCCAACGTAGTATTGAAAGACATATGAAAGACAAACACGAAATCAGTGATTTTAAAAATCTGCCAGTCAATGCAAACTGTTCTGATTATGAACGAGATGAATTTGTGACATACCCTAATACATTAATAAACAAGAAGAACAAGTATAACTGTAACGAATGTTCATTTACTGCAGTCACTCAAACCACAATAATTGATCATGTAAAAAATGATCATAATGCTATCAAATTCGAGATGTTCTTGACGAGTCCACCGACAGCTAGCAGTCGCCAAAGTGAATACCTTGTCAAAGTAACTGACCAACAAGACACTTTTCAACAACGTCGACAGCGTTCGGCTACGAAGAGAAAATGTTCGACTGAAAATTTAAATGTTAGTTAAACTTGTATTGTTCACGTTACTTTCGCCTTCTTTACTTCTTTCTTGTCATTTCATCGATCGACTGGAAAAGTTCTTGCCTCTGAACTAACCTCCTATCGATTTGAGCTTGTTTTTTTTTTTGCTTGTCAGTAGTTTGCGATAGTCTCTAACTTCAAAAATCTTTCTTTAGTTAACGTGTTAGCAGTTCACTATCATTAACTCCTATGACAATTTGTGCTTTCGACAACTCGTCTAAAGTTGGATTCATTTTGTTGTAATTTCTGAATTAGAAAATAGTTAAGTTATCTTAATCAGTTTGGGGTTTTTTTTTTTTTTTTTTGAAAAAACATTAGATTGCAGCCAATATTAGTGGATCTGCAAACTCGACCAAGATTTCAAAAATTGAAACAAAATGTTTGTATTTTTCACCTGAAACGGTTGACGACGTTCCAATGACGCATATATTCACCGATAACATCAGATGTTCAGTATGTGGGTACAGTACCAAAGTGCGGTCAAACCTTATAATACATCTCAAAAAGCACGAAAAAGGGCAAGAAAGTACAACTAAAGACATTGTTAATCCTGTACCGTCTGTTGGCAAGACAGAACTGATGTTTGACAAAATGATAAATTTAGCTGCCAGTTCAGTTGAAGCTATGTCTAATGAAAAGGTAGTGGATTAATTCGAATGCACATTCTTCTTAAGCTTAACTGTAGAAACCGCCCAAACATTTATGTTGTACTTCATATTTTTTGTTTCTAATGTTTCATTCATAAGTATATGTTATGGTATTTTTATTATAAAACATATTTCCAGATAAAGATTGAAGAACTATTCAAAAAAATAGTTGAAGTACCTTCATATAAGAACTTATCGTTCCATCCACAATTTGTAACGAAAAATAAACGATACAAGTGTTCAGGTCAAAACTGTCCCTTTACTGGCGTAGATGAAGTAATGCTTAAAAATCATTTATCAGTCTTTCACCCAGAATTGCCGTATTATTTGTGAGTACAATACACTACTTTTGAAACAGTCTAAACAAATTATTGTGTTTCTTAACTATTTCTAACTGATGTGATGGTAGATGTCCTCATTGTCCGGCGACACTTGATAGAATGGTGAATATAAGTGAAATTGGATATCATCTGATGCTTCATAGCGAGAATTTATATCGTTGTTCGTATTGTGAATACATGCACTACAATTGCAACGAAATGAAAATACATATGACAAAGTTACATTTGTTACTAGTCGACAGAAGCGATGAATCTAAGATTATTGTTTTAAGAAAAAAAATAGCTGACGACACCAGCAACAGCCAAGGTATGTGTGACACATATTTTAAACGCGTTGGTCGGTTACAAATGTGAAAAGCTTATTTAAAACCTTTATTTTTATTTTTTTATTATAGGATCATCAACCGCTGCAGAATGGGTGTGCAATATCTGTAATGTTGGTAACAAATTTACAGAAAATGAAATCAAAACTCACATTCATTATGTTCACGACTTGTCAAATATGTTTAAATGTCCCAATTGTACATTTGAATACAACGACGATGATAACAAAATATTGGAAGATCATTTTAAAGCCAAACACCCTTCAGCACCGGTTAAATGTTTTCAAGTGTACAAAAAAGTATGTTTACAACATATATTTAATTTAAAAAAACCTATTTCTTTAATAAAAAATAACAATGTATTTCTACAGATTTGCGAAGAACAGTTCAATAACAGTGTTCCATTAGCTACGGAATATGTTCAAGAGCACCAAGCGTTAGAAAGTCTTGAGTTAGCACATATGCCGTCTACGTGTCGTGGTATTCCCATTGAGTCGGTACCTTCTACAAGCAAGTCGACCAAAACCCGTGCTGTATCTAAGAGTCCAACAAAAGCGGCTAAAAATTCTCCAGCTCGGAGTTTTAAACAAAGAACAGCTACTGACACCTTTAACAAGAAAGATAGCTTGGGAACAGTTATGCCAAACGGCCATTACCTGTGTCCCAAATGTAACGTTTTTTCCGCTTCAACTTCTATGGAATTTCGGGAACATTTGTATAAAGAAATCGACTACAAAACGTAATCACTAATGAATATAGATTGAACACTACGTTATTTTAAAAAATTTGTTAAAAACTAACTGGTATCAATTTGTGTGTGTAGCATATGGAAGTGTATGGAATGTTTTGAGATTTCCACATCTCCAAAGAAAATGGCTTGGCATGTTAAAAAGCATAAGAATTTTGGGAAATATGAAAAAATAGAAGATGCTGACAAATTTAATTGGGTAATTTAGTTTTAATACACGATGGTACTTAGTTGGTAAATCAGTAATCGGTATTTGTATGTCTACAGTTTTACATAGCTCCGTCCCTACTATGGCCCGACCCTCACTGTACTGGCTTTTTTACCGTTGATTTATAAATGAATATTTTTTCTCAGGTTAACGCAGTAATCAAACATCAGACTGCATTATTGGAAAAGTTACAGAACAAAGAACGAGTAAAAATAAAAGCTGCAAAAAATATTACTATTCCAACATTATCTGGTGTAAGTAAAAGATAATAAACTATATCAAATTAAAAATTTTAACTATTATTTAATTTTTTAGGCACCAAGTACAAGTAATAACCAAGCAAAACGTGAGACAACAATATTAATCACTAGTAAAGAAACTGATTGTGAAGTTATTACACTAGATGATTCAGACGATGAATAATTTGGTAATATTCTTGTACTGTTAACATAACACAACATTATTATTAATACTTAACTTTTGAATGCGTTCAACCAATACGTGTTTAAATGAGTAATAATGAGTTGGACTTTACTAATCGCAGTTATATTATTATTATTGTGAAGCTCTTAAGATGTTCATCTAATAACTGTCCGTAGTTCATGTATTCATATTGTTTGCAAATTGCACTAATAGAAGGAAAGATTTTAATTTGACGTCAAATTAAATTGTTCACAAAATTAAACTATCTAAAAATCTAGATATTTTAGTATATGTGATATATTTGTTAACAGTTTAATACAATGCTAAATGCAGCATAGACTACTCGTATGTAGTACAGCATAGTTATATTATATTTGTTTACAGGTAACCAAAGTGTCATATTACGATGATATTAAGACTGATTGATGGATTTTTTTTTTGTCATATTATTATTTCCTTATAATAATAGTTATTATTAATTATTATTTCATTCCAGTATTAAAATTGTAGGTATAACTAATGTTTTTACTTTGAGAAATTAAAAATTATTTAATGCTAATTTGTTTGTTGACCTATTTTATTTAAAATGTAAAAAGATATGTTTAAAAGACTGTTTAAGCTAATTGTTTTAGTATTAGGTTATTTATTTATTTATTTTTTTTTAATTGAAATTCATCATCTTTGAAGTGATAGAAAGTATATTTTTCTTTTGCAAACTTTCTAATGAATTCTACATTAAAATATTTTTAAGTGCTACACATACTAGTTGTATTTCGAAGTATACTATATTTATCGAAACTTTATTTTCTGTTACTGATTTGTACAAATATACCAAAGTTAAAATGATTTATTTTAATTTGTATTTTTTTCTCAACCACCTCATCGTCGGACCCAGACTTAAAGTTTTCCACCCACTCCACTCTCATGGGTCGGCGTCTGTCCCAAAATGTGAACTATAGTGATTCCATCGAGTTGGGAAAATCTGGATTTCCAAAATTTTAAAGCGTTTGTGTTGAGGATTTTTAAAATTCGGATTTGCCCAACTCTGGAATGCTATATTATAGCAATTTACCATTTTCAAAAATTCGAGAGAGCTGACCTGACCTGACCGTTGCCTGGTCAAAGCCCTATTTACTCTGCAGCACAGTGACCCACGGTCCTGCTCATCCTTCAGTGTCTTCTGTATGCAATCATTCAGTTTAGATGCGCATTACTCGACCGCATCAGATCAATAATAATTGTACTTTTCTCGATTCGATTGCCAAAATCGATATCTCCATCAACTAATTCATTTTCTATAGATAAAAAATGGCCAAATTTGCTTGTCTCTCCTGGCCCATATAGTTGATCTTAAACAATTGTAATCTTGAATCGGCTGAAGTTTATAATATTACCCCTAATCCTCCATATTTATCCCGTACACTATGTTATACTTAAAATGTCCACTCCGTTCAAATTTCTCCTTTTTGTTCAATAACTTCCATTATCCCAATTATTTCAGCTCGTTAACATTATTTTCCCATTTCTCACTTAAAGTCCGATTTAAACGATTTACGAGTCGTGCAAACGCATACGGAATGAAGAATTGCCAGACGAATGTAGTAAGGAGATAAGATGAGCTGCAATCATTTCAGTGGATTATCGTTACTGAACACCACAACGTATAAGGTATTGTCCAAGATATTCTTAGGACCACTGGATTTGCAGATGATCTGAATCTAGTAGGAGAAAATAAAGAAAAAACAGTGTGAAATAAAAAAACACTCATACATGAAGAAAAAAATATTGGTTTATAAGTGAACGAGGAGAAAACGAAAGAAATGGAAACGTTGGCGGTTAGAGATGAGGAAGATCTTATGGTAGAGAATTATGTGTTCAAGAAAACCCAAAGCTCAAGTATTTAAGAGTAATGATCACTGGTAACAACTACTGGAGTGCTGAAATAGCCAGTCGCTTGGTCAAAGCGAAAATGGCTTTTATTGCACTCATTAAATACTTTAAATCAAAACTATTGTCTAGAGGAACAAAAGTACGCATATATACATGACTATTGTAAGACCAACATCAACCTATGGCCAATGACAGTGCAAATCGAACAAAAACACTGAGTATAAAGTGCTGAGAACAATATGTGGACCAATTTTCGATCCCTCAATAAATAAATGGCGTAGAAGAAAATAAGGAAAATTACCAAAGTAGGTAGGTACTTTGTATAACAAGCTACGTAAAGGGGCAAGGAATTCAGTGGTTTAGAGTTTGGACACACAATGAGAAGGGAAGAAACAGAGGCAGGCCAAAGAAACGATGGATGGATAGAGTGCGTCAAGATCTGAAGAGATTAGAATTTTGAAGTAACGGATTGGGAGGAAAGGATCTTAGAAAGGTTTTTAGGAGTCGGTGAAAGTGGCAACCAAAACTCTTACAGAGATGTGAAGAAGAATAATATTGAATTATTATTTAGTTGTTTGAATATGGAAATATTTTACAACACTGCTAACTGTCTAAGACTTATTTTTAACACTTTAGCAATATCTGAGTATCTACTAAGAAGTTACCTATAGATAATAATAGTTCAGAAAATATCTTAATCACATGCGGATGAGCTATGTAAATAAGTAAATCTCTTTGACACAAGAGACTTCTTGTTTTACAGAATCGAAATCAAAGCACACATTGTGGAGTTCTGATAGACTTTGAATGAGCCGTTTTACCAAAAAAAAAAATTGACCATTAATTTTAAAAAGCCAGTACAGTGGGGTAGGGGCATAGCGATAACTGAACAAATTGGGTTCGGGAGGGTCATAGATTTTTAGGAATTATTATAAATGAAGGGTACAGGGAAAAAACCAGCAGTCACTTTTTTCTAATCTAAGAAAAACATGTTTAAGTAATGCTAAAAAATGTTAAAGGAATACTTAAAACTTTAAAAAAAAATTGTATATTTTTGTTTTTAATCGTGCTTAAAAATAAAGAACCGATTTGTTTTGTGTCAAAACGAATTTTATAACGAAAAATTGTCATTTTTAAAAAGTGACTGCTGGTTCTTTCCTTGTACCCTTCAAATGAAAGTGTTAAAATCATTTTCAAACAAACGCTATGATACGAATCTTTAACGGTGAAAATACAAATACCGATAAAAGCATTGAACACCTAAAAAGCCAAAATAAAGAAACAGACGAGGCAAGAATTTGTCTAAAATTCTATTTCATTTTATTTTCTGTTAGGTTAGGTGAGGTTAGTTGCCATTGTTACCAATAAGCTATATTGTGTCAACAACATAATGCAATTATTTTTTATACACCTGTTGCAATTTACTACGATCAAGTGTAATTTTCCGTTTCTTTGTGGTTTCCTTAATAAATAAAAAAGTTTGACTACAGATTTAATTAATGCCTAGAACATCTAGAAAACGGTACACGAAGTTCTAATAAAAATTACATAATATAGCTATTAAAAACTATGTATATTATGTACTGTTTGTCGGTGGCAGAGTATTACTCATCGGCAACGCTCACTTGTCAAAACAATATTACTAATAAAATACAAATTACAAAAGTTGCGATAATTGCATTATCGGTTTTTTATCATTTTCCTGGTATTATATATCTAATCGCAAAGGCGTTACAATTTCAGATAACATCATATGTCATCAAAAAAAATTTTTTTTTTATGTACTCCAGAGCAAATATGGATAATATGTACATTTTAGATTTAAGAATAAGGAGTAAACATTTGAAACGGACTGCAACAGCTTCCTCGGTTAGCTATTTTACCTTACCAGCTGGCATTTTTGTATTTTGTATTTAATAACGGACAGTAGATATTGGGAGGTCATTTACTAAGGACCTAGTGACAATATTATAATTTATAACCGTCGATTATTACACATTTACCATTTATTATTTACAATTAATGGCATAACCAAACCGACTCCCTGTCAACAGCCACTCTGCTCCTAGTACCGGCTCACGCCTGCCTGCCCCCCCCCCCCGGCCATCAGGAAATCATCTTAACCCTCTTAAGGTCAAAATTATTGTGTCTCACGTCTCTTAGCCGAGGTGCGTTGCTTAGCTTTCGGCAAGCTAAGAATTTACAGCATCCACCTTGATTTCAAAAATTTGAATCTGAAAATCCGAACGCCTGCCGTGTGCCGTGTGGTTTGTGAAAATTCCACTAGAGCGCACCGCCGTGTGTCTTAATCTTGGGTTTTCCAATGGGTAAGGCACGAAATCGGTGAGCAATACCACACACCAAAGTCCAGCTAAACCCGTAAATCTTTAATACGACATAGGTAGGTAGTCATCACGGTCAGCGACGGCTTAAACAAACGATAAGAAGGGATGGGGGGGGGGAAAGAAATAATAACAATTAAAATTTGATAATAACCGTGGTTTGTTGTTAATATTATGTGATAATAAAAACCGTGTGATAACGGCACGTGCGTTTCGACCGGCGTCGGCGGCGGCGGCGGCAACTGGTACGAGGTAGTGCGGGGGAAAACAAAAAACAAATTTTTATAAGCTTCGGTTTTTTCCTTTTTATTATTAATTATTTTGTTATTTGAAATATTTTCTACGCAGCGGGTGTACATCCGGTTATCGGCACCGCGGCAAAGCATAGCGCAGTACATCACTACGGGAAAAACGATAATACTTATTAGGTATTTAAATAATTAACGGTCTCTCCGCCACTTTGGCACACCACCCCCTTTGGCGGCGGCGGCGGCGGCAGGTGGACTTAGCGCGGTGACCGAGTCTACCGGAGAAATATGCCGCGGCGGTACGGTCCGGCGGTGGCCTCCGCGCCGCGCACGCTCGCCGTATCACAAACAGATCAATAACTCCTGCAAAACACAATAATATACATCCACAGCACACTCAGCTGGTCCTGGTGGCTACTCGGTGTTGCTGCTGCTGCTGCCCGTTCTCGGATCCGATTGTAACGCGCGAAAACTCGGCCTGTACGCCGCGCCGAACCCGATATAAATAATTGTTTTTGCTCCGGCCGTTTGTAAATCCCAAAAATTGAAATTCCAAAAAAAAACCACCCCCTGCCCCATTTTGCGCGGGGTCGCGCGACGTTCATGTTGCCAACAATTCCGGGTTCGACACTTCTTACAAGTGGTGGTGGTCCTTTGTGGTGTTTCACGCTCGGTACTTTTTGCGTTTCCCCCCCGACTTAGCGGTGTTCTTCTCTTCTCGCCCGTTTCCTCTTCTTTCCTTCTTTCATTTTCTTCTTTACACAACGACAGTCGACGAGACTACTCTTCGTACGGAAAACCATGATCTCTATTTTACTCAAGTCCAGTGTTCGTCTAGTTGTAGTTGTAGTAGTAATGTACTCAAGTATCGGTCTAGTGCCGTTGGCGTGCAGTCAGGCGCCTACGTTGTCTTACCATCACGATTCAGGTAAGAATTATTATTTATTGTTACCGTCTAACCCCCCGATTGCTGGTGAACCGATCTTGTCGGTAGCGTATTTACAATTTTCTCCTAGGGAATGATGGGGGCAACAAAAAAAAATTTCCCCCTGGCTCCCTTGTGGCCCAAACAAAAAATGTGAACCGTGATTTATTTTCTTGAACCCTCCATCAGACGGACGGTTTTCGGATAATTCAAGTGTGACTCGAGTAAACTGTTCGCGTCAGTCACACAACTATATTTTATCATCGGGGTAAATTTTTATCCACAGTAAAGTTGATTTCAAGTCTCAATTAATAAAAAAAAATTATTCCGTATCCATTTCTAAAAGTGATTATCAAGTAAAAAACTATTATTAAAATTTACTCTTCTTTACCTTTTAGTATAAAAATATACTACTTCACCTAATATTATAATAAAAACAAATTTTTTGCGGTCTTCCATTCTAAACTTTTACTTAACAAGAAAAGATTTCTATTTAACATTAATAATAATAATATATTTTTTAAAAATCAAGGCTCTGGAAGATAATATATCACACTGATCACCACCTGTAAATACGCCACTGACTCACATATACTTTAATATTTGTCGATTCCAATTTATATTATGATCCACGTCGTTTTAGTCAATCACATTTAAAATAGTCTCAAATAAATCGGTAGCAAAAAAATAAATTGAAACCGAAGAGTATATTTTTTCGAAGAACATGTTCAAAATTTTTTGTCTACAATAAAATTTATTAAGTTAGAAGTAAACTTAAAAAAAAAAAAAATACTATATTTTAGAAATAATAAGAATTTTTTCTTAGATTTTTCGTTAGGTTAGTTACTTATATATTTGCTTTGCTCTAACTAAACTGGTGTAATAATTATCTATTTTACTCACAAACAAATGTGGAATAATTACATTTCATTATTTATTTTCAGTGTATATTCAGTCTCAACATGCTCCTTATGTTGTGAAAGATATTGGACAGCATTCAAGTAAAGTAAGTACACTAAATATTATTTTTATAGGCATATCTATGGACATAGCACAGGCACCAGAAAACAGTGAGTCGTAGTGGTGAATGTGTGCATTTTTTAGTGAAACAGAATATATATATGTTTAGTAAGTTTTTTTTATTAATAATACTTGAAAAGCAAAAGGGTCTATCTTAATTTCTTTACGACACATTTTGTTCAGGGTTATTTAATACGTCATTATATTGATTGTCAACATGTCAATTTGTAAGTTTTTCATTTTTAAATGTTTTCTTATAGTTCACTACATCACTGAGTGTCTACTGATAAAGGGTTAACATCTCCCCATTTGCTCATAATTAAATAATTTTTTCTTTTTTAAATTTTCCTAAAAAAAAAAAATTGTAATTACATTTTTACATGATTTGTAGTTTTATCTTAGATTTTCAAATGTCCAAAAACTTAGTATATTTAATTCCATACTCAAATTGAGGGGTGGGGTTTGTAGAATTTAATGGAAGTGGCGACAGAAGTGAACGCGCCCTCCTCCCCATAAGTTATATTTTTTTAAAACATGAAAATACAAAATAAAAATAATTTTAGAAAAGGATGTGGGCAGTGGATGTATATTTGTACCATATTAATAATATATCTTAATTTTATTATATAGTTTGGTGGTATTTATTTTTTCTCATTAAAGGTGTGAAGGATAAGGGCCCCCTTCTGATCCCCAAACTTTGGTTCTTGGTATTATCTTATTGCTCTCCTCTTACTATGAAACCCTAGTTGCCTATGATTATTATTTTTTTTTAATTATTCATGTATTAACTTTAGAAATCATTAATTTTTTTTTTTTTTAGGATACGTCTTCTAGTGATCAACCTATATCATCACAGTAAGTTATAGCTGTTAATTTGTAAATAAATTGAAACATACAGTTACTGAATTACTAAATAAAATAAAATTTAACCAATGTCAGTTCAATATATCTTATTTATAACCATAAATTGTAGTCTTAAGTGCTTAGACCGTGTAACTTGGCTTGTCCTAGCGACTAAGAACCATTTTCGGCTATGTAACATGGTAGTAACTAAGGGAATGTAATACAATTTTTTTTTTTAATATAGTTTTATTAATAAGTAAATTTAAATGTATGCGCCTTTTTGTATCCACCAATTACGATATTTTGATGTTGTGTATGAAATAAAATTCAGTTATGCTTGAAATAATATGACGTATTTATATAATGTTCTAGAGATGAAGCTAAAGATCCAAATTTAATTGTTATAAATATTAGCACTGATTCAGCAGGAACTGATGATTACAAAGTCGGTACATCATTTATGGGGTAATTACCAGATTACAATTATTTTCTTTATCATATTATTATTGTTAATGCACCCGGTGCCGGTGGATTTTTAATTGCTCAAAAACATGTCTTCCTGGGAAAGAGATAGAATTCCGTTGTGTAATTGGAATTTTATAAAAAAAAAATTTTGGTAAAACGACAAAAGACAAATTAAAGTCTAGAGCAAATTTTCACCATTCAAATTGCTGTTACTGGTATACAAATAATTTTATGCATTAAAAGTTAATTATGGTCAATACAAATTAACTTGAAAGTAAGTTGATGTACACTTAATTAAAATGTAGTGAAACAAGTTTTTGTGCAAAATTTGTCTACATTTTGCCCCTGAATAGATCGGCTGGCATCGGAACCCTTTAGACAATTTCTAACATTTTTATGTTAGCTTTTGTTAACGCGTGCAATAAAAAAATTCAAAAAAATAAATAACTTGTTATTTTTATGTACCTATTAATTATTATTTTTTGTCTTATGTTGTAATCGTAGACCAGGTAAAATTTATTATTTCGCCCCGAAAAATCCTCAAAATAATAAAAGTTCAATTATGGGTCAAGTAATGCCTATAACACTGTACGAAGACTTACTAAAAAATACTCCGGTAATATAAAACATTGAATTAAAAAATATATAATTATAAATATTGACAATATATTGATTTTGTGTTTCAGGAGAAATACCAAGATAAATTAGATTTGTACAAAATTCCTAAACTAAATAATCTAGTATTACCATTAAGAGCATCATTAGCAGTTCCAATTTCAATATTTAACCCATATCCAGAAACATTAAAAGTTAGTACAGAAAAAAATGTATAAATCAGTATACCGATATAATTTACTTGTTTTACTCTGAACGTTTTTCATCTTCATAACTAGGTTGTGAAAGTATTTGGAGGTGGACCAGGCTTTAGTTTAAAATTAATGTCTGCAAAAATGGAAGATCAAAGAAGTGTTTGGGACATTATGCCATTTCAAAAAAAACCTGTTATTCAATTTATATTCTCTGGACGTTCAAAGAAAAACCATACGACTAATGTTGGGTTAGTAAAAATGATTTATGCTCGAGTAATACTCGTAATATATATTATAGTTAGAAAATATCATATTGATTTAATTTTGACAACATCAACAGGTTGTTATTGAGTAATGATGATTATATAAATGTTCCTGTAAATATTTTAATGGTTTCAAAACCGGGCCTGTATAGCTCAGATCATATGATCGACTTTGGCGTTGCTAGTAAAAACGGCTTGTTCATTTCAAAAGAGATAAATTTGTGTAATTCCGCCAAGTCTAGTATTATTGTAAAGGTAAACATTTTTCTAAACATGTACATTAATTCCTAAAATATTTTGGTACCTATACAATTACCTTTTGTGTTGTGTTTCAAGAACGTTACATCCGATTCGCACTTTGTGACCGTGGAGTTTCCCAATGAAATAGAAATACCTGCGCAAGCCTGTACCGCTAGTCACATTGCTCATGTTAGATACTACTGTAAGTATTGAAGACGTATTAGAATTTTCTGTAGTTTATACTGTTCTTTGTTTCAATGGTCTAGATTTCTAATTCATTATTCTTAACTAGTTTTTTGGCTATGTCGGTTTCTTACTATGCACAGATTCACATAGACAAACGTTTGATTGTGATGAAATCATTTTTAGATTTAACAATTGTCTTTACCACCCATCTTTCCTTACTTTATACTTTACTGTACACCCTGTTGGTTTCTATTGTATATTAATAATTAATTATTTATAGAGTATACTCATAATAATGTTGTTTATTACAGGGGATTATTTGGGGTACTCACACGGGGAAACATATTTCGGACAGTTTACCGTGAAGTGCAATAAGGGCAGTGAATTTTATATACCATATCAAGGAAGGACGCTTGTAGGCGATTTAAAGTACGAGGAAGACGCCTTGCATTTTGTTATGTCCAAAGCTATCCATTCGACTAGTATTATCAAAACATTTTCATTGTTTAATAATTTTTCAACTACTTCTGTTGCCATTTCACACGTAGCAGTTCCCAAAAACGCTACTCAGTATTTCAAGGTATGTATCATTATATTATTATGTAGTTTATTTTCATGTACAGTGAAATCCTGTTGTTACCCATTTAAAAAAATAACATGACTAAATTTTTGTTGAGGAAAAAAAAATCACTTACCTACATATAATTATAACAAAAATAAACTGTAAAAGTAAAAAAATAGAAACAATTTCAATGGGTTTTACTGTATAATTGTATATAATATAGTTACAATGACTTTTTAAATTTTAGATAAGAGACTTCAATCCTGTAGTTTTGAAACCGGGCCAAAAGAAAACATTGTTTCGAGTTGCTTATGTAAATCCTAACAACATTAAAATGGATTTAATTTCATACTTAGAATTCAAAACAAACGCTTCAGATTTTATAATTCCTATGATGGTTTACGACGGACAACTAACACAAGTGAGCAATAGATGATACAAATAGTAGCTTTCCAATACAACTTTATGCTTTAAATTAATAAAAAAAAAACCTAACAACCGTCGTCTTTAATTTCTAATTTAGGTTTTACCAGCTACCAACCTTATTACGTTACCTCCTATTAGAATTAGTTCTCCTCGTCACACTTATATCGTAGTGGCCAATGAAAATCCAGTTGCTCTAAAAATCAAAGATTGGGGAACTACATATGCGCCTCACGTTACACTAACTTTGGTTGAAACAGGAGAATTCAATATATCCATGCGCCGCAGCAATGCAGACAGTTGGTCGCGGCCCATGGTACGAGAAAACCGCATACCGCCTGTAAGTTGTTTTAAAAAACTACTATTTCTTTTATTATATTTTTTAACAATTTTTAAAATCATCACAGCCCATGGTATTGCTGGCGAATCATTATGCAATATTTCAATTATTGGTGTCTACGCCCAATCCAGATCAAAATTTAACTGTAAAGATATGGATCCAATCTCAGCACCAACAATATAGTATGCCACTTAAGGTGTCTGTCTTTGATAGAAATTTACAAGTAATTGCAGAACCACTGATGTTTGAAAACTGTCATCCAGTAAGTGCATTATTAGAGATTATTTACACTAGAGACTATACACTTGGAGACTAATTACTGTGGTTTTCTTTAAAGGGAGCTGTTTGTACCGCAGAAGTAAATGTAATGTCGTGGATGGATAGAACGTTGGCCTTAACATCGGTTACTAGTGAATTTGTCAGTGAGAACGTCCGATTTGTACCAGCAAGACCTTCGTTGATTCAACCTCAAATGGTGTCTTTAGTAGGACACATTGAATGGATTCCTGTACACCATAAGAACTCGACTAGTTGGATTGGGCTGTTTAATAAAGCCGGTTATTATTATACACCATTATATTTCATAACGATCAGTCATTGCTTAGTAGTGCATTGGTATTCAAACTTCTTCATCCGACGACTCCTTACCCAGATTATTAAGGAGAACGGAAAGCGCTATTTATTAAGAGGCAAAGGGTAGGCAATATTTAAAAAAAATGAATCTACTTGCAAATTGAATTATGCCAACTAATTTTAAAGTGAAAAAATACTAAGATTTTCTAGTTATATAAACTTTTAAAGTAACTTTTTCTCCGAGTTATGGCGAAGTTTGATAAAAAATTACTCTTAGCCTCCATCGAGAGAATATAGTAAACTAAAACAAAAACATTTCTTGACACTTCAGAAAGTCACTTTCCGTTTTAGTTTTTATTTTTATGTACATTTTGACGCTTTCCGTTCCCCTTAATTCTCCACTACGGTATACATAAATTCATAACTGCTCCCTTGACCGACACACGCCACGCCCCTGGGAGCTGCGACGCAACATTTTGAATACTTTTGTATTAGTAGATAAAATTAAAATAACAATTTTGCTTGATAAATATTTTAGAAAGAGCCATGTGGCTATCGAGTTTGCAACTAACAAATTCATCCGAGACTAGTTATATGGATTTTTCTTGGTTTTATCGTAAGATGGGAAAATATTACGCCGAAGAAGACAATCGAACCTTCAAACACCAATTCACTTTGGAAACGGGTGAGTTACATTAAAAAAAAAAATTTTTTAAAAATTTTGTAATTTTTTTTTTAGATATTATTTACGGTATCTATTTTTTACTAATTCCTTTCAGGTGGTCCCGAGACTTGTCAATTTAGTGTTCACCTTCATTTAAAGTGGCCAAAATTTATTCAAGAACCAGGCGAAAACCGACAGCAAACTACATTTGAACTACCCACTATAGAAGTGAATGGTAGTCCCTATTATCAAAAGATTGTCATCAAGAACACATTTCACAGTCAAAATTTAACGTTGCACTTGGCTATGTATCCTGACCCATACTGGTGTAACATCACAGAGTTCATTGACTTATACGAACACGAGTACGATCATTTTTTACTAAAACAAAATATTGAATTAAACAATTGTACGGAGATTAGAAAATAAATATTTTTACAGGGTCAACTCTTTATTGTCCTCGCGAAACGATTGGGAACTAGTGTTAAATGACACTAGTCCTTACCGAAAAAAAGAATTGAATGTGAAAAACTCTGTGTACGTGCCACACAATAAAACTATGTTGTTTACTTTGCCTCCACAGAAAGAAATTGAGATATTAGTAAGGTTTCAGCCGAAAAAAACTGGTGTTAGTACATCTATTCTATTCATTAGGTAAGTTTTTGTATACTAGTTTTTCGTTTCGGTGTAAAAACTAGAATAAATAATTATGTCACATCTTCTGCTGTACCTTAACAAATTAATATCAATTAAATACATATTTATACACAGATTTGTGTACCTAAATAATTTGTATTTATATTAATTCATTTTTTTTTTTTTTTTACAGAAATGATGTATCAATTCTTGAGAGTATTTTACTTAAGGGCATGGGTGCTTATCCTGTGCTAGCAATTGGGGGGCCTATTAGAAAAACTCTTCCATTCGTTTTCGATTTTCAATCTAGTCATATGACTGAAGTTATATGTAGCAAAAGTAAATATTTCAACTATAATGTAAAATAATAAGTTTTATTCTCTATTTGAATGTTGTCTTTTTAGATAAAACAGAACTGCCTTCAGAGACCAGAATTTTTCTAATAAAAAACTTTGGGAAAAATCCAGTTAAAATCACTTCGATGGCGATAAATAATAATCTTTGCAAAGGTTATGGATTCAGTATATCGGAGTGTAAGAAATTTGTTCTTTTGCCCAATCAATCCAAAGAGGTATGTTTTAGTAAATTCAGATTTTATATTAAAATAATTTTATTAATTATTAATTTGCCGATATTATAAAATGTATGTATTGATTGTTTACACACGTATAACAATGTTGCATTACCTATGTACAGAATGTATATTTAAGTCGAACGTAACTTTTTTTATTATTATTATGTACCCACGGCTGTGAAGACCAATGAATATACTACTCCCATCTATTTATTTGGGGGGGGGGGGAATTTTTAATTTAGATATACCCTGTATATATTGTAATGTCTAATTTATACTGTGTACGCCACACAAAAAAACGTGTTTAAGATGGACTAATAAACATATTTATAGGTTTGTCTTAAACAGGTTTCACTCTATAATTGTAAGAATTACCTTTATGGAATTCAAGTGTGTATATATATGAATAATTTCAACAGGTGTCTGTGGAGTTTACTTCCGATTTATCATTAAGACATGTACTACGTCAACTGGAGATAGCTGTCGAAGAAAATATCAATTCAGAAATTTTTTCTCGTGTCGTTGTATATCAATTATGGGGCATTGTACCTTCGGAATGGGAACTTTGTGGTCATCATTATACGTGGAATGAATTTCACATGGGAAACGGATGGAATCGTCCGAAATGGGAACCTATAGCTCATCATGCTATAATTTTTTCATTTATAATACTCATATTGATTTCTTACGTGGTTCCATTAGCTGCGATGCATACGCTAGATCGTGACTTGTTGTCGAATGCGTTGGGACAGGCTTGTTCTTCAATAGCAAATGGTAAACGATCTTTGCAGGCTGCCGCCTTAACGTACGCGACAAATGCTAAGAAAATTGAATACAAGTAAATGTCAACAATTTTCAATTTACATATAAATGACTATTGACGTTTTATTAATACTATATATACCATTGTATAATTACAGAAATTCTAAGCACAAAGAAGGTAATGATGAAAAACGAGCTGAACTAATGCCCGATCCATCGTCGCTAGGTATTTCACAAAGTGAGAATAGTTATGTGAGACCTTCAGATACTACACCGATTTGGAGTTTCATGTTGCCAAGTACAGAACCAGAACCCGAACCGGAACATGTATAAAATTTATTATTCGTTTTTTAATTGTTTATAGATAATAATTTGAGGTGTATGTGAAAATTTTTTCAGAAACCTGAAAAAGATCGTAGTAGGTCGCATTTGGTCGACGGTCAACCTAAAGAAAAAATAAAGAGAAAATATTTAAGTCAAGCAGCGTTTGATGATAGCCCCAATCAAAAATACACTCATATTACTTCGTGGCAAATCACCAGGAATAAGTAAATTCATTATTCCAACTGATTAACGTAAATGATTATGTTTAGCTTCGATGCAAAGCTGAGAAAGTATTGTTTTTACAAATGATATATGTATATATAATTTTTTTTATCTCCGTAGATAATATTTTAAACTTGAAATTCAACACGCTATACTTTTCTGAAAAATAGTCGAATTAGTTTGTAAAGTTGCTTAGATATAGTGGTGTAAAACCCCACAAATTATCAGGTAGATTTGGGATTTGAGGTTGAAAATTAGACTGAAGGACAACTAAGGTGTGCCTATAATGTATGAAAAAAATTCAAACATTTTTATTGCCAATACAATGATTTATCGAAGATTCGCATCGAAGCATAATGTTTAGTACGATGTTCTGTATGGCTCGCCCTGCTGGAATATATATTCTCTGTGCCGGCATGGGGAGCAAACACAGAGAAACCACAAACTTTTTCCCGTAAACCCTCACAGTTTTTTGATTTTATCGCTTTAAGTTATAATAACATTATTTATTTTGCACAGGTCACCTACATCGCCAATGGATTCTCAAACTAACAAAAGTTCCAAAGTAGACGAGCTCAAATTCGAAATGGAGAACCGTAGACGAGCTGAGAAGTTATTAAAAAAACAATTTGGCTTAAAACCCGTGGATAATTGGAGAAAACATAAAAAAGCTATGAATGCAGCTAAATATTTTGAAGAAATATTACCCGCCATTACAGATAAAGCAGCTATAGAGGAGACACGAAAAACCTCTCCAGAACCTAAGGTGTCGGATACAAAGATGATGAAGTTTCTTGGAAAGAGCAATAAAAAGTCTTCGGCCGTGAACCTTCCGAGTACAAAGCAAACGCATAGTCCAGTATCACATACGGCGTTGTTGAGTCCGACCATACCGGACATTATTAAAAAGCCTATAGCTTCTGTCGCACCATACCAGATTGTTCTCCCTAAAAAGCCAGCCATAGCTTCTGTACAAGGTATGCTGCAAGAACGAGCGATTGAAAAATACAATATGCCAAAGCCAAAACCTTTACCGTTTTCAAATAAAATCGAAAAGGAACATGCCATAACGCCTCGTCCAGTTGTTTCGAAGAAATGTATAAGTGAAGATGATGGATTGCTTGCTGAGTACAAATACATGAAAAAAAAGAACAAGCCCGAAAGGAAATCCTCATTGCCACCCGCAACTCCAGTGCCCAATGTTGTTAAATCAAAAGTACCAGAAAGGTGTAATTCGCTCGAAGTAGTAGCAAAACCAAAAATCAAAGACGTGACGACACAGCCAATGACTAATAAACAAGAATGTTTGTTGACTTACAAAAAAAAGTCTGAGCCGCCGCCGCAGCCAGAAGTGGAGAAAAAAGTTACGGTTTTAAATCAAAACTCTGATGATATTCATATTGATATCACACCAGCAATCACAAACAAGCACGGTAAGTCGTACTTATTGTAGAAATCAAGTAGGTGCTTGCTTAGGCATTACGCAGAGAGATTTGACCAAATATTATTTTTATATATAATTATATATCAGATCAGAGGTCATATTTGGCATGTTCTAGTTTGAGGATTATTAGACAAAAGACATTCAACGATTCGTTAGTGATGTCAAATTAGTCCCAAAATTATCATAACGTACCTTATGCTTATTGAAAGTACGATATATTATATTATGTATCCCATTTATTTATTGTGCAGGTCCTGTGGGTTCTGGTCGAGATAGGAAGCAAGAAGACAAGACTACCAACACCAATACAGATACAGATTTAGCCGGGCCGTCAAAACAAGAATCTACAGGTGCGTTTAAAATTCCATTGATAAACAAATGTGTAAATGTGTAATTTTGATATTTGTATTTTTATTTTAGATAATGCAATAACAAAACCAAACGCTGACAACTCCACTGACTTGATGCCATTTTCACCCGATGATCCTGGATACAACTTGTGGACATCATTTGTTTGGGGGCCAGTTTCTGTGCAAGGCGATAAAGATCGTGACCCAAAAATTGGAACTTAAAGTGCATTACACGTATATACATGTTATTTCTTACCATTTTACTTAGGTTTGATATTCATTATAGATTTCATATTCATGTTAACAAAAAAAAAAAAAACACTGCCCAAGTAGTTATACATAAACCTAGTTTTTAAAAATTTAGATAATTTGCAACAATGAAAGTTTTCGATTGTATTTTTTAGGCAATAACGTATTTGAAAGTTAAGACTATTTTAATTGGTGTTGAATATCTGAAAATCTACATGAGCACGACTTTTTAGGTAACTTGTTTGTTTTTACTTTGTTATTAAATTGTGTTTTTCCTTCTTCATTAACTGTCTGAGTAAAAGTAATAAAAACGTAAGACTTTTTAAAACTTACCCGATGTTGTTTATTATTATATTATTAATAGTTCAAACCACCTTTTTTTTTTGTAATATTTCTTACCTCTTATTATGATTTGCTTTCACTGTAATCTATGAAAGACTTGCAATGTAGGTATTAAAGTTTGAGACGAGGCTGACAATGTTTGTTTCGCACATTGGTTTGGGGAACGAACCCAGTACTTTAAATTAAATACAAAATTAGAGTTTGATGTGGACTGTTAAAAGTCTTCCTCGTTCAAACGAAAAAATAGGTATTGAAATCGGGCGACACTAGAAGGCGTGAGAAGTTTCTTCTATCGAGTCATTTATTACACCAAAATTGGCATTGCTCTTAGAATAAAATTGTATATGTTAAAAATAATACCCTTAAGTATTATAAAACCACTTTTTTCTTAAAAATTGTCAGTTAACCCCTTAATAAATAACCACAACCAAAAAAACCTTTAAATCTATAATCTGGGTTTTTGGTTATTATTCGTAATTAAATAATAAACGTTTGAACAAGGTAAATTTGTTTACTCTATGAATTATTAAAAAGTAATTATTGATCACTTGATTAGTTTTAATTTTGACTCTGTATCGGTTTCATTACTTTTCACAATGTAAATAATCTGATAAGAAGTAAGAAAAAAATTATTAAAATATAAATTTTTTATTAATATAATTCACTGGATTTGTACAAAATAAGTTACTTAAAATAAAATACTAAAAGTAAAAAATAAACTAAAAAAAAAATACTTTGGCTGCAAAAGTTCAATAGAAATATATTGCAAAACAAAATGGAAAATACAATTTTAGTTATTTCCCTTGTTAATAATATTGCTAAACGTACCACTTCTACTTTATAGTATTTTTAGCACGATAAATTAAAAACAGTCTTAAGAGTTCATAGATATTGTTAAAATAATAGTGACGAACATATTGAGCGCCGATTAATACTGATGATGAATGTTAGTTTTTGCTCACATGCTCTTTCATTTCTCTTCCTTTGGTTTCAATTGGTAGTAGTAAACTTGCAAATGCAGCCAACAATGCTGCCGAAATATATATTGCCATTGAAGTAGCAATAGACGACTTAAGTAAAACCTACAAACAAACATGCTGGTAATTTAAAAGGCTTAGCTACAGCTTTGTTGTAAAATTTAATGTCGACCCAGTCACACTGGTAACAGTAGGGTTACCTCACTGTTGATGGCATGAAACTGGTTTATAAATAATATATTGTGTATTTATATATACATAATATACACTATACAGTGTCCTTAAAGATTTGACAAATGAAATACCTTAATGAGAATTTTTTTTTAAATTAATTTATACTCATTTGCGTTATAAACCCCAAGTTTATCGTGCATTATTTTAACTAAACTTTAAACTTAATTAATTTTTTGAAGGAATTATCCAAAAATTGGTTATTGGCCACTCAAAAATTTCAGCAAATTAAATTATTCTTAATAAAATAGCTGTCTTAAATTAAAAAAAAAAAAAGTAGCCAAAAAATATTTTTAAAAAAAAATCCTAAAAATATTCGCAAGAATAAAAGTTATTCCTTTTGTCAAATCTTTTTGTGAAACAACTTGTATATAAATAACCAAACAATAAATTAACGTTAGTAGTAATACAATTATAATAGTGTATTATTATTATTATTATTTATATATAATTATAATAGTGTATTATATATATATAATTACTTGTGCAATATAAGGTGTGACCATAGCGCCTAAACGAGCCATCGCACTACAAGTGCCTACTCCAATAGATCTTAAAGGCGTTGGATATACCTAAAATAAAACACATTAAGATACCTACGTTAAACTTAAAAAAATTGGCATTACTATACCTCAGGTGTATAAACATACACAGCCTGGAAAACTCCAGCAATTATTCCTCTGGCAAAAAATAGTGCAATAGTAAGAAGAGCTCGACTGCAAATTAAAACATGAGCTTTATCCAAGTTTGATATTTTAACATAATTGCTTACAATGGAAAAAGTGTGTCAACAAACTGACAGCCTTTGTTTAGCACTTAATCTTTTAGGGGAATAATATCGGTGTTAACATTTATAATATTATTTAAAATACAATTGTTTTTTTCTAAAAACAATTTGAGCTCAGTTACAATTTTAACAACCACATATTCTTTTCCTTAAAAAAAATTCCAACTGTATTCAAATTTTAAAATTACGGATACTAAATATTAAGATTTGAAACAAAAATGGTAAGGTAACCTTAGAAATGGTATTTCTTAGTTTAATTAGTCTGGTTTTTTGTTTAAAAGTAACAAATTTGAAAATTAATATAATTTATAATTATGATTAGAGACCAAATATTCTTATGACAAAAAAAGATTTGAAAAAAGGTTTTATGATTCAAAATTATTTTATTCTACTCAATCCCATTAGGGTGTAATATCATACTAGACTTGCATAACCTCAGAAAAAAAATGTAAAAAAATATAAAACCGGCCTCTAATTAAAAACGTTGTGATAGTGATAGTTAAAAATATATTTGTAGTAAAATATATGTTTAAAAAAAACACTTACTTTTTTGCACAGTGAAATAGAAAGCTTAAGCTGATGGCAAAAATTAAAAATTGTACTACCATTGTAATTTTTCTGCCAAATCTGTCGATAATGAAAATAGTTGCAAATATTCCTAAAATAATATTAAGGTTAATTTTGATTAAGACAAAAATAAATATAATTTGGTATTAAGAACAATTTTCATTTCGGATTTTGCCGAATTTTTTTTTTAATTTTATGTTTAAGCATTGTGAATCTTATACGTTTTGTCAAACAAATTATAATAGTTCAATGCTACGAAAGTTTTTTTTAATGAGGACATAAAAGATCATAAGTTTTACATATTATATTATATAAATAACATACCAGGAAATTCAGCTAGTGTAGTCCACAATAAATCAATGTAATCCCTTGTGGTTAAATAACGTGATTCAGCAGTACATGTTTGTACTGTTTTAAAAATTTCGTTTTCCATACTCGGTAAACAAATTTTATTGTTGTTGCCACTTTCAAAAAGTTCAGTTGACATTAAAACAATTCCATAATAACAAAATGCACACACCAACCTAAAAGCAACAAATCAGAAATATAACCTTTTTTTTATTACAAAGTTATAACGTCTCAAGCACAATCGTTTTCAGCTTTAAAAAAGTTACCATATGAACCAAAGTAAAATTGAAGTCAATCTGAGTTGTGGCAACAATAGATCAGAAAAACGACCTCGTTTCTCTTCTAGTACAACATCGTCGACGACCAACTTGCCCAACAACATAGGTTTATCGTTATCATAGGCCACTTTTTTCAATACGTCTATTGCTTTATCTGTTTGTCCACTGGCTACCAAGTACCTAGCTGATTCAGGTAACCACTAAAATAATATAAATATACATTTTTGTTATGTTATTTATACAAATTATTAACTATAGTAAATTATGATTCAAGAATAAATTGACAGTTTAATTACCGGGCAGACACAAGCAAAACCTAATAACGGTGCTGTAGATAATATCAAAAGCCATTTCCATCCTAATGTGGGCATCACTATAAGAGCCAAAACTACTTCAAAGCATGCTCCAAGTGTCCAAAAGCACTAGAACCAAAAAGTTACCATAATATGACTATTATATCTTTATAATAATTTTTAGAAAAAATAATCTTAAAAACATTGAAGTAAACTGATATATAATTTTCTCATTTTTTAAATATTCTCTATAAGATTTGATAAATTGATTTTTTAGGATATGAATATTTTGTTTTCAATTGTTTTAGTTTACCTACTAAAAAAATTAGTAACATAAAAAAAAGTGGAATGTTAGTTTTAATGTGTACTTTAAACATTGTTTTGAGCATTTTTTTTATTAATTAATTTTAAAAAATGTTAATTAAATTTTATTTAAATTTATTTAGTTTTGAAAACTTTGTAAAGTTAGTGTTTTTCCTAAAATGATTATTGGTTTTATAATAAGCAGAACATTTGTCTACACATTAAAATGAGCATATTAGCCTCTTTATCATTTATAAATTTAACAGTAAATGGTCTGAGATAAAAAATTGAAAATAATCAGGAAAACATTTTTTAATGGGTTCGAAGAGGAACAAAAAATAAAACAAATTGGGTGAGATTTGGCATAAATTATCTCAAATATAAAATAAAAAAATTATTTGCATCAAGTAATACTTTAACATACTTTAGATAAATACTATAATAATTATCTAAATAAAATCCACGCTTGTTTTAATAATTTATATTGCTTAAACTAATAAATTTATGTTCTAAACTTACATCAAGCAGTACTACACATTTTGCTCGTTGCTTACAAGGCAGAAATTCTGCATACAATGTAACACTAAGAAACAAATAACAAGTGCACACAAAAATAAATGTATAGTGTAATTTTTAAAATACATACGACTGAGGTGAACATCCAATGGCAAAACCAACTAATCCTCGTAATATTAACAACCATGTATAATTTGGCGACATAGAACTAAGAATTCCAAAATAAAACAATAGAACTGAACATAGTGTTAATGCCTAAAAAGAATAAAAACAATAGGTATAATTTAAAATGTTTATCGATGAATTTTAAAAAATATTAAAAATAAAAGATTTAAGAGCAGTGAAATTATAAATAATTAGGAAAGGTTTCTTTTAAAAATTAATTATAAGTAAATTTTAAGTATCGTATTTCAGTTTTAAGAAATACAAATAATTTATACTTTATTAATTCTAAACTAAATTATAAATTTCATTATGTATATATTTTCTAATAAAACTCATCAATACTAATTTATAATGAAAATTATAAAATCATAATTTGAAACATAGAAAAAATTATAAAAATAAGAATTTTTATTAAATAGAAAAATTTAATACATTTTTTGGGTAATGAGACAACAGAAGGAGATACAAGAAAATAAGAGTTAATAAAAACAAAATTCTGAAAATAATTTATCGTAAACTTTAAAATGTATGGAAATAATTTACTTACTGGTTTTCGGCCAAACTTGTCACTAAATGATCCCCAAAACGGAGAACTTAACATCATACCAAGAAATACAACCTAAAAACCATCACAAAATAACCAATAAGCTATATTAATAAAATTATTATATGAATAAATAAAAAATGTAATGGATTGAACTATTAAATAAGTTTGATTATTTTTTTATCTATCCATGTTGCCATTAGGTTAGCTGACGTTTCATACCTATCGCAGTGTCTAGTCATAAGACTGTTCCGTTGTCACGATTATACTGAATACATAGTAAAACATGGATAAATCCAAAAATGATCAAAACTTATTATAGTTCACACAAAAAAAACCAAAAAAAAATAGTATTTGTTTTAGAAATCGAAAAAAAACCATTAATGAATACATTTATTAACTAGTATGAGTAGAACTTCCAAGTATAAATTTACTTACAGTTGTGGCCAATGCTTGTTGATATCGAGTAATCTGCCATTCATAATGTAGCGTGGGTGCAAGTATACTAAGTATGGTCATTTCCATGCTATCAGCCATCCAGCATAGTCCAGTAAAGAGTGACAATTTTACTTGGAATTTGCCAAATCCAAAAGCATCTACAGCTTGAGCAACTGTATATGTTTCTGTAACGAAATCACATGATTGTAAAAGTGTATAAAAGTGTATAACCGGTTAGAACAATTAACCAATCCTTAAAAAAAAACCCTTAGCAATAAAAAATCTTACAAGCAGAAACTTATATATTATATTAACTATTATACCTTTATCCAATTTATTAGTGGGGTATTTACGTGTTTAAATAGATACAATAATTTTTAAAAAGGTGGGAAAATAAAATAATTAAGCCTTATTTGATTGTGTTTCTTTAAACAACAAACTTTTTCTGAAAAATTACATATAACATGTATCTATCAAAAATAATTTATGACCACCATATATGTATAAGTATATGGTATAAATCCTTACTAAAGTTTAATTAATTGTAGTCAGTTATATAGTCTTAACTTAAACACATTTATTACTGTTTTATGACGAGAGTTAATTTTATCAATAGCGCAATAAACCAATTATATAATTTTGGAACAAACAAAGGTAAAAATGATAATTCAAACCCCGGGGTTCTAGACAAAATGAATATTTTACTCTAACTAATTAAATACTATTTACCTATACCGATTTAATATAATTTGTCAATGTTTAAAACTTTATTAACATATTAACAAAAACATAAGTAATTGAGGAAATAACATTATTAATTTAGTATAAATATTACTTTTCTAATTTAAGAGTAAATTGTAAATTTTGGCTATAACTTTTTCAGGACAACAGATTCCAACAAATTATATTACAGGTATACTAACCATCAGGTACTACAGATACACTACTCATTTCAAAATCTTGCGCCTGTTTGTTAGCCAACATATTGTTGATTTTCCGATCATTTTCGGCTAGATTTTGGTATCGCGAAAATGATGAATCCATGATTAATAATTTTCTCTAGTTTTTTGTTCAGTACTGCGTACTAATACATAACTAATGAAGTAGCATTACATTTTATTCACTTAATTTGTGACACGTAATTAAGTATAATAAGTATAAGAGCAATTAACCAAATGTTGATACTATTATTTTTCTGTTCATGAAACTAAAAAAACAATTACTGTTATTTTTTTTAATTTGAAAGGTTTTTGATGACGAGTCGACTGAGGAAATTTAAATACGATATCAAGTGAATAGCCGCAGCAGTTGTGGTTTGTTATCACTTTATCATAGTTAACATAGAACCATGGTTTAAAATTTAAACAGTTCTAGACCTACCGTAGTTACTAGTTGAGAACATCATTGATAAGTAAACATTCAGGGCGCTTCAGCTGTTTAACCTTAGTTGATTGATTAGAGACTCAAGTTGTATGTTAAGTCTTAGGACGTTCTTTTAAGTTTTTTTCTGTAAATTGTATGTAAATTTTTGTGCGATACACTTATTGTTATTGATATTATATTTAACTTATTCGTCTTGTCAAGAAAATAACTCCTATATTGAAGTATGTATGATTTATATAGACACCGAGATTATAAACTTGCGGGATTGCACCTTGTCTGTCATTGGGGTCAATAATAAATGTATCATTATAAAATATAAAAAAATTAATAATATTGCGATGTCGATATTTATTTACAGAATGTTCGCTAGTTTAAAAGAGACAGTTACCAAATATATGCATATGCATTCGCCATTTGTCGTTGTAAAAGCTGAGGATGAATTAGTCGACCCAGCCAAAGTATTAAGAGTATGTATGATAACAATTTATTTTTTTAACTCATTTTATAACATTACAATTTGTGTTCAGGAAAAATGCGAACAAGAAAAGTTAGCTCAAGAAAGATTCGCCTTATTACAAGAATGTACCAACAGAGTCAATTCCAAAAAAGCAACTACCGAATCATGTGCTGAAGAATTATGGGATTTCTTAGAGGTCGTAGACAAATGTATAGCAAAAGATTTGTTTAAACATCTGAAGTGATTATAATTCTATGCATTAGATCAAAAATGTGGCGGAATAAGAGCCATTTAGCTTAGGCACATCATACAGTTACTTGTTTTATAAACAAAATAAATATTTCTTTTGCCTTGTTTATTAATAAAAAATTACGCCAACAACAATTAACTAGTTAATGTTTTTCGTTAGATTGAGAAATCCTAAATATAATAATACTTCTCAACTTCAAAATGTGAACAAAATTGTTCTAAATATGTAAGGGATGTTATTTAGATATAACTACTGATCTGTAGTTAAAATATTGAAAAATATCATCAACTTACCATTTTCCTCAGAAGAGATGGATACATTTTCTATTGTTTGCTTTTTTAAGGGTCAGTTTTAGGACAGGTTAGATAACCTAAATGAAAGTAAATCTAGCATGTGATGTATAAAATAGTTGACCGTTCAATTTTTTTTTTCAAGGGAAAAAACCAATAATCTTTAACACACATATACTTGTTGTCGTATATAGTGTTTATTAATGTGTACATTTAATACTTTACACTAACTATAGATTTGCACCACATCATCATTTTCTATAATTTTGAATGGCATTATAATATTAAATAAAACAAACATTTAGTCAGCAAATTCGTCTATAATACAACATAATATGAATAAAATAAAGACTAGAAAATAACAAGTGTAAGTAAACAATAAAAATAACAAAATAATAGGTAGTAAACATAATAATTTATCAAAAGCATAGGGTTTGAAAATATAATGAGTAGAATGCTACTAGGTATCTATTGCTATGCTACTTAATATACTCAACAAGAATGCACTATGCCATTTATATAAATATTACAAACTGTTAGTGTGACTTTACAAATTGACTAGAACGTAGAAACTGTGAGAAGAATATGACTAGTTAACAATATAATATTTAGTCTGTAAGATTCAAATTAATCAGAAAACACCATAATATGGAAGCTGTAAAATTATTAAGAACTAATTCTAAATCCCTGGAAGATTAAAACTTATCAAGTCTCATACTCATACGTAATAAAGTTGCACAACTAATTCCAAGATCGTGACTAAAAAAAACATTTTAAATTATAATAATAATAATTACTATTAATTAGTTACAACACAAACTATTATTAAACAAAGATAAACTATATCACGTTAATGATTTTTTTTTTTATGTTAAAAGAAAATTAACAAATTTAGAGGTAAATTAAAAATTTGAACGCAATAAACAATTTGGTATAGTTTTATAACAATTATACAAGGCCAAGATAAATAAAAAAATTAGCAATAGGTCAATTTAAAAATATATATATAGCAGATTGGTAGACTTTCAGGTGTGTATAAAATATTTTAAAAGGTACACATTTGCATTCAGGAAGTACAGACAACTTAACTGCTAAACATTATACTCATAAACAGGTATTGTTGGAATATCTAATCTCCTAGTATATGTAATATGTATCGCAACAGATATAACTGACTCTGTTAAAAAAAAAACTAAAAATTAGGCATTAAAACAATCGATAAAATATTTCTAATATTAAGCATCTCATATTTTAAAGTCGGTGTACTTCTATACATAGTATGTGATTGTTACCATTTTATTATTTATTGTATCACATTATAATTATAAACACTTTAAAATAGGTAAATAGTTATTATTTGTATCTATATTTTAATTGTTGGTAACAATAATGAGGATGACAATTCTGATATTTTACATCATGTGCGTTTAAATCTTTGTATCGAAAATTAACTCTAAAAACATACGTATTTAATATGTATCCATAGGTTTAGAAACACATAAGTGTACTTACACAAACGGATAATTACATAGATTTTATATATAATGTATAAATGTATAGCCAGATTTTAAAATAGTTTGGTAAATCATACATATCTCATTGGTTCTTACGACTGTTAAAATTCATTAAATTATTAATACTAATTTTCATACTAATAAAATGTTATGCAATAACATTAGTATAACCCGGACTTTTTTTTTTAACAATTTACCTATTTAAGTTTTTTGGGGTACGCTCAAACAAAAAAAAATACCTGCTGAATTTAATTTGCCAACTCTGATATGCACGTAAAAACAAATTAACTTTTTATAAGTTTAACAGTCAATTAATTATACTTATATTCAACAATCCTGATTTAGATTGGAACTGTACCTTTCTTGACAACAATATAAAAGTTGGTATGGAAAACATTAACAAAAGCAATAAATTATGCTAAAATATACGGTATTTAGTGACTGGAAAGTGGAAGTAGGATGTACCACAGGTATGGTCAATTTTTAGTTTAGTAAAATCAAAGCTATCAATCTGTTTTGAGTAGAGGGAAGTTTTTGGCGACAATTAATTGCTCATTTGGAAAATCCAATGTAATGGTAAAGTGGAACGCCATATTAGATATAGCTAGTACATACTCACTTAGTGCAAACCATGTAAAAGCTAAAAATAAGGGTTGAAAAATATTAGTTTTAAATATTCATAAACTTAAAAAAAGTATTTATATAATAATTACCCAAATCATGACAGTAATATCGATGTTTTATGAAGAACAATATCAACGTAAATGTTGATATTACGCACACAGTAAAAAGTATTTTTTTGATTCTGTATGATTTACGCTGATAATCCGTCATTGATTTGTGCGTCATTCCATAAGTTTTTATCATAGCAGTCATGTAGAGCAAAGAACTAAGCATGAACAATATGAAGATTTTTTCATGAACAGCTAAAACATATCAAAATAACAAGAATGTTTTATAAGACTATATTTTTATAATTACTAAAAGAATATAATACGTACGATAGTTCTCTCTATTTGATATGTAGGTTACACCACAGATTGTAATTATTTCAATTAGATTAAGCCAGTAACACAAATTGACAAACACAGATGTGGCAGTCTGATCAGGTTTTGAAAGCAAGCTGATAAAATAGTTATAGTATACTTGGGCTATTACTATGCGTGGTCCTACATGAAATGCAACAGCGAATCTCCACAAGTACGTTTGGGGAGTTATCCCGGTAATGGCGCTAATTGAAGGTAGCACATTAAAAACCTGAAAAAAATGTATTTTTTTAATGTCTTAATATAATCAAGTCAAATTAGTAGTTACTTTAAAATGTTAAAGTTGTATATTTATGTAATTAATTATTTTAATAATAATCTTATGGTCTAAATTACAACAGACAATCTAATTAAGTTCAATTAATTTTTGTGTATTTCACACATAGCAGTATCGGGACTCCACCAACAGGTGTTACGTTAGGATTAACGTAAACAAATATATAATTTATTAATAACTGTATAATGTGGTTGTGTAAGCCGTCATTCCAACAAAGATGGATGTTTATTTTTGGGTTGAATAAGTGACATCTGTAATGCAAGGGAAGCAATGTCTTCTAAAGTGACCTCTCTTCCTCCCGACATGTTATGGATGTGTAAAGAGAAAAAAATTCAAAGCCGTATTAAGGCATTTTTACACCCTGAGGCAATAATTTTACGCCCTCTCCCTATCCCTCTAAAATTTCTAAAACAGCTTATATATTTTACTCATCTCCTAACTACTTTAAATTAGCAGACAAATGCATAATGGGGATGAATGTTTGTTTCAAACAGCGTGTCTGGAATCAAACTTAATATCTTTAGTACTTATTGTTATTCGGACGCCATATTACGCCAGCGCGCCACGTTACGTTAATATTTTTCTTTGGATTTGTGTGGTTTTAGACAATTTACAATATTATAATAATTTAACAATAAAAGTAACTCACTCGGCAATGCGTTTCGTGGACATCATCGTACTGAAAAATGCATGCTGTGACCAAGCATATTAATAAAGTGAACAACGGACAAGACACTCCAACAACGGCCAACTTGCGTATACTCAAGTTGAAAAATAACAGCATTTGTTTTAGCGAACCATCCGATTGATCATGAACATTCATTTGGGTTACCATTTCACTTTTAGGTACCCAACAGTAACACCTATCAGACACACACAATTCATTATCATAATATATTTATACATATTAGATATGGTAATGATTTTAAAAATACATATTATAATAGTTATCGTTACCCAGAAAATTGTTCGCAGAGACTACGAACGAGTAGTGTCGCTGTGTTATTGACACTGTATTGAGATCAATGTGTTCCATATGGTCGGCGAGTTATCCGCCGCAACGTTAACGCGTCTCGAGTTTATTACCATTATAGCGTTTCGTTCAACAGTCGAGAAAATGTTTTATTAATTATAATAATTATATTACAGTATACTTTCCGCTGCCAATTTCGACGCTACTAGCTCCGGACGACCCTGAAGGAAAACGCGGTGCTCGACTTCGACCAATTACAGCTAATATACATCTATAATAGTACCTATATATATTGCCTTGTGTACTATATTACGAGATAGATAGACGGGTAAAATAGAAAACTGACGGACTTTTTTCAGAACGATGTCAAATGGACACTAGCGAACGTTTTTATCATCGATTTAGTAGGTACACTATCAAAGCAGCTGTGACCGTATTCGCAACTTCCATGTGTATACAGTGTATATATGTGTTTGTGTGTGTGAACTGTAAGCGAATCCGAATTCCGAAATGTCACGTTCCACGCGCCTGGCAAGTAGACTTGTATACTTTTAATAGGCGCGTTAACCTAACCGTCAGCGAAAAAGCGTTACATCCGACGTCCGACGCGGTTTTTTTGGCCAAGGCAAGTGGCTACTGGCTGCTGTAGTATTTATAGCATTCTCTGTTGCCGCCGCCGCCATATCCATCGGTGGAAACGGAGTACGTCACCGATGTTAAGGTCCGTTTACACCACGTTAGCTCGTGACGCAATTGACTCAGGCACTTAGCCAAGGGGGCCTGGCCCCCCTTTAATTTACCAGGGCCGGCTCCCCCAAATTAAAAATATAATTATTTAATGTTTTCACAAAGTATCGAAAACGTGCTAGGGTTTATACACGTTGAAATAAATCTATATTATGATTACTATATTAGGTAATACAGTTATTTAAAAATGAAATCAGCTTATATGTTCTAAATAGATTTATTTTTCAGAACATAAAAAAATTTATCCCGATTGTGATGTAAGTAATTCTGTTTTTATTATTATTATTATTTTTTTTTTTATCATAGGTACTATCCATTTTTTTTTTTGTTTTACTGTAATAGGTACACTCGATACATTAAAACGATTTTTTTTTAACCAACCAAAGGGAAATTTTTAATTAGTAAAATTCTTGGTATGGGATACCGCCTAAAGTGAGAAGCCCCTCACAAGTTTTTCATCGGAAACAAATTATGAAAAATGATACAAAGGCCCAAAATTGTTGCACCCCCCCCCCCCCCAATAGAAATTTTCTGTGCTTGAGTTGACTGTGGTTCAACATTAAAAACCATTAATGTTAAGATCATAGACCTACATTTTGGGGGGTGCTAAAATTATGTATACCTGACTATAAACATAACTCTTATCTTCAAACCATTAAAGTTATAAAATAAAATATTTAAAAAAAAAAATATATTATAAAATAAAAAGTTTAAACAGCGTGTGTACACTATTAAAATTTTATGCGTACAAATCAATGATTGGGGTTTCAATTTTGGAAGTGCTATTTTTAGTCTGGGGGTGCTAAAGTCCCCCCTACTAGTTGCGCCTATGATTAAGACATATAGAACAATAGATTTAGGAAATCTAAATATTTCTAAAAATTCATTAGGATTTTGTAAGTCTCTGATGTAACGTTTTAGCACTCTTTGGTTAGCTTGTATTTCAGTCATCATTGTCATAACAATTTAAAAAAAAAAATCGCCATTTAATCCAATTTATTTTATTTTGTTTAATTTTTCATAGAAAACTTGTAATAATTAGAGAAAATACACAAGAATGTTATATGGTATCATAACACTATTTTATTAAAAGTAGGTAAGGTATGAACTAACCTAAATTTTGTAAAAGATTACCTAAGCAAATTCTTAGTGGTATACATAATGTACGAATACAACTTTTTTTTTTAAGACTATTCTATGAAGTCACTTTCCAAGTGTCTTGCTCCCATAGAGAAAATAGTAAGCTTCACATAAAAAAAATTGTTTAATAAATCCAGTAGATACGCCAGTAAACGAGTCTTAAGTCATTTTTTTAATCACTTTTGCCATACTTAGAAAAAAATAAACTTTAAACGTTTTATAACTAAAAAATCTTAACATTTTTTTCACTTTACAATTAGTCGGCATATTTAAAATGGCTATTAGATTACTTTTTTCAAAAATGTCCTACTTTTTGCCCCTAATAATAAATTATTTCAAGTGTAAAGGCCCCTAACATAATTATGAGATCAAAACTGTATCCTTACACTTTCCATTTCACATTTACTATGTATATTTACCATACGCCTATGGTACAGATTTCTTTATTCTTTCATGATTGAACAGTTCATATTTTACTCTAAGCTATTACGGATTCATTAACATAAATTTGATTAGGTGAATATATTTGCGGAAATCTATTACAAAAAGTGTATGCAAAATTGCTTTGAGTATTTACACAAAAATCAAACACAGGATTTGGCCACATCTATATCACAAACTATTGAAAGTATTTAATTATTTAACTATGAAACGTGAAGTTATTATTATAAGTTATTTTATAAAACAATACAAAGTGGGCGAATTGACAAAGTTTGAAGGTAAAATGTATAAAAATTACAAGTGGATTTTTCGAAAATGTTTTTTTAAATTTTATTTACTGAAATATTGTTATATACATTTAAATATTTTACAAATAAATTGTACAAGTATCAAGAACCCAAATTTGTTCTATTTTAATACAAGCTAAAAACAAAAAATATTTATACAATTATTATTTTAATAGTTCTTCACAAAAGCCCTTATTAAATTAAAAAAAATAATTATATAGACATATTAACTATTGATTTAGTTTTTGGTATACTCAACAAATATACTAATTATATTGCTATCAGCTATATACATATTTTACATTAATTAAGTATACTGATGTAGATTATTATTTTTTAGCTGATAAATTATTCTTAGTATATTAAAACAACATACTTTCACAATTAAGTACAGAAATATTCGCATGTATTGTTTTAATGTTTTTTGACTTTTTAGTAAATAATTTTAAAGAGGATTTAACTAAATAAAACCAATTAGCAATTTATATAAATACTTTAATATGTACACATAAAAAATTTAATATTTTTGTATGTCTACACTAAACACATAAATTTAATTTAGGATAAGTAGTATCTTAAAAGTATGAAAATTGATCCATCAGTAACAGGAACTGTTAGTATCTATCATGAATAAAATATAGAATTGATTTTAATAATTACCTTTAATTCTATAGTTATATTTGATAGTAATAAAGACTCGACAGGCAACAAAAGCCATACAATTTTTTTTTTTTAATTTGTGAAACATTAAATATAATGACTTAATTTGTATAAATATTATGAAATTAGAAGAATATTTTAAACAATTAATTTGGTCAAGATTAACAAAAAGAGCAAAGACAGCTAGATCAATAGTACAACATATTTATTAAAGCAACAATGGTAGTTTAATAGAAACTAAACAATTTTATTTAAGGAACACATAATTAACTATAATTTACTAACTTTATAAAAAAAAACAATGTTCTTAGCTAAAAGTTAAATTGAATTTATATTATATTATTTATAACAATTATAAAAGCCTCTTAGTGTACCTATAGTATACATGCTGAAAACAAAATAGTCTACGAATACAACATTTTGAATAAATGTAAAATACGTACAAACTAGTTTTAAACATAAGTATATACTAACCGAAAATATATACTTAATCAAAATTAAAAAAAAAACAAATTCGTAGTTGCCATTGAACCAAACGTTTTTATGAAAAATGGTAGAAAACTTAAATGTGAAAAATATAAATAAACAAGTCATTGGAAATATCCCAAAAGTTGAAAAGCGAAATGTTAAGTATTGATTAAATGTAGTTTATATTAAAAATACACTAAAAAATAAGAAACAATACCATTAATATTAAATTATACTAATACTCGCGGATTACATTCAAATTATGAAATAAAACATTTTAATAATATAAAACACGTTTGTAATGATTTGGCAAATGTTCTTATAAGACTTTTGTTAGGTAGGCATTACTCAAGTGATACATTATTTAAAATGTATTTTTATTTTTATTACATGCCTAATATAAAATAATGCACTAGAATTAAAATAAATAATTTAAAAATTAAACTTGCATATCAGTCATGTGTTTTAATAACTGTATCATTTATTAAAAAAATGCTTTAATTTTTGAGTTTATGTTGTGTTATGCAAATACATTTTTTATGTAATGAAAAACACACACACCACCGATTTTTAGAGGAAAATGAATTTTATATTTATTGAGAAGAGCAACATTTTCCTCTTCTCTACTAAACAAAAATTTTAAATCAACAGCTATTAGTTAATTTAACAATTATTACAAACACTTGACTACATTAATTGAAACAAAATATTTATATAATTTTCACACAAGACAAGGAGAACATAAGAAAAATGTATTTTAAACAAAAATTAAATATTGTGTAGTTTTAAAAATTGGTGTCTCACGATAAAATAATCACACTGAATTGTATATATATGTATATGTATAACAACTATAGTGAATTTCTTTTAAAAATTTGTTAGTTTTTTTTTACCAATACTTAGTCGTACAGATCTATAGTAAGCTTATACTTGAACATTATCAAGTTTTGACTATTTGTGTTTTCCTTATTTTACTAATATATTATAAAATCTGATTGTTAAAATTATGAAGGCAACCACAACTAAATCAACGGTTTAGTTTGAAATATAAATGTTTAATGTTAACAAAACGTGTATTTACTTAAGTGTATGAACCTAAATTTGTTGCTGTTATTTAATATTCAAGAACTATTAATTTGATAAATAAAAGGTTTTTTTTATTTAAATTATTCCTAAACAAGAAATTTAGGAAGATGATTATTTTAATGCAATTAATTTGATTGCTATACATTTATAGCAAAATTAACTTGTTTTATTTGTTATACACCAATAGTCATTGATAAAATATTAAACCATGTGTACATGTAATAAAAAAAAAAATTGTTTAAAAATACTATACACCGGAGAGATAGCCTCCTGACGTCCGTAAGCTATTATTAGTTCTAACACCTAAAAGTGCTCCACTCTCCATTTCACATTCTTGAGAACTGCCTACTTGTGTGCTATCAGTAGCTGTCATTGCAGTGTTTCGTTGCCTACACATGTATGGCGTATCAACTGGAGAAGGAGTGTCACGACCCTAAAATCCAATTTATATTTGATGTTTTAGCGTGTACTTATAAAATATTGTCTTTATGGGGACATTACTAAAAACATACCTGTTTTGATGGACCACAACAAGTTTGTAGTTGACATGGTATGTCTGTTTTAGGACAATCCAACACGCAGTCTTCTGTTGGTGTTTGGTTTTCATCTTTATTTTCAGTTACCTAGAATAAATTATCAAGCATCAGATTAACTATTCTATAAACATGGTACCATTAAACTTAAAAGGGATTTTTAGGTTTTTGAAGAATAGTTAACATAAATACTTTTGTGATTCTAAAATATTTTAATAGAATTATATCATTTATTGAAACTTTAAATTGAAAAAGTATTTTAAGATTGAGTTTATGATAATGGTTAGTTCATAAATAGTATATAGTTGGGTCGATTAACAAATATTTCATTGTTGGTTACTACAACAGTTAACAGAACTGTTACTACAACATTTTAGTAATTACGTTTTTTTTTTTTTAATAGTAGTATTTATAATTAATACGACAACTTTTCTTTTAAATAGTACAGAATTAATAATGAAACATAATTTTTAAGACATATGTTGAACTTGTTTATTATTTATAATATCTTTAAATTGTAATGTTATATATTATACTACAATTATTATTAGAAAAAATATATTATAAAAAAAAAAAAGAATAATAAATTCTTAAATTATCACGTAGTTTATGCAAGTAATGATTATAGTGAACCTACCTCAACTTCTACAAATTCAGGTTGAATAGTAGTAGAGTGTATGCCTTCATTATGGAAGAATTCTTTTACTTTTTCTGCTAATTTCATGTATTCTGACAAGTTTCTACACCTATTTATATATATATTAAATAACAATTGTTTTTATGTTTTATAGTAGATAAATTTATACTTATTAAAAATAATTACCTTATATGGGCAGATGCTATAATTCTATCTCCAGCCAACTGCCACACGTGAAATTCGTGTACAGCTAAAACGCCATCCACTCTGTCCAATAAACGCCTTTGTATAGCGTCTACTTGAATATGAGTAGGGACAGTTTGAAGCAATATTAATGCTGATTCTTGTAACAGTGGCCAAACTGAATGCAAAATAATTATCACCATCAACAAGCTAAGGGCTGGGTCGACATAGTCACGAAATTTCCAGTCGGTTAGCCATACAATCTAAAACAAATATCAATTAAAAAAAAGTTACACATAAAATACATTTTGTTAGACATCAAAATATTTCATAAAAATGTTAGTTTAATAAAGTTGGAGGATTAAGGTGGCCAACTTATATTTTAGAAAACACTAATATTTTTGAAAAGTAAGTAAAGAGGACGCCACACCCCTAATTGTACAGGAAATTGGTATAGGCAATTTTTTATTGAATCTTAATTTAAAATGTAAGTCAACAGTAATACATATCATCAACACAATAACGAGGAGTCTTTATGATAATTCGTTTTTTGTCAAACTATCAGAGTGTCTATATATATATATATGTTTTTCCTTATTTTTATCATTATTATTTATTACTATAGTTAGCTTACGCCTAGTACAGTCGCCTAAGAGGAGGATGGTAGGTAGTCTCTCTCTTTAGACAGGTGCCTGTCCAAAAAGAGAGACCATCTAATGCAGAGTCTCGAACCGGGGACAGTGAGCACTAATATATTACTACCTTATCCATTCGGCTAAGTAAAAACCTTACCCAGATCATACTTGTTTTGTACAATACACAATGGTCCACTTCAGTAATGAATTTTTCGAATTGCATAATATTTACATTTTTTTTATCTTAGTCATGGTGAAAGTTTTATAAAAAAAAGACTAATATATCAACTTTTTTTGTTTTTAAAGAAATATTTTCTATTGGGCTAAGAGGCCAATTTTTTATTTAGTAATTAGAAAATTAATTAAATTAATTAGAAAAACCATTTAAATGTAAAAGATGTAACACAACTTTAGCCTCTATAATATTAAACGTAATAACAAAAAAATTATTTTTTGTAAAACTGGTAGACACCTTGGAAAGTGACTTGTGTTTTAGTCTTGATTTGTATTTTGTATAAAATTTATCCTTTCCGTTCCTCTTAAATGTAACTTGTATCAATAACATGCCGTACACAAGCAGAACTCGTTGACAGATTTGGTCCAATAAATGAAATCTTTAAATCGCTCATGGATTTTGTCCATGGGACCAAGTCTTTCCTAGAATCCATTATCATAAAAATAAAAAACCCTTAACCATAAAATAATACACTCTATGCGTACACCTATTTCGGCAACAATGTTGTCATAGTTGTCCATATTTGTGAGGGGGATAAAGTATAAGTACCTTCAATAGCAGGTCAAAATTAATTTAAAACAATTTTACATTATTTTTTTTGAGACCCTTATATCTAGTAAAATCTTTTCCACATACAATTCATTTATTTTTTCTGCTAAAATTTTTATTTGTATATTAATTAAATCTTTATGAAAATATATACTTTCATACCAATGCTGAAATAACAACTATGACTGAACCCAGTGCATCAGCAAGGAGATGCAAGAACACTCCTCTCATGTTCATATGACCTGCTTCATGGGAATGTATTGTAGGTACATCATTAAAACGATGGTCATTATCATTATCATCTGTAGCATTGGCACTTGCTCCAGCACTCACCAATTGTGTAAGTCTTGTATGACTACGTGATATACCTCCATGAGAATGGCCATGACCACCTCCTCCATGAGCTAAACATTTTAAATTGTTTCAAAATTGAATGTTGTAATAAAATCACAAAAAAAAAATAATAATAAAACATTTACCATGGAATAAAAATAACCCTAAAATGTTAACAAATAATCCTAAAATTCCGACAACAACAATAAATTTTGGATTGTGTATAGTCTCGACTTCTATGAATCTAAAATATATAAATCAAAATTAAATAAATAAATTATTACAATTATAAGAAAATAACTAACCTTTTACATGCTTCAACAGTAATCGAAAAACATAGAGCGACTAGAAACACGGCATTGACTAAAGCTCCAAGCACTTCAGCTCTAGCCCATCCAAATGTATTTTTTGACCACTTTTTTGGTGACATCTAAAATTATAATAATAATATTATACACATTAAAGAGTATAATTTTGTTATAATAAGTGTTGCATGATTTATATTTTTTCATGATTACAATAGTCAATTTTACATTTTGTAAGGCTATTTATTTATACGAAAAATCCATACTGTAATTTCATTCCTAATAATTTTAAAACTATATTAAGGAGTATTATTAGCTATCACTACAACAATTATTCTTCATTCATAAATTAAAATTTTTAAATGTCATAGGGATACTTGTGTAATGTGTATCTATAAAAATCTCTATATATATAAAAGAAGAAGTCCTGACTGATTCATAATCAACGAACAGTCTAAACTATGATAGTTAGCGACTTGAAATTTTCAGGGTATGTTTGTTTTATAGTCTAGGCTTGTAATATTAAAGGATGACGATTAAAGGAACAGGTCGATTCTATGTACCACTATTCTGGAGACGGTATTAAACATTTTCACAATTGGACATATGTAGACCCAAAAATAAGTCGAAATGGGGTATGCTAAAGCTTTACAATATACAGCCTGGAGAGCTGACTTTTTTTTATCTTATTTGTAATTATTTTACTCAGCCCTGGCAAACTAAATCCCGGGCAACACCGGGTCGGGACAGCTTGTACTATATAAATCTGTTGACTCCACATCATCCACCTACAGTAGATATAAATAATGCTTTGAACTTACTTTAACTGATAAGTATGCAACTACCAAAGCTGCAATATCACTAAGCATGTGAAAACTGTCTGCAACAAGTGCCATGGAGTTTGTGATATATCCAACAATAATTTCTACTAAGAAAAAGAATGTTGTTAACCAAAACATAGTAATAAGACGACATTTTTTCCCACTGTATCGGCCCATTTTCTTTTATCTAAAAACAAAATTAAAAAGGTTAATTAGTAATTTATTTATGGTGTCCAAAAGAATTTCCAGATAATTTAAAACACAATAAGTAAAAATTAAATAAAATTTAATAAGTAAGAATAAATGTATTGTTAAATCAAAACAAAAAACCATTGTTTAAACATAAAGAAAATTAAAATAGTTAAAAAAATATATAAACAAATTTAAATAACTAATAGAGTCAGTACAGTGTAGATGAACAATGGAGATATATTGATTTGATACTTCTTTTTTTGAATTTCATAATAGTTTAACACTGTAGTATATAGTTTTAACACATAGTATTAAATCTGTTTTTATTCTCCATTTTTAAACCCTATGTTGATAGGGATTCATTAACTCGGGATTGAAAACTTAATCAAAAATCTCTACTGGCTACTAATAACTCAACAAGGTAGATAGGAAAATTGAGATAAATTTGAAAATGTGCATATTAAAGTACTTTAATAGATAATCCTATTGGTCGACTGTGAGTGGATACTTAATACTCCTCTTTATATTTTTAAGATAAACGATCACTTAATTTAATTATGATACAGCCAAGAAAAGTGTAGTTTAAGTTTAAATAATCGTTACACTAATGACAATTTTACGTATCTACAAATTGACAACTTTTCAAGAGAAGCAAAAAAATTCTTGTTTGTACTTTTGTCATATTATTATATTAATTATTCAATTTTAAATAGTGTTTGTTCATATTTCAAGTTATAATTATCAATTATAACAATTAAATAATTATTGAATTATTTACATTTGTGACAGTTTAACAGTAGATACACGTTATTACTTAACACTAATGTAATTTGTATTACGTATCTGGTTCCATTGATATTAAAAATAAATATTGACTTTTTACGTGTACAATTTAATACACAATTAACTTTTTATGACGTGCACAAATTTTAAAAAAACTCAACAGATTATATTTTCTTTGTAGTCACATTGATTCAGTAATACTAGTTAAGAAAAATTTTATTTTTAACTGACACTTTGTGTAGGTTATAGTTTATAATAAAACAAACAAGAAATAAGAAGTGTGTGGGTGATTCTAGATGAACTAAATTTCTTCTTGCGGGTTTATTTTCAATTTGATATTGAGCAAGAAAACATAAAAAGTATTTAATAAAAACATTGCTCCACAAAATTTATTTCATTGTGGTATTATTTAGCACTACAGATGTACAATCGAAAACCAAAAGCATATACAAATTTCTATTTTAAGTACATTTTGAATAATTATTTTTAACATACTTGTAAAACACACTGAAAATTTTACACACAATAACATTCTAAGAGAAGCACGATAATCATAAAATTCTTTATAAAGCATATATTTCAGCTAAGGTATTATTACAAATTATCTATACTTTCTTGAAATTAATGTAAACAATAATATGTCTATAGTAAATTTGTTATAGTTTTTTAATTATTATCAACAATCAAATTCACAACATAGATACATCCAAAAAACATAAAGTAATTAATTATTATGCAAAATTTGTGTTGCACTGAGCTCGAAATTACTTGGGCGCACTGCCAGAAGCTTGCCGAGCCACGCGTCGTGGGAAGCCGTCTTAATATAGTAACTTTTATTTTATTTTAAACCTTCATATTTAAATTTTTTAAATTTTCGAATTGGAATTTACTCAATTTTAAATTATTCTGAAATCTTACCTAAAACTACTTTTAAAGACTGAAAAGTAAAAAGTTTATCCCTACCACTTGAAAATCGAGAAATTTAGCACCAGAAAATTTAGATTTTAAACTGCAGTATTTTGTTAAAAGTCAAGTTTTTAATAGTGAGCTAAAAATATTATTTGTGGTTAATTTTTAATGTATAGTAAAGGGGGTTCTTGATAGGCATCTATTTTTTGTTAAGAAAATTATTAACGAATTAAACAAATTTACCCTAGGGTATGATTTTTTCAAAGTATTTATTGCATGTTTAATTAATAGATAATACAAACTTAAATACTAATTTATAATCACCGACTTGGGTTGTTAGAAATAATGACTGCAGCTAGTCTAGCGCAACGACACAAGTGTGGCATTTTGGAAAAGGTCGGTTATTTTATTCTTTAGATATTCTGACATCTGACTGGTAAAGAATTATCAGTGATAAAATGTAAAACTTATAACAATACATTGTAAACCCACCACTATGTATACCTTCTAAAGTGTAACATTGAAATTGCAATTTAGAGACAATTGTAACTATGTTTTAGAACAATCAGAAATATTTGATGTGGCTTATTAGCCACATATTTAGCAACTATATTTAGTTTAGTTGTTTACAAAACAAAAGATTTCCTTCCAAATGTCACATACTTTTTTACTATACACAAATACAAATAGAGTAAACTTCTGTGAACACCAGCGACTAATAAATGTTATTAAATATAAATAAATAATCATCGGAACCTACTATTCCGATACTATTCTACTATTCAGTATTAGTGTCTTGAACAAGGCACACTACCGTGTATTAAAAGAAAGCCAAGTTTTGGTAAAATTCTACTTTATATGCATCATAAGTGTAAAATTATTCGGGTTTCGAAATGGATAACTTAACTAGGGAGCCGAGAATGTAAACTCACTTACAATGCAATGACTTGGAAACGAACACCAGTACTTTTATTCGGTTGCCTCGGTGTCGGAAAATTGTCAACACAAACGTCTTGGGAAAACGATTTTCAGCAGCGGTGCAGTTATGTTGTTCGTCATTGTTGCCGCTTCGAAAACTGTACAGTTATTATTAATTAAACTAGGCACGTGTAAGGATTCCCAATATTTCATAAAAAAAAAAAATGTATAATCTAGTGCGTGTGCCGGGAAATGCTGACTATATATCTACGCACACCGCTAAATGATAAAATAATATAGCTGTTATCGACGTCGCGAGTCTCTCATCAAATACTCGAAGGCTCAAGGCGAAGAGCTGCTTTTTTTTTTATTATTATTATTAAACCGCAACTTTACAACACTTTGGACGTTTCGAAAACAAAATGGAGCTCCATTGACCACTTTAAACAGGCGGATCAAATACACACGGCACGCACAAACTTACACGAGCACGGATAGCGCACTTTAACAACCGAGCACCGACAACGAGCTTGGGATATTCGCACACACGGACGTGATATCACCGATCACGATCGGATTTCGGATTGATAATGGACAATGGAATAAAGTATAATAAAATATGCCCGTTGTGTTATTATGCATGGCAAAATACACACGGGTACGCTCGAATGATATTCCGTAGTCAATGATACCATTTTTTTTGATTATAATAAAATCCTATAAAAAGCGCAGATAAAACAAATACGCGAACGTCGTTTAATCTCTGATAGTAGTATTTACACAGAACAGATTAAAATATTATTCTGTGGTGGTATATTTATAATATTCAACGGCGATGATACGCCATCTCCCGTGAACAACAACAGCTGTCGGTTGCCACAACTTTATCAAAATATGTAAATCTTATTGGTCAGCCGAACTCGATTAGTACAAAAGAACGGTACAAGTCGGTATGTTTGAAAAGGCAGCAAGAACGCGATTAAGTCGAAAATTTTGATATTATACTTGCTTGTTATATTATATTAATACGCGGTATACGCTTGTATCTGTACAAAAATGATCATAATAGTATTATTGTTTAATCGGTTTGCCACAACTATAGTAATATAATATTACAATACTCTAAAATACATAGACATAATAGAATATTGTGTCGTATAATATAATATGACAAACCTACACGGTGTACCTACGGTCACTGCGGTGTGACCCAAACGGTTTATTATAACATAATATACTTACCTACCTATAGGTCCTATATAGTATCATTATAACAAAACAAATTGTTTTGTCATGCTCGTGGAATGCCTATATGTAACTGTGCGTAATACTATATTTTTAGGTTGACTCACTCGATGGGTTTTTATCTATTCGTCGTTGGAGTCACCGCTCAAAGTTTAGTCGAATCAAATCGGTTACCAGTGAAAGAGCTGAAAAGACAATTTGATTCCCAACACCTATCGTCTTTTCTTGTAACATGAGTCATCTATATTAATCTTATAAAAATAATTATACACTATTAATTTATACAACTAGTAAATTTGAAAAAATTACATGTTCAGTAAATTATTAAGCGCAAAATTATTTAATTTCGACTATGTCAACTTGTTTTTAGCTTATTTGTACTACCTAAAAGGTATATACTATAGTAACTATCATGTAAAAATTAATATATATATATATATTAAAATTTTTCTTCTATAAAATATATTTTTTTGGTAAGCTATACGCAGTTATAGCTAAAAAAAATTGTACACGAAAATTAAACGGCCAAATACAAATATAAAAAATACAGTATAACTGTAGTTTGGCCGCTTAATTTTCAAATATACTTTTTTTAGCTAAACCCTATGTATAAATCTAAATTGAAATGTCTTATAAAAAATTAATATGTATATAAATAGTAGGTAATAACTAATAGATTATGGTGATTGCTTGCAACGGGAGAATGAAAAAATAAATAGATGGTAAGAACTAAGAGCTGTAAGTCGGGGGGGGGGCGGATCCAGGATGTTAAAAAGTGGGGAACTCAATGTTAACTATTTTGTCATACAGTCTGCAGAGATCTACACGTCCCCTAAGTATGGTATAGGCGGCTAATGAAAAGGGGGAGGCAGGTGATCACCCATCTTTGGATCCGGCACTGGTGTAATAATAATAATATGTAGTTATTAATCATTTTAATAACACCGTTTATAAAAGTACTCCTAATAAAGACGGTTGTAGTTTATACAGACTCTTTATTTTTAATTTATAAACAACAATACAGGGAAACATCAATTTATAGGATCTAGACAATGCTGTTTAGTGTATTCCCAGATAAATAGCGACCCAGCTACGTGTACATTTAATGATCTAACTATGCCCAATTGTTTGATCTCTACGCACGTGTCCATCATAGACAGCAAATCGTGTGGCATGCCCGATGTCTCGTTCCTGTAATCAAACAACATAAAACCTAAAAGTGTATATTCATTGTCCTGTTTGGCAGAAATTAAAACGACACCAAAAAAAGCTGATGCAATAGTTTAGATTTAAAAGAATAAGAGCTATGTAATAATTTCTTTACCCGAGAACAAGAACACATTTATACGACAATTTCGCCTCGTGCAACTGTACACTATTAACCGTTTGTTCAGCAGCAATAACTTGGTATCCTTCATTTTTGAGTTTTTGTAGATAGGTTTTAAGATTTTTTATTCTAACCTATAAGTATACAATGAAAATAGTTTAATGGGTAGTGAGTACAATGTACACTATTGTTAAGAAGCCTCATACACCTGTGTATTTTTAATCGAAAACAACTCATTCTAATTTTAACCGTACTCTGATCTGACAATAATTTTGAAAAACACATTCTACAATGTTCGATGTATCGATCGAAATACATTTTTAATTTTTGTTATTAAAATTTATGTAAAAACTATTTAAAAAATCTCAATTTTTTACATAGAAATAATTTTAATTTTAGTAAAAATTGCTCCTTAATAAATGCTAGTGTAGAGACAAAAAAAAAGTGTTTTCTCAAAACAAAAAATTACAAACTGCATTAGGATTATTTTCTTATAAAATGTTAAATGAATAGATAATTTTAAGTCGATCACTCTGTATTATTTATAGCTAGCTGCTAGCATCACTAGTATAATGCGATAAAAGTAAAAACCAATTACTATTCAATATAAATAACTTCTTATTCATAACTGTTAATTACTAAATCCTTTATCCGTCTTTAAAATTTAAATACACATATAAATACATTATTAAGTTATAAATATTATTTAAATAGTAATTAAGTTATTATTTAAATAGTATTTAATTATAAAATCATATCGCAATTTGACCGCAACAGTACAATTATTATAATTAATTATTATTGGTGTTATGAATTAAAATGCAATAAGTAATCAATAACAATACCTCGACAATGTCTAAATGTTTTTCAGCAGTCATGCTTAATGCTGTAAATTCTCTCTTTTCGACACAAGTTAAGTTGTCAACAACTAAAGTTGAAGCTCCAAAAACTTGACTTGTTCTAGCCAAGCCACCTAAATTTGTTATCTTATCTATAAGAGAAGCAACTACTATTAAGGCCGACTTGTTTCTTTTACCATCTTGAGGATGAGATGGTATATATTTTCGTTGAGCATGATGAGTATTTTCCGTAATAGTTAATTCATTTGATACTATAACTGGAATAAAATAATAATAAAAAATATAAATTACTTAATACTCTAACAACAAACTGCACTTAGTCCTTAAAATTAGTACGTTTTATTTATTTTGTCAATTTAAATATTTAAATGTAATGTTTCATCCCAAACCGCTTACCAAATACCCCACCATGTAATTTTGGCTTAAGCATTTCTATAACATTATTAACAGTTCCACAACATAACTTGGCAATAATAAGAACAAAATAAATATAAAACCTAAATTCATAAATTATTTTTTATCTGCATTCACCTTATAATACACACCTGGAATAGTTTTTTCTCTAATGTAAGATGATAAAGAACAAGTTGTTAAGTCATAATTCTTATCGCCATCAATATTCACCGGAAAGTCACTAAACCACTCTTGTGGAAACCTTTCTTCATAAACTATATTACTTAATCGTGGTAATTCTATACAAATATTCTAAAAATAAAATAAATGATCAAATAAGTATATTTGAAAAAATTTTTGTTTCCAAAGTTTTATTCATAAATATGTGGTCGAGAAGTATTCGTATAAATAATTTTGTCAATACTTCAAAAGTTTTAGCAAGTTCAAAATAAATATTAGGCAGGTACTTGGTAAATAACTGCAGGCTATTAGTCAGCGAACCTAAAAAACGTATTATTCGACATAAAGTAACTTGTGCGTCCATATATATGGTATTTCCACCAATTTTTTTAAAGTTTAACCTAAATTAGTAAAACTATAAATAGGATATACCTACAAATCACCCCTGTATACATATTTGATTATACCTAGTTAAAACATATTGTACTTAATTTATAAGAATATTACAATTTATTCATTTAATATTTCTGTTATTGAAAAACAGATGAAAACAATAAAATGTTTGTTTATTTCAGCTCAATCAATTAATGTGAAATGGCCTACATCGAAATTCCTAATAAATAAGGGGTTTAACGTCCTCATAAAGAGCTTCTAAAATTGTAGGTTTATTGTTTGTTTTTGACTTATGAATCATATAATTTTTGTAAATGAACAGGGAATACCATTTATTTTATGCCAAATCATCTGACTTGTGTGTGCGTGTAGTCAAATAGAAAAAAAAAAAGTAATTTTAATTAATTTTCCAACCATAAAATTTTATAGTAGTATTAATATAAAAAATTAATGATTTATTTCCATTATCAGTCAACAGTCTTCTAAAACATTTTCAGAATAAAAAAAAACTTTAAAATTTTAAGTGAAAACAATTTATTTTTAAATTGTGTACTGTTAGAATGATAAGTACTAAATTATTTAAAATGAGACTTGTTCCATACAAATTATGTTTAATAATTCGAATGTTGCTAACATTTTTAACCCAAAATATAAATTTTAGTAGTTTTTATTTTCTAAATGGCAAAATATTTTTCCCTCATGAATTATGACAAAATAATAGTATAGACAGTCGTGGTAAAAATAATGGCGTGGTCCTATCTACTCGTTCTGTTAACAAACATTTTTTAGTATTAAATACTAAACGAATAAAACTTTTAAAACCCTAAAATGTATAGGTGTGCAGTGATATGTATACTAAACTATTATAATTACTTTGAGCGATAAAGAGTTCAACATGTCAACATTTTGAAAAAAAAAATCTTTAAAAGGATTCTCATAATTTTTTGTTTGTTCATTTTCAACCATTGTTTTTTCCATTGCTTTGCATACAATTGACCATTCATTAGACTTGTTTGAACATAATTTACATACTGTCGACTAAAACCAAAAAATATATATACATTCAAAATAATATTTCAATGTGGTTTTGGATGTGTACTGAAATTATAAGAAAATAACTTGTGCATAAAATCGTATTTTATATCCATTTGAAAAGCATAATGGCAACAGATAATAAATAGCTTGATTTGCAAATTGGTGGTCATTATGTATTTTATGCAAATGATAAATTATTGATATGAAGCTACACAAGTAGTTTTGGTTTTCTTGGGCCTAGAATTTAATAATAATATAATTAATGATTTATTTCATTTAACAATTTAGCTGCAGTACATTTTTAAAATCATTCCATAGGTCCGTAGATATATGTGTATTATTGTATGTTAGAACCAACAACCATATAATTTGATAAGCTACACTGTGAATATGAGATACTTCTTTTAGACTTGAAAGCAACCATATGTACACAGTATCATTTAGTATAGAACAAAGCTAAACAAAAAATGTCATTAGTACTAGAACAATTATTATAGTTTATAATATATAATTAAGGTGTCTATTTTTCAAACCAGTCATGAGCAAACTTTTTATAGTTATTTTTTTCACATCTTTAAAGATTTATAAATGAAACAACATAGGACGTAAAAATAATAAGCATGTAACAAGTATTTTATTTTAACTTTGGTGCGTAGCTGAGAAAGTATTTTTAAACTTATTATAAGCAGGAAAAGTATAAGTTAAATTTTAAAGTTGACTTTTGTATGAAATAATACATTTTTAGTTGGTTATAAAAAAATTAGATACCTTAATTGTTGCCACAAACATATCATATATAAATCTACCTCTTGATTATTGCTAACAGCAATAAGCAAAAACTGAGAAATTCTTTGTTTAATCTTGTAGGCTTTAGAATTATGAAAATATTTCCTATCCCGTAATGATGTTTCTAATTGTATAACAATATTTATAACATCGTTCCACATCTGGTTGCAATTTATTTTAAACAAACATTTGATTGTATTAAAACGTAAACGTCGGTCGTCAGGTATGTTCTTATCCCTGCGACATAAATAAATTGTATTATATAATTAAAAAAAGAGTATAACAACTGTCACTCTTTCTTTATTATGTTTATGGTTGTACTTAAACAAGTTTCAAAAAATCATTAATGATATAATATAGGTGAGATTTTCAAAATTATATTGAAATAAAAAAATTACAATAGGTAGTTATAACTTATAATAAATATAAGCATAATCAATGGTGTATTTTTTCGAGGGTGAAAAAGTGAGTGTAAGGTTTGAGCTTGACTATAACTATTCGTCACCTAAAATTTTATGTTATCGATACTTAATCTCCTTCCTTGTATACAGAGAATGTTACTTTAACAACAGCAACTGACCTAAATATGAGTGGTTTAGTTACCCTAACTTTCGTAATTACGTTAAAATTTACATCATTAATTAAAGCTAAAATAATATGTTTGTACTTAAATTTGTTGTAAAATGAATAACTAGAGTAAAGTTTAGAACTAGGCTATTATACAATTTAGCCCACTAATTATATAAAAAACAAGCTGCCCTCGGCAAGATTAAATAGAAATAATAAAACGAAGAAGCTTAAGAGGTCTAAAACCTAAGTCACCCTCTAGCCCTTTGACCCTGTACTACATTAAGAGGAGGAGAGGGTGCGTGACGGTTTGTACCTATCCAGCCCCACAACACCACTGCATTATAGTAACACATAATTTAAAATACTTAATACTTTATACTAGAGTGCCTTGATTAATAAGAGAGTAAGGAAATATAATAATGGGCAGCAGCCATTTCTGTTTATTATAAGTTAATCTATATCTTCGACGTCCATTTTGCATGTTTAATACAAGTTTAACCCTCAGAATAGATAAATGGTTAACCTTGCAGTTAATATAGCTCATGAACATTGATAAGTGATGAGAAATACCCAAGTTGTTCGCTCTCTTATTTATCAAAGCTCTATTTATGCTAATAGACAATAATTCATGTATCATACGAGATAATATCATTGGAGATTTCAAAATCTTTCAGCGTTCTAACATATTCAAGGGTATCCCATTCAATTCTGAAAAATAAAATGATTGTATCTAGACATATGTATTATACATTAAATTGTAATTACAGACATACTTAATGGCCCCATATCGCTCTGTACCATACATAATAAAATTTGCAAATAATTCTGTGGCAGCTGAATATAAATTAGAATATTCAGTTATTCTTATCTTCCCGTTAATTATATCATCTAAAAATAACGTAGAGAAACAAACACAAAATTGGTGTCGATACTGGTCCGATAAAAGTTGTCGGAATATCTATTAATAAATTAAAATTCAAAAAATAATTAAGAAGTGATCTTTCAATACAAAACAAGTATCATACCTGATTTTTAATGAAATTTGTATATTCATTTTCTACTAACAGATAGTCTTGAAACGCCAATTGAATGAAACCTCTAATACTATTCGGAAAACAGGATATCCTGCAGGTAGTTAAAAAATCCCAGCAAACCTCTACGAACTGGACTACTTGTTTGCAATGTTTTTGGACTGGATATTTACTTAAACAAATCGAAGCAGCCGACAGATAAGAACACCAAAAAAAATCCCGATTCTCCACTGTTTTATCCATAATCCATTGAAATAAGTCTAGTATTTTAGTTTGTGATACTGAATTGCAATGCTGGACATAAGTGCTGACTATTTCTAATTGTGGAATTGTATGCGACCCAGGTTTTCTCGAATGATAAAAATGTTTTTTTCTGTTTGAAAAATAACCGTCATCTATGAAACTGTTAGTCGACATAACCCATGCGTTTAGTAATTGGTCTCCTGATGGACACTTTTCTGCATATTTACCGATCAAACTGAAAATAGCTAAAACAGCGTAACTGCCCAAATTGTTAGTTAACATGTACGTGCATTTGATCAGCCAAGAATTCATTAAATCCACGGTCCTTGCAGTATACGGTATTCTGTTCAAAGACAAAGTTTTATCCAGATAGTCGGAAACAATTTGGTCTTCAAATTCTTCTCCAGCAAAACACTGGTCGACCCAAAGTGATGTGAGACGCCAAACGTTTTCGTCCAACACCTTACTCAAATTATCGTCACAGCCCCGATGAGTACTTTCCCTTTCCATCAAGCAATCCAGGAACTTCAATACTCGCATAGTTACAGTTTCACAGTTGTGCAATGTTTGATTTAAACGTTGTACACTGTCAATCTTATCATTGTAGACATCCGACAAAATTACTAATCCAACTGTTGTTGCAGATATGCTTTTAAAAGTTATCACTTGCTGCGTCAATTGTTGGTCAAGCTCAGTCACATTGCTAATTTTCTTAAAAGTATCAATTATAAAATTACACGATTTAGTGCCTTTGCGATGTATTATGTTATATTTGAACAGATCACAAGATATCCGTGTGCTAGGAATAGAGATAAACTTGCTAACAAATAAAAATAAAAACCATTGAATAGAAGCTTTCAGATATGAGTTTGATATATTCTGAGAGATATCTATTATTTTCAAAACGCGACTGTTGAAGTTCTCACAAGGTGAAACAACTGACATATTGGCAAGCGACTTAGTTACAAAAACCAAAGGTACCGGTGACCACTGGACAATTGGTACATATGATAAAAACAAATCAATAACATGTATGCCATCACTAGACACGGTCAATCTGTCAAACCAATTTGTAAGTATAATTTCCATGTCTGGTTGATCGACTTGAATTTCATTAGACATTTTGTACAAAAAAACGTTATTCAAAGAAATCACAAATGATTTCATTAATCGTTCGTCTTCGATCAGCGTCGATGGAGCTAAATTTGTAACAATATCTATACTTGCCAAAACAACATGCTTCGACTGATGTCTTGACATTTTACATTGCATCACTGTAATCCAGTTTAACGGTATCTTATAAACAACATTTTGATTTTCATTAGTGGTGTTGGACAATGCAAGTATCTTGGAAGTGTTCAGAACCGGTAAAACCAAATGTTGTTGAGAGTTTTCTAATGTTTCCATTACAACAACGTAGTCATTCCACAATAACATGTACTCATCTTTGCTCACATGTGGATGATATAAACAGTTTGTACTTAAAAATTTAGTACACGAAGCTTTCAAAACCGCATTGGTATAACCTCTAACAACAGTATTATCATGAATCAATAGGCCACAAATTAAATTCCAATAATCGCTATCGCTCAAAACAACACTAGCACAAGTGGGATCTAGTAAAAAACACTGCAAATTATACAATACGGTTATAACGCGATCAGGATAAGATAAAATTATATGTTTTATTTTTTGCCACAACGTAATCATGTAATCAGTAGACATGATGTTATTTAAAAACGTAGAAACACTGTCTATTTGAGTTTTTTTCATATTTGATTCATTAATTATAATATCAATCAGTATACTTCTTAATCCAGCGAGATTTTCATTATCTTCTACCCGAGCCCTACACAAATTGTACAACTTTTGAACACAAAAAGAACTATTTTCAAATTGTTTATGGTTATATGATTTAAAACCATCATTAACACTCAGCTGAATACAGTGTTCTAAAAGAAGTACAATATCATTAATATTGCAATTTTGAATTACATCAGTTAGAGCAATAAATAAAGATTTAAGATTTTCGGATAATATTTCTGAATTCTTTTCATTTTGATTATTTATTAACTGATTACAAACATTATGTGCATTATCGAGGATCAGTTGATACACACTAGATTCCTTATTTAAGTCAAAATTACTAAGCAAAACTGGTAATATTTCAACTATGGTTTTTTTCATGGGACTATTACTGTTCAAGATATTTAACATTGACTGCAGCATTGTAATTTCTTCCATAATTGTAACTGAAAATTGAATAGTAATTATTTATTAAAAAATAACAAAAAAAAAATCTTAATATAATTTAATATATTTAATTACATCATTATTTGTTTTATACAATTTAAATTATTTAAAATATGGTACACTAAATATATGACTAAACATTTACATGTCATATCTATGCGCTTGTATAGGAGTTAATTTTGGAAAATTAGATATGCTTTTCAACCAATTTTGTCCATTTATAAAGGGACTTAGTACACTAGGTAGTTTGAGTGATTCGTCAGCGGTCTGATGTGTTTCTACCAACGCTTTAATGAGTCGTGGAACAGCACACGCCGTTCCATTTACAGTATGTAAGCAAATATCATCCGACTGAATTTTTAATCGCTTAGCTTGATAGTCGGAACAATCACTACAACTAGAGATTTCTCCAAATTTTTGACGTCCAGGCATCCAAGCTTCAATATCATATTTTCGGTAAGCTTGAGCTCCAAGCTCGTGTTTGGCCATGTCTAATACCCTGTAGTGCAAACCCAATGAAGTATACAACTCTTCCTGTACATCTCTAAAATATAAAGCCAGTTCTTCAGATTTACCCGGTAAAGAAACACCAAACATTTCAACTTTAGTAAACTGGTGCACACGATACACTCCTTTTTCTTCGGACACACTTGATACTTCTGCTCTGTAACAACGGCTAACTGAACATAGCTTTAATGGCAGTTTATCCATAGGTACATTTTTATTCATTAAATATCCAGCAAGAGCCATTTCCGAAGTTCCAGACAAGCACCACTTACTGCCATAATGATTAGGATCTAGGGAATAAACTTGAGTACGTTCACCAACAGTATGCATTCCACACCTTTCAATCAATTCATCAGGTAATATATCAGGGACTGAGACCAGTTTAAATCCTTTTTCAACTAATTTCTTAAGAGTATAGTTCACTAAGGCATGTTCAATTTTAGCTAATGGACCAAGAAAATAGTAACTTCGATCACCACAATAATTAGATAAATTGTTTACTTTGAGGCAAAATTTAACTTTTTTCAGTGACTCCAATGGTAATGGTTTAAAATTAAATTCAGGCTTTTTGCCTACATACTTTAAAATGTTATAGTCACCATCTATCTGCTCTACACATGGATGTAATTTCTTGTTTTCTTCAAGATCATTTGGTATGTTTGGCATTTCTTTTTTAGAATGTTTTATAATTTCAGATAAATTATTTTTTGATGAAAAACAGCACTTAACAAGTAATTTATGCATATTTAATAGTGTTTTTTTCTTAAACAAAATATTTAGCGACATTATTGTCATAAACTTATGGAATTGTTTGAAAATGTACTCACCGAGAATGACTTTAAATTCAGTTGAGTGTATCAAATAAACATATCCTGTAAACATAATAAATCATACTTATAGAATAGTTAGTTTATAAAAAATTAAATCTAATATAATCTAAAATAACAAATTGAAGTAGCTATACATTTTGAACTAGAGTAGTCCGCGGATTTTTTACTTCAGATTAGTAATTATCGTAAAAAAAAAAACACTACAAATAGGCAAATAAAAGGATGTCCGGTAAATACATGTACCTACACCATTTATTTGAATATTAAAAAAAAATACAACTACTCACATCTTACAAAACAATTCTGGTTGAGTAATCAGTTTTCTTATGTTGATAAATAAAAGTACTTTTCCCAAAAGTTAAACCCAACAATATTATGCACTTTAAACTGAAATTATATCTAGTTAATAACTGTAAAGATCAAACGATGTGTACCACGAAGCCTACAACTTCTAAGTCTTCAAGCAATATACATATTATTTTGAAATTTGAAGTTATCACATCGAGTATCGTTTATTTACTCACGTGTTTATCTAAGGCAGTCCCGCTAGCAATGTATGATAAGAGCAGCCAGGGGTTCCCAAAACGCTAAAAAACATGCAAACCGATGCAGCTCGTCTTCAAGCGCCGTTGTACAATTTGGCCGCACAAATTAAAAAGCGAGACGGGACGATTGCTTGGACGGATGATACCCGAGAAGTTTTCCGCGCGTCGGGACGGTTTGGCCGACACGGCGCAGTCGGCACACCCCGAGCCAAACGCGAAGCTTCGCCTGAGCACTGACGCATCAAGTATAGCCGTGGGAGCCGTCTTGGAACAAGAGGTTGGTGGTATGTGGCGGCCTTTGGGATTTTTCTCACGAAAACTGACCGAAACCGAGACCAGATACAGTGCGTACGACCGTGAGCTTCTCGCCGCGTTTTCGGCCACTCGTCATTTCCTGCACGCTGTCGAAGGACGCATGACGACCTTGCGGACTGACCACAAGCCACTGCTGTACATGTTCACACAAAAGTCCGATAAGTGTAGCGACCGACAAGTACGTCATATTTCGCGTTCCTAGCGCAATATATTTGTGCGATCGAACACATCGGGGGCGAGAAGAACATCGTGCCGGACGCTCTATCACAGCTGGAAATCACAGAAGTGCTCGAAGGACTGTCCGACCTCGCGCAGTGGGCAAAACAACAAGCGACGGATCAACAGCTCCAGAACATATTGTCCGGTTCCGAAAAATGCGCCCTGCAGCTCCAACCCCGCGACACGAAAGACGGTGTCATCTTCTCTGATTTTTCAACAGGCAACGCACGCCTGTACGTTCCAGTAGGGCTCCGACGAAACGTCTTTAACGTCTTGCACGGCCAAGCTCACGGCGGCCGCGGCACAACACTCCGCCTGGTCAAGTCACGCTACTGCTGGCCGGACATGAACCGCGACATTGTCAGGTGGGTCGGATGCTGTTTGCAATGCCAACGGACCAAGGTAAACAGGCACACGGTCTCGCCTATCGCGTCTTTCGCCCCACCGGAACGGCGTTTTGGTCACGTCCACATCGACCTCGTCGGGCCCTTGCCCACGTCAAAAGGGCGTTGTTACATGTTGACCTGCGTCGATCGGTTCACGCGGTGGCCCGAGGCATGGCCCGTGGACAACATGTCCGCCTACACCGTCGCGTTCACGCTCGTATACCAGTGGATAGCGCGTTTCGGTGTGCCCGACGTCATCACTACGGACCAGAGTCGGCAGTTCGAGGCGGAATTGTTCACGGCGTTGGCGTCGACTTTCGGTATTAAGCACATCGACGTAGTTGTTATAGGTTTTTTCGTAGCCATGGTTGATTTTTTCGGTTTTGATGTTACGAGAAAGTATGTCGATTAGTTCGGTCTTCTTTTAACACATGGAAAAATTAAAAAGGTAAAATATTATATACAAAAATATTATTACAAATGGGTACACACATATTTACGTAAATTAATATTACATTTCATCAATCATTTTACATACAAATCTTATTAAAAATTGGCGTTTATAGATTTGGAAAAGGCTTTCGATAAGATACCATGGAAAGATCTATTCTATACTTTAGAAGGAATAGGATCTGACTACAGAGATAAAAGGATAATATATAATTTATACAAAGACCAATCAGCTACAATAAAAATAACAGACAAAACAGAGAAAGCGATAATTTGGAAGGGTGTAAGACAAGGATGTCAACTCTATTTAATATTTATGTCGAACAGCCTATTAAAGAAATTTGAGTAACACCGAATCAGACCGAATCAATTTATGTTAATATGTGTGACACATCTCACTTAGCTTACTTAATACACGGCATTATAGATTGGAGCCCCCGGCTCACGGCTCTCTTGGTACGGTCCCATAAAGAAAGCCGGAACTGGGGTGACGTACATGTCACACGCTTTCTTGGCCGCCAGGGTAGTACAATTCCTGAGGGTTTGTTGTCCTCTGGTATCTCGACTAACTAAAATTAGACGTAGAAAAAACAATTTATATAAAAACAGTAATATCTGAAAGTTAATGACAATTTTGTGTCCGACAATTAGTATGGACACCAAAATGTCTAAAGAATAATGGTGTAAGGCCCTCGAGCTCGTTATCAGCCAAAATGGAAGTAAACCAATCTGATTCAATCTATTATGCGGTAACACTATGGTGGGCATACCGCATAAGTCATTTACAGTGTACTTACCGACGGCTGGTCCGGCTCGTTAGCGGCTGCCTCAGTTGTTGTTGAAACCAATAAATCTTGCTCTTCGAATTTGTCGACTTTTTTGTGGCCGTCGTCCGCCGTTTCAGTTGTTGTTGAAACCGATAAAACTTTTTCTTCGAATTCGTCGCCTTCGTCCGTCGTTTCTTCCAGCCCTACCGAGAACTCCACCGGTATTCTGGGCGGAGCCGGCGTGTTAACAAACTATGATAAATTTTAAAAAAAAAGGTTAGATTTATTAATGCTATTGACTTTCAATAAGCAACTTACATATTCCACATTTGTCCAGTCAGTTGGCGGCGGTGGAGTTTGGACGAACTGAAATTAGACGTAGAAAAAACAATTTATTTAAAAACAGTAATATTTATAATATATTGTTAGACCATATGTAAATGAATTACATAGCTAATGATGGCCGCTTTTGTTTTTTTATTTGCCCGTCGGCGTTTCTTGGCCTCGGTTTTCTTGTTGCATTTCGGCACTGGTGGTGGCTCGTCTAACTGAAATTAGACGAAGAAAAAACAGTTTATTTAAAAACAGTAATTTTGTGTCCGACAATTAGTATGGACACCAAAATGTCTAAAGAATAAAGGTGTAAGGCCCTCGAGCTCGTTATTAGCCAAAATGGAAGTGAACCAATCTGATTCAATCTATTCTGCGGTAACACTATGGTGGGCATACCGCATAACTCATTTACAGTGTACTTACCGACGGCTGGTTCGGCTCGTTAGCGGCTGCCTCAGTTGTTGAAACCGATAAAACTTCGGCCAGTCCAACCAGAAATTCCACCGGTATTCTGGGCGGAGCCGGCGTGTTAACAAACTATGATAAATTTAAAAAAAAAAGGTTAGATTTATTAATGCTATTGACTTTCAATAAGCAACTTACATATTCCACATTTGTCCAGTCAGTTGGCGGCGGTGGAGTTTGGACGAACTGAAATTAGACGTAGAAAAAACAATTTTATTTAAATTTATTTAATTTATTTATATTATGTAAATTAATAACATAGGAAAAGATGGCTGCTTTTGTTTTTTTATTTGCTCGTCGGCGTTTCTTGGCCTCGGTTTTCTTGTTGCATTTCGGCACTGGTGGTGGCTCGTCTAACTGAAATTAGACGAAGAAAAACAATTTGTATAAAAACAGTAATGTCTGAAAGTTAATGACAATTTTGTGTCCGACAAGTTGGCCCTCGAACCAATCTGATTCAATCTATTCTGCGGTAACACTATGTCACGACATACCGCATAAGAAATTTTCAGTGTACTTACCGACGCCTGGTCCGAGCTGTTAGCCGCATGGAACGCCGGTGGCGGTAATGCCGGCGGTTGCTCGTATGCCTAAAAAAGCGTAAAAAAAAAAAAACCATCAATATTAGTATTATATAAATGTACATACAATTTGTGGATATTGGATACGGTTTATCGTGTGTACACGGGTGCAAGAACCCACGGACAACACCCAACATCAGTAATATTAACTGATAATATGGTACTGACGACAGTAATTTAATTAGACTTTAGTATAATTTGTATATTTAGAGTTTGTTTATTGGATCATACATGTGTACCAACTGTCGCTAGGTATAGTTTTGAATTGATATTTTCAAAGTAAATAAATATATTGTTATTCGTTACCACGTTAAATAGTATTTGTCGACATTCAAAACAAACACATTTTGATCAGCCCATAGAAACGACGATTTTATATTTGAATTTTCTTAAAATTATCATAATTTATCAACTGTTATGCATAATTTATATTTAATTCAATATTAGCGTAGTTTACACGGCTACCCTTTGGGATAAATGTTAAGATCAATTGTATTTAATACTGTAGTATAGAGTAGAATTTAAGTAAATACATTAAGCAAAAAAAATTATATGTTCAAATTATGAAATATTATGTACTGTACAACAATAATGCTAATTCGGCAAATCATTCAAATGACCCACATTAACTTAATGTAAAATAAGCAAAACAATATTAACTATTTTTTTACTATAAAAGGCTAATGTAAAACAAGCAAAAGTAACTCTCCGCTTAGCATTAACTAGGTGGAGAACGTGTTGTATTTATATGTGTTTAATGCTCTATTATACTTATTTCTAAGTATAAACTCATTTTGTGTCTTTATTTAGTAGCGTCACCTTTTTACGTTTCACTTTTAAGTTATAAAGAAATGGCCGAAACAAACACCTAACCCGAATATATTCCTCGAAAATGTATAACTACCGTCGACGTGCTAACCCTATTAAATGTGTACGATAAAAACTTATAGTATACATAATACACACTTACCCAGTCGACATAAGGAACTTCGGGTTGCATAGAATTATTTGCCATTTTTACACAGTATATATGACAAATAAAGATAAATAATAAAGATTACACAATTTTACAAAAAATGTATAAACATACAAATCAAAAACACAAAATAACAAATTATGGTCTCTTCGGACCGTTTACGCTGTATTTATAGGTTTTTTTTAGTAGTATTTCTAGCCAGAAATTCGTTTTTAAATTTATTTTCTTCGACCAGCTGACATTTGGTAAACAATTCATAGAACAATCGTGTAAGTTAGATAATTTAAAATATACCTACACGTGTTAAACGAACGGCATAAGCAACTTTTTTATAATTATACTTTTTTTGTAGGGTCGAAAGGGATATTGTGATCCTAATGGTGTTCATTTATTAATTTAACTGCGGTAGGTAGATGAAGAACAAAAGCAGCCTGATTGAAAGTTGTTAAAAATCGCAGAAATGTGTATACCTATCTAGACTACAAAAAACGCCAATTTATAAAAGAAAATAATTAAATACTTGACAAGCGAGTATAGACGATATTATGAATATATATGGCAATCAAATGCAAACAGATGTACTATAGGTACGTGTATTACAATATAATTAGTTTTTTTCGAAAAATATACAAAAATCGGTTAATATATTCTACTGGACCATATTGAGCTTTCAAAAATCTAAAGCCAAAACATGGAACTTTACGAATAAAACTTTAGCTTGCCAAAATTACACTTATCAACACAGTGGAGGTTTTTTATTTTAATACTGCTGTAATAATAATTAAGACCGCATTTATACTTCATAGTACATAGGTACGCTATACAGGAATACATTATCTTATCAAAATATTGACGGTGACAAATGTGACGTGTGCTTGGAGTCATTTTCTCAAAAACACCACTCAAAGAACCACAAAACAACACAAACGTGAGCACACTGGCGAAAACCCTTATAAATGTAATCTGTGGTCATAGTCATTTACTCAAAATGTCAATATTTCATATTTGATTGGTTGCGCCAAATTATGTATTATGATTATCTAGTATTATGATTTTCGACTAAATTTTAAATACTAATCTTCGTTATTCCGGCATAAGTGAACAAACTATTTTTACACATTATGGTTTTATTGTTTATCTTAATCTACGTCCCTTCTGAAAATTGTTGATTGTGTTTCTAAACAATATAATATGTATTTGTGAAATCAACCAACGTGCTAGATAAGAGTATAAGACAAACGTTCATACTTCATTCGATCACAAGTTGTACTTCGGTTTAGTCGTGTATTCTGTACGGAGTATTCAATATTATTCATATATTGTGTAAATAATTAAAAACATGATTCGTCCATCGTTCTCAATTTGGACAAGGTGCATCCGTAGTAATACAATTATCCGAAAGAATTAATGTGCCAAACTGCATATTGTTTTTCGATAACTATTTCAATACATTTTTGGCTGTTTGAAAAACCATAATATTTATGCTGCCGGAACGATTAAGAGTCGACAGATTTATGAAACCTCTATTTACTAAAGACAGAGAAATGACAAAAAACACCACGGTAGAGGCTACATGGAAAATATAATTTGTAATACGCCTGGAGTGATGCTAACAAAATGATAGTATGATAGTTCAAGTGTGGCTCCGGCTTCAAATTTTTGTGGTAAAGGATAGGTTGACCAATGTCGTCGTTACGATAAAAAGCAAAAAAAAAAAAATATATATAAACGTTCAAAGACCCGAACTTACTATCATTATATCGAATTTTATTTCATTATAAATAAAACAACGTTTTAAATACATATTAAACTTGTATCCATGTAATGTATTATAATTTTAATTTCATATAATTTGTATAAATAATTAAAACGTTTTCTTAAGAGGGCGTCGCGCCGGTGATTTTCAGTGGTAAAAACATGTTTAGGCAGACTGAAAATAACTCGCTTAATTTTGGTTTTAGAGTAAAAGCACCTATTATAAAATTAAAAGACAACAATATTCCGGAAGGCAAGACGGTGCGTTTTTTAAAAAAAAATAATTTTTTGAAAAGTTACAGTCATTTAAAAATGTTAAAATAGTCGTTAATTCTAAACTATGTATTGAGCGTTATACTTAGAATAATGAAAAAAATTTACCGTCTTGCCCTCCGGAATATTGTTCTCTTTTAATTTTATAATGGGTGCTTTTACTCTAAAAACCAAAATTAAGCGAGTTATTTTCAGTCTGCTTAAACATGTAGAGATGAAAAAACATTTTTAAATCGCTTTCAAGGAAGCTGTGATAGTCCAAAAAATAAATTAACTACCAAAATAGAGTCCTAGTTATTGAACTAATAATTACACATTACAGTTTAACCTTTAAATTAAGATTTTGTAAACAATTGCCTATACTTTACTCCTTAAAAATGAGCGGTGCGACGCCCTCTTAATAGAACATACCTAATCAATATATAATATATAAAGAAAGTCGACAATATGTGCGTGCAGCTAATACTAAAAAAAAAACGAGTCCCTGTACGTTCAAGGTGTGGTAGCCCTCTATACCTCTTTTTTTTAAATAATTTTATAGTTATTAGTTGGGACAAATTTAATATTTTTTTTTAAATTATAACCCCATCCCTTATATGTTAAAACCGTATGAACTTAAGAATTTTAAACGGTAACGTACATATTTTATTATTTTTTTTAATTAAGAATAATTTGCTGAACATTTTGACTGGTCGATAACCAGTCTTGGATAATTAGTTTCAAAGTTATTAAAGTTTAACTACCACTTATACTCATAATTTAATAGTCACCCGCATACTACATTTATATCTCCGTTGTAACCATTCTTATTTCCATTTATTTTTTGAATTTTTTTTGCTCCCGTTTTAAAATTGAACTCTATAGTTTAACAATAATTATTTTGTTTTAAATGTAATCACTAGATTGATATTTATATCAATTACACGATTGATTCAGTATGCTGTGTCGACTGGCAACCCAAAATATAGGCAGCTGGCTTTATTGTTATTTTTTTTAAAAAAATGTTGCAATAACAAATTTAAGTGTAACTAATGGGTGACTTCTTTATTAAATGAATCACACGTTTTGTATTATATCAACACATATACTTATTGTGCTTTTAATTGTATAGATTGTATATTTTTTCAATAAAAAAAAAAATTATACAATTTTGAAATAAAGTTGTTCCCTGAGCGAAGCCGGGTACCCCAGCTAGTTATAAGTATACAACTGATGTAGTATTTTTTTTATAATTAGTCTTAGATGCCTTTAAGTCATGTTGTCCTTTTGAGAGGACACATTTTATCTCAGGATCAGGCTGTCCGATCGATATGGGACCAACATTAAAATGTGTTTAAATGTCAGTTTAATTCAAAACAGTTGAAAAAAACAATTTTTTTCCTGACAATAGAAATGCATGACGGAAAGTGTTAAAGCGACCTGTACGCTGCACGGCGCAAAATCGAAATACCAAATTCAAGCAGCTGACATCAAAATGCCGGCATTTTTTATTTTTTTTTATATTAAATATTGTTATAAAATACTTTGAATGGTCATTTCACGATGTAATTTACTTCATTTTAATAAATGAAGCAACTCATAACTCTGACCGGCTTTTAGCGATTGTAATAATGATAGAGATACATACTAGTCGTTGTAGACACACGTTTGTACAATACACGTATTCTAATACACATATTCTACTCGAAATAAATAAGATTATGTATATTGACTATTTAATAAAAAATAACTCAACAACTTAAATAAACAACAAAAGTACACGTACAGCGGTATTCAAATTTCATTTTTTTACAACATATTTGTTTTAACCGAAAAAGGTTTAAATAAAATACTTATTAAATTTAATGATAAAATGTTATAACTTATGTTATAAATATTATTTTAAATGGTAATATTAAATGGTGATAATTACAATCTATGTATCGGGTCCACATATAAGAAAAAAACTAACGATGTAATGAAAGCAATCACTGGTCGATAATTAGATTTGTGCGAGGGACAAGATTTATATTAAACATTTAAGCTATTTATTGGTTTGTTTATTAAAAATTAATGACTTAAGAAAAAGAAAAAAATATAATTGCAAATACATATTAAATATTACATTTAATTTATAAATATTATAAATAGGTACATAGTTATTAAAAATTGACACATGCATTAGGTATATACAAAGTTAAAGAAATGTTACATTTTATACACAAACATATTATTACAAATAGGTACACACATATTGACATAAATAAATATTACATTTCATCAATCATTTAAAATTTTTGCAAATTCAAAATAAACATTTACAAGGTTTTTAACACATGAAAAAATTAAAAAGGTAAAATATTATCTAAGTGCATAGTTAATTATATAAATATTACATTTTATGTACAAAAATATTCTTACAAATGGTTTTCACGCATTTGTAATAATAATGTTGCATAAAAAACATTTACAAGATTTTCAGCACATAGAACAATATTTCAAGATAATTTTTTTAAAAAGGTACATCTTCTTCCTCTCACAAATCTGCCTATACAGCTCCTCAACAATTCCCTCTCCTTCTATCCAACTCCCTTGTTTCATCGATAAATATTAAACAACTAAGTCTTGGAGGAGAGATCATATCATTTTACTTCTCTCTCAAATTACTTCTCTCTCTTTACAGTCGCATCGGTGGTAATTTATTTTAATTTCTATTCGTCTTCGCCGGAGGAAGTATCGGCGGTTGAACGATCAGAGATGTATTGACACATGCAATTTTGATAGGTTTTTTCGTAGCCATGGTCGATTTTTTCGGTTTTGATCTTATATACGTCGATTATTTCGGTCTTCTCCTCACATGTGTCATCGTCAACTTTGTCGTCATCACTGCTGTAACTGTTCACGAGTACATTAAAATAAACATGTCATATGGCTGGGGGTCATCTTATTAGAATTAATAGACTATATTCATATGAAATTGCACAGAGGTTTTCATTCAAGTCGGGTCTGGTTTTATTCCAAGGTAATAGATTTTTTATTTTTTATTTACTTGATTTACCATATTAACAACATCTTCCTGTCCCACACGAGCTAAGACAATTTTTGCAATCACCCGTCTTCCTTCTACCGTGTTTAGATATAGCCAATAAAAACACAACAACTTACACTTGTCTGCATTTAAAAGAATCTATTTCCCATAGTAATTTGTTAGCGTGAGCAGATTGTTTTAATTTTGTAGACCGCTGTTTATGTAATTTTATGGACCCCGACTACCAGTGTTGTCCATTGGGGAACAACTATCGTTCAATAATAAACCGCCAAGAAAAATTTAAAAATTATTATTTATTAGCCGTTATTTGCAAAAAGTTTTTTAGAAAATACTATGCGCCCTTCCCCCTGGGAAATACTCAGAATAACTGTTTATGTACAAATAATAAAACAATATACCTAAGAAACAAATATATTTTTAATATTATGAAATGTCATAATTAGTTGTTTTATTATCAGCTATATAATAATAATTTCATTTTTCGCTCCAAACACTTATTTGATAGTGAATCGGTATACCAATATATTTTGTTGTACACTTGAGAGTTAAGTTATTTAGAGGTACGATGGCCTGTCAAGCTCCCCAGGTGATATACAAAATATATTTAATGGAGACTTTAGGAATATTTAAGTGTAGATACGGCTTGGCCATCCTTCTTGTCTTAGGGTACACTAATTTTAAATTTAACCCTATCGACTGTCGCTAAACAGACACGTTACAGTACATAATATTATACATGTAAAGTGAGCTACATAATAGATGTATCAGTTTTTAATGTTGTTTATTAGTTTAAAATCATTTATATACCTCCTTTTCGTTAATATATTATTTTTAATTCCCCAGTTAAAAACGTTTGTAAAATAATATCACAGAATAGACTATAATCAATAATCTAACCGGTGGCTATCCAGTTATCTTAATTCGTGGTTTTGTCTAATCAGTAATCTGTGATAATAATATTTGCTATTTGTTTGGACTGAGATTTGATATAATAGACTTGACAATTTGTCATTTAAAAATTTTAATTATTTAAAAATCTAGTGTCTACACAATAATATACAAAGTTGACGTTTTCTGAACGAACATACATTTAATGTAAATTAAAAAAAAATTCAATATGTTTTTAACAATGGACCCATTTGTATTGCTTATAACGAATGTGCTACGTGTTTTTTAGTTGTAGAATATGAGAAATTATTTTATCAACAAGTTATTTAATCTTATAAAACAAGTTGTATTGTAATTTCAACAAGAAATGTTATGTGTTTGCGAGCGTTTTAATTTGTTTGCTCAACTTGTATAGTTAAATTAATAAAATTATGTTTTTAAAAAATATATTTCACCGTCTGCCTGCCTTTAAATTTGTCCGAGGAAGACTATATTGATGGTAAAGTGGCTATAGTACTTAGAAGTAGTCATGTCCAAAGTACGTTTCGAACCTGGATCCATCACTCGACAAAGGTTACCGCGTAAAAATATTATTCGTTCTTTAATAGACCGCGAAACAAATGGAATAAAATCAAGAATGAAATTTACCAAATCATTTTACCAGACTGTGTTCCCAAATTGTACAATAATAAATGTAGAAAAACCGCCGTGTTACCTAAGAAAGTTTACTCCTGATGGTCGTCATTTCATAGCTTTCTCTCATGACCAACTTTCAGTGGAAGTATATGAATATCAAGGATGTTCAGCAGCAGCAAATTTATTAAGAAAATATAAAGGGAACTGTATCAGCCAAAATAAAGAAGGTGAAGCAGTTCGCATGAAAATATTCGATCGGCTGTTCAAATTAAAACATCGAATAAGAGTGTCGCCCGACGGAGAACAACTTAATAGAGAATGTAGTTTATTTACAGATGATGGATATTATGTGTTAGTTGGATCTGCTGCAATCATTCCTGATGATATACGACCACAGTTTTATGAAATTTATTCTAACAACGAAGCAGTAAGTCCTAATCCACTTTTTCCACTAGAAGACTATACGTTGCACTTGATTGATATAAACCTTGGACGATTATGTGACTCCATACACTTTAAGGCTGATAAAATATTTCTTTCACATAATCAAGGATTATATTTGTATAAAGATACATTAGCCGTTCTCTCTGTTCAACATCAAACTATACATATTTATAAAATAATTGATATGCAGTTATATTTGTTGAGAAGCATTGGACGATATTGTTATGAAGATGATCAGTTATTGATAACGTCGGTTTATACAATTATGAACAGAGCTATGTATAGACCATTCAGAGAAAGTAGCATTAATGGATTAAAACATAAGTTAATGGTATTTTTATATAAAAAGGCCCAAGATGAAGCGAAAAGAACTGGTTCTCAATTTCCTTTAAGAAAATTTTATCAATATTTTAATCAGGCAAGACCTATGATTAACCAATATTTAAACTAACCATTTCTAGTAATGTATTAAAATTATTTTTTATTTTTAGTTTTTGTCACTGCGAATGTGGAAAATGCAATTATTGGATGAAAATCATATACTAGTTAGGTATGCTTCGGAAGAGGTGGCTACTATAAAAATTCAAGAGCCTAATACACAAGCGTCATTCTTTATGATTTATAATATGGTTTCTACTAAGGTGAACATTTAAATCTAAAGTTATGTCTTGAAAAGAACCCAAAAAAATGCAGCAAATAAAATAATTTCATAATCATAATTATAAAATACCGAACACTTTAAAATACAATAATGTGTTTAAAATTCATAGCTATATTTTAATTTGGTCCTCGCAAGTGTTACATGGACATAAGAATTTAATGGTGAAATTGTTTCTAACATATTTGCATACAGTTTATTTTTCATTTGATCTATTCAAAATTAAATTACAATGCTATACCTGACTATAGCATTAACATTTTTTTTTTTAATTATTAGACCTTTATTTTTTAGACTACCAGTTAATAATTTGTACTTGCCTTATTTAAAAATTGGCTCCGATTTTTAGATTTTTAATGTATATGAATGATTTTTTCCGAGTTAATTTTTTTTTTTGTACATCAACTTAATAACTATAAAATAACCATTCATTGATAAACCAATGTATAATTTTTGAGTAACTCGTTTTGAATAGTGAATGGATGTATTAGATGTATGGTTAAGCTCATTAAAATAGGATTGTATCTAAAATTGGTTGCTATAAATGTATATGACAAATCTATCGGCATATATATTTAATCTAAACACAATTTATAAACTGAAATTTTTTTTTTTTTATAGGTTTTAGACGTTTTTGAAAATACATCCGATGAGTTATTAAATGTGTATGAGAATTTTTGCGATTTTTTTCGTAACTCCAAAATTAACCCAGAAGGATTTATGCCTTGTTCTCCATCAAATAATATATTTTCAAAGTGAGTCAACTAAAAAAAAAAAAAAAAAGCATTAGCCAATATTTATTAATGTTCTCAATGTTTGGTTTCTAGAGAATCTCATCAAAAGTTCAAAAATACTATTATCAATGCCAAATTTGGAGGTACCACAGAGGCAAATAAACGAATATTAGGCCAGTTACCAGTGGGAGCACAATCTTTTACCAGCTCCCCATACTTGGATACATCACTGTTTAGTTACGACGAAAAGTGGGTGTCGCCAATGGAAAGGCCCAAAGTTGTTGGTGAATACCCCATAAGGTTTAAACATTTATTATAATTATTTCAGTACAATTTTCTATGTTTAATTAGTATAACATGAAATACTTTTTTTTTAGGTTCTACTCAAGAGAATCGGGTCTGTTAAATTTTTGCTTATATACCAGCGAGTCAAAGGGCCCCAATATAATTGATCGTAGACGGTTGGTGGCATTTACATTTCATCCGACGGACCCTTTTGCTATAAGTGTACAAAGAGACAATTATGATTATGTCGTTAATTTTCATATACGTAAAGTATACCTACCAGAATAGGAAAAAAATTGTAATTTTCTTCAATGTGTATAGTTTTAAATGTAAATGGTCTAGAAAAGATCAGAGATTAATAATTTGTACAAAACAAACGTTCTAGTCTTTTTTTATTTTTTATTATCAATAGTCGAGTTGTTTTATATATAATACAAATTAAGTAAAATTAACAATTTTACATTAACTGTTATGAACATTTATACATTGTTTTACTTAATGTGTCATATGTTGTGATAAAATACATTTATTTTTTATGCATAGAGAAACTTAAGTATAAATAGACAAATTAAACATGAATTGTAGTATAGCATGTTATTTAATTTTTACATTTTCTTCGTCCCTACATTGCAGTTCTTTCCATCGTATTTCAAGGTCTGAATACTTGAGCTGTAAAATTTTCTCTCGCTCCTTTTGACGTTCTACGTCATCAGTTAATGACTGAAATATAATAAAATAACGAGTTAAAAATATTACAGTATAGAGATTTGGAAGTTAAGGTAGACCGAAAAAAAAGTGAGTAAATATGATAGATTCGTAAAATAAACATGTGAGTAAAGAAATTATACATTTGACGGTTTGGCTGGCTGATTTCATTTACATAAGAAAGACAAGGTGAAGAACAAAAAGGGAATTTAATATATAAACAACATTTAAAACATATTTTCTTTTACCTGAAGACGTTTTGGAATAGCCGCTTCTTCTTGTCGTTGTAAAAATTGAAATGTTGACAGCTCTAAATGTGCTTGTTCTATTTCATCTACTAAAGTTTGGAACTGTTTGACGAGACCTTGAGAACGAGTCTGAAAACATCATAATATTTTTAACAACAATTTTTATTTATGTTGATATTTTTCAATTAAAAAAAAAATTTATTTTTGTAACATTCTTTAAATAATTAAAAAAAAAAACATACTTGGTAACCACCGAGAATAATTTTAATTTTTTTTTCCATTTTTCCAGCTTTTTTAGCTTCTTTGGTCATATGACCTCTATTCTGTTCCAGCTTCTTTTCTAAAGATTCTATCCTATCTTTCTTACTAGCTAAATTGGCTCTTGTGTAACGATTTTGGTTGGGTAAAAACAGAACTTGACCCAAACATTCAACCCATACTTGAGTAAACGAATCTAATGATAATTCGCCATGATTCATCCCTTGTTTTACAAATTCCATTTCTTTTTTCAGGGCTTGCTGTGCCTAAAAAAAAAAAATCATATTAAATTATAATTTAAAAATAATATTGTGTTAAAAGGAGAAAAATTAATTAATAATTATTCGTTTTCAATAATTACAATTTCAATTTCGTCTTCAGTGAAGTGGTGGTATGGATGCGATTGTAAATATTGTAAATGCTGAGCTTCAGTTAATATAGGTTGTTTTTTAGGACCACTTTGAGTAAGTGTAGCTACTTCTGGTGGAAGAGGGTTACGAACTGCATCATAATGAAGCATTGTGATCATTTCTTGTTTAATTAATTCTTCAGCCTAAAAAAAAAAATTTAAGTACATAATTTAGTTATTCTACAATTATGTTCGATTTTCGGGCTTCCAATTCATCCAGGAAAAAATTATTCCAATGATTATTTAGAAAACCACTGTGGTTTAAACCTAACCTAACCGGCACTACCCACCACAGTGAATGTGTTAAACAACCAAGTTACCTTTTGAAGATCAGTAAGCGGCGGCTCCGAATTCAAAGGTCTCAACACAATGTTAGTATCAGGTGGACGTGGTAAAGTTCGTTGAATTACTTGAGACCTCAACTTCATTTCCAATTTCCCTAAAACATTTCAATTGTTAGTTTCTTGTACCATGAATTTGATCAATAATTCAATAATTAACTTACGCCTTGCTAAAATTTCTTCTGCACTACGCATTTCGACATCCGACTGATCTTCGACAAAATCTTTTTGAACTTCGGTTTCTTCATCATCAGGGTGATCTTCAGGAACAACAATTTCAAAATCATTTTTTGGCTGAGGTAAAGTACTTAATCCAGCTTTTAATTGTTCTTTCATTTGGTGTTGAAAGTTTTTCATGGCTTGCGGTGTATTTATTACGTCCATTTCCATAGAGTCTGAACGATTGATGCTTAGTTGATCTCTTAAAGGAGTAGGAGTCAATAAACCAGGTTTTACAATCGAACGATCACTTTGAGGAGTTTGAAAACCATCATTAGTGTGTTGTGTATGCGGAGTGCCCAATATTGTGTTCGGTGTTGTAATAACTTGTCTTTGTGGGGTTACACCATTAAAATCAACATTCTGGAGTTCAGTATTAAGTCCACCTTTAAGTGGAGTGTCCACGTGTGTTAATGCCATGATATTTTGAGCATCCTATGACCATAAAACGACACAGATGTTATTTGATATACTAAATAGTATCAAAAATACCTAATTCATTTAAAAATTATTATTTAACCTGTAAAACTTTATCAGTGGACACAGATGGAGTTCGTGGTGTGCGACCAGGAATGTTGTTAATTGATGGTGTGTAGTCTGAAAGCAATGCATCTGACGCCTGTTGAGGGCCATTTTCCATCGCTATTTCCCGAGCCATTTCACTAGCTCGACCTAGCTTGACAACTTGTTGCAATTCCTGAATAAAATTACTAATAAACACACACAAACAATACATAATGATACCTAAAATACTTTGACAAAATTACTTGATCAGAAATTTGTGGTTCTGGTAAAACAAGTTTGCTCATTTTTCTTATGGGCTCTTGACTATTTAACATGGCTGAAGGAACTTCATTTTCTTTTCGTTGTTTTAGCTTTGCTTTATCTTTTTTTCTTTCTCTCTACAAACAATGTATCTAGCTATTAAATTTTGCTTAGACATATTTAAAATACTACAATTTACCTCTTCTACTTGTGAACGTAATTCTCCGTCTAAATTTTGTTGACGCAATTTCCTAAAATCAGGTGCTAATGGGTCGACCTCTTCATTGGCAGTGTCATAGAATCCTAAAGCTGGTTTTTTCTCAAAAGGAATTTCAGCATTATAATCGATGCCTCGTTTTCTTTTATTCCCTCTCCCTACGCCTATACCAGCAGCACGTAATTCTCGGCGTTTCTATAAAATTAATTGTTAATATATACATATTCTATTCCAATAGTAAATTAATGATTTCGAGAATGATTACTTGAAGTGCTGCTAGCCTTCTAGCTTCTTCCAACTGCTTCTCACGCGCTTTACGTTTTGCCTTTTTACCTTGAGTGTTAGCTAAACGAGCTCTTGCTTCAGACAACATTTCCAATTCTACAACAATGAAATATATACCATATTAATTTATTTCAAAAGTATAAAATTATAAATTTCATTTTGTGAGATAGATAGTTATTATATACATATAAACATTCCTTATGAAACTAGCACTTTTAATTTTTCTTATAAAACATACTGACAGACTTTATGACAAAAAAAAAAAAATATATGGTTTCAGCCTGTCTTGTCGGAATGGTGTGAACATTACGATGTTTGTTAAAAGGATTTTTTAATTTTTAATTTATGAGTTATTATTTATTAATCAACAAATATTATAGCACGAAAATTAATTGATTAAAGATTAATAAGTTAAATTGTAATGTGTATCTTTGTATCTTTTCGTGGCAAATTCAAAAGTGGTGTTTTTCTTTAAGAAAATCAATACATTTTTTATTTTATATGGGGCCCCAATAGGTTTTTATGCTGTAATCACCAAAGAAAAACTAATAAAACAATTTAAGTTTAAAGGAAAGTCATCATGTAATGAAATTAAACAGTTTTTTTTAGCTTCAAACGAACATGGTTCAGTGTGAGCTGTGGTGTCACACTGTTAGAACCTTCACTTTGGATACATCAAAATGTATATTTTGTGTTCTAAAAAACATTTTAAAATATAGAAGTTAATTAAATCAAAATACCATCTTCGTCCATATCTTTAGGGTCTGGACGTGCTGGTTTTGTCTCTGGATTAGGATCGATTTCTCCAGGTTTTAATTTTCTTGGGTCATCTCCAACTTCTTCCCCATCCTCTTTTCTTTGAGCTTGATCCCTAAAAATATGATTAATGAAAATAATTACTCTTCCCTTATATTATTATAAAATACTCACAATAGATATTCATATCTTTCCAAACACTGTGAAGCTGTACGACCCACAATTGGAGCAATAGTACGCCACTGGGTTGGCATAAGTTTAGCAAGATGCAATAGTTTTTCATCTTCTTCGCGGCTCCATTCAGTTTTCTTAATACTTGGGTCGAGCCATTCAAACCAACGTGCTTTACACTGTTTGGCTGACTTTCGATGCAACAATGATGCGATACGTGACCACTGATTTTTGCCATATTTCATTACCGCCGCTTTAAGAATTTCATCCTAAATAAAATACATAATTTTAGTAAATATTTATTGTTAATAGATAATAAATAATCGGTAATAATTGTATTTTCTTTGATTCAAACAGAATTAAAAAACAACACCCAAGTGTCATATATATATATAAGGTGATCAGAGAATGGGAGAGGCCAAATTTTGTCATACATTTAAAATGTCTCCAAGAAATCAATGAAAAAATTGCAACGAGTGTTAAGACTTCTGCTAGCATTATATTTCCATTGTTTTCTAGAGACTAAAATCGACATAATAATTATTGTAAATTGATGTGCCTTACCTCGGTGTTTCGCCAAACACCACCTTTTATCATAATTCGCGGCATTTTGAACGGTTAATCTAATGCGTTTTTAGTTTACAACACGAAAGTAGGCAAGTATTATACGTCGGCCGTTTACAAAATACAAAGTATTTGAACTTAGCAAATCAACCGAATCACTTATTGGCGTAAACTCGTTTAGTTTTAGTCAAAAACGTTTTTGGTAAATACAATTTATCCTATAGACTACTCTCTATAGGTAAACATGCTGGATAGTGGATACCGAGTGGCACATAGCAATCCGCAATCATACGAATCAGTGTGCCGGGCCAAATGAATACAATATTAATGTGTTGTAGCATGTGGAGATAGAAAATGACAATTCACATATTAAATACTTGACATTTGGATGTTTAATGAACAAACAAAATTGTTGTCAAACAAAACACAATTTTTTATGGGAGAAATGTATTTTAGAACTGGCTATAACGGTACAATATTTTTAATTGTAGTTAAAAAAAATATTTTAATGTATTTGTTGTGTAATAATATAAAATAAGTTCTGGGGAATATTGACTTGGGACAAAATGCACATTACATAAGAAATAATATTCCTTTATATCCTGTAATTTATTTAAAATGTAGAGCAAACTGCAATTATTGGAAAAAAAGATTTTTAAAAAAAAGACAATTAATACAAGCCTATCCCACGTCTATAGACTTTAGTTTAATCTACACCCGGCTCGGCCGACATCTATCTAAAGCACCAGTGATACCAACTGTCGTATTTTGTCGATTGATATTATGGAATTGATAGGTTATCATTTTAACTTGAATTTGTATAGTAATAAATTCATGTGTAGGTATTTACGGATTATTATTTACCTTAAAATTACATTTTTTTTATAATTATTTTACTTAAATATAAGTTATAATTTATTTATTATTACGGACAGTTTAGTTCTTTGTGAAATGTCAATTGAATCGTTTTCATAATAACACTTGTGGTCTAAAACCAATTTGTTTATAGTTAAAAATTGATTCTCCTTTATATTGGTATTATAGAGACTATGGCGGCATTATATTTTAAAAAACCTAAAAGAAATCTACGAGTCAGAGATTCTGACGAATTGTTCGACGACGAAAATGAAGAAAAAATTAACAATGAATATGGCGCTAAACCACCGCCTAAATCAAATAAAAGCAAAGAAAGCAAAAAAGTCAGTACACTAAGTTTTGAAGATGAGTTAAATGAATGTGAGTAATTAATCATTGCTATAGAATAAATAAAACACCAATTTTGTTTAAAACATGTTATAAATTCTTTGCATCACATTGCGATCCCTCAATATCTCTTCCAGACAATCAATAAAATTGCCTAATATCAAATTTTGTACAATGTTACCTATTGTTTGTGTAGAAACCTATCTTCCATCTTCAGGGTTGAGCTAGTGGTCTCATGTTCCTTGTATCGTTCCAATGTTTCATCAGTCTGCAGGCAGTAATGTTACAAGACATACTAGACCACGTGCGCAGCTCTGAAGATGAGAGGTGTATGGCGTCAAAAACATTGGCGAATAGGTTAATATAGGTGAATTTACAAATTTCGAAAATAATGTATTTAGGTAGTATTTTACCTCTATTGAAAAATTATTACTTGGTCCATCTGAGTCTAATATAATGCATATATTCATGTTTGTTTCTATGATTTATATTACAATAGAGTCATGTACACAGGTGATGATGGTGAAGAGTTCAAAGTCAGAAAATCATCTTACAGTAAAAAAATTAAGAAGCAAATGAACAAAGAGAAAATGGGACGAAATAAGGTTGAAACTGAAAAAAAATCTAAAATTACTACTAATAACACATTCCAATCTGTAATAATTAAAGAGTCTAAAAAAAATGTATGTAGATGATAAAAATATACTTAATTTAGGTGGTATAATTGTATTCGTTATAACATTTTTTAAATTATTTTAGTCAGAACCCGTTGAAAAAGAAATTATGCTTACTGGACGTGATGCTGAAATGGCTGGATATGAATCATCTGACGAAGAGCGTGACACATTTCATCCTTCTGTTCATCGTTTTTCTAATCCAGAAGATGTAAAAATAGTGTTAAAAAGTAAAAAATTATATAAAAGATATTAATAATATAAATATAGAACAATTTTTTTTATTTATAATTTTTTAGAGGGACAAATTCCAAACGCAGCATTAATTCATGCTGCTAGAAAAAGAAGACAACAAGCTCGTGATATGGGAGAAGACTTTATACCTGTATCGCAGTCTCAAGGGTAATTATTAACACAAGTTTTAAAAGAAAATATAGATTAATAAATAATAGTACAATGTATTATTAATCAATGCCATGTATTAAAAAATTTTAGTTGATTAACTTGGGTTCAATCTAAAATCAAGCTAAGGTTTTTTTTGAAGAACTTGATTTAAAATCTACAATTTAATAATTTTTCTTTTTTCCATAAACAAAAAGATAATTAACTCGGTTAAGTTGATGTAAGACTTCCTATAAATCGTTGTTCAGATAGAACATCTATCCACTGTGAAAAAATAAATGTTTTATTAAAGGTTTATTGGAAGAATATTTTGTAACTGTACTTGTTCTTAATATATTATTTAATACTGATAAGTATTTATACAAATCGATTATGATTACTAAAGCTATCATACAGATAAAAATACAAGATATAGTTACAACTATTTTTACTTTTTAGCGACACCAATAATACTGAAAAAGAACCGACTGTTGGTAGACGTTTGACTCGTGAAGAAGATGAATTGGAGGATAGTGATGATGATGGTAGAATTGTTATGTCTGGGATTGTTAGTCAAGCCGAAGACCGGAAAAAAAGCTTGCATATTACAATGACTGGTAAAAAAAAAAAATTGTATTAATTCATATTATAAACTTAAAATGACTCAGGACTTGTTCTAGACAACGCTAACAGCGATGAAATTCAAGATAACGATGAAATGGACGAAGATGATAATGACTGGGAAACCCAACAAATTCGGAAAGGAGTTACAGGATCACAGTTGGCAGCAGCGCAACAAGAGTCTACGTGTATGAATATGTATAGTAATGTTGTCCCTCATCCTGCAATTCCGCAAGTAACAACTATAATGATGGAGCAAAAAGACAAAATAATCAACACTTATGCTCCACATGGTTTAGCGTCTACAATGAAACCAAATGAAATTGTAAAAAAAACCAACGAAATGTATGTTTATTCTATTTTTGTTGTATTACTACTTTACCGTTAATGTACAGGGTCTGTCAGAGATGTCCGACGTTTTTCAAAAATAAATCTAAATCACTTAATTTTTCAGAGCTAATTTACATAATGCCATTTTGTTAAATTTGACTTAAGCAAAAAAAAACTTACTTTTACTAGCAAAACTACTTCCTTTTGAAGTATCCCCATAAAAAGTTATCATGGGGGCACTCACAGTGAAATGAGGTGCCCTGGAAAATGGAAGTGCTTGCAAAATGAAGGTTGGATAACATTATTTTTGCCTATTAAGACAAATTTTTTTTTTTATGTAATAGCAAAATGGAAATAAGTAATTGATGTTTGAAAAATTTAATTTTGTTCCAAACTATCAATAAGTGATTTATTGATTTTCTAAAAACATTATACCTCTATGCAGAACTCTGTATTATTGACAAAGCCGTGACAGGGGCAGTTTTTGCTTAATGTTTTTTTTTAACATCACACATTTTTTTAAAAATTATTTTTAGATTAGCCGAGCTTAAAGAAAAGCAGCGTCCTGATATTAAATATTTTGAAGATATGAGAGATGAAATACCAGAGATCCAAGATAGAGTTGAAAAACTTAAAAGAAATGTTCCAGAGTTGGCTGAATGTTTTCAGTTTTACCAAGATTTACGTGGGTACGTCACTGATCTGGTAGAATGTCTCGATGAAAAGGTAGGCGTGTTAGTTTGCTTAAATGATGTAACGGTGTAGACAACTCGGCTGATTTAATATGATTATGGTGCAGTATTTTTCTAAAGACTAGAACATTGTAACTTTTGTAGATACAATTAGACCTATATTACTTTTATGTAAATTTAAATCTTCATCAATTTAACGATTTACTTCAACTTAAATGAAACTTAAAGTTTGGAAAACTTTTTAGGATATATTGTTTAAAGTTTTCATCAACTCGACTTAAAATCGAAAACTAAATTAAATTGAAAAAAATTAAATGTATTTTATAGGTAATAATTACTCATTACTGTTTTTTTTTTAAATTAAAATGTCTATGTTTTTAATTAGATTCCTGTTCTTGTCATGTTGGAACAACGTCTTTCTAGTGCGTATGAAAAAAGACGTAGTGACCTATTATCCAGACGAAGATTAGATGTAAGGGATCAAGCTGACGAAGCAATGCCAACATCAAATAGTAAATACATCAATTTTATTTGTATATATAAATGTTAAATCTCAGGTAATTTGATAAAAATAAATCATGTACTTGGAACAGAGTTAGGATCATCTTCAGCAGTTCCTCCGAGGTCAGAAGAACAACAAAGAAGAGCAGCTGAGCGTGAAGGTCGTCGTATAAGACGTATGAGGAACAGAGAATTAAAAGCCATCAGTAAACATGCAGATGGCATGTCAACTGACGAAGAAGTTCCAGAAACAGATGCAGCTGCTCTTAGATCTCAAATAGGTAGTAAATATAATGTTCACTCTATATACAACCACTGTTTAAAAAAAAAAAACATTCTTATATAGATAAAATCACAATTCTCTGATAGATACACATTGTGTATATATATATATATATAATATACAATCGCTGTTTTTCTGTGTATGTCTTTCATGAAATATTTCTGTAATCTATAAATCAATTAATTTAAATATCATCTTGGTTGATCAGAAAGTTATGTAATTGGTACTTTGAAGGAGTAAGAATTAAAAAATGTTGATAGGAGAACTACAAAAATAGTTTTCTACTTTTTGTGAAACTTTCGTAATGAACAACAAATATATTATGTTTTTATTTTAAATACAATACCTCATACAAGTTGAAATCAATATCTAATAATATGTTGGTATGTTTTAGAGGTTATAAAAAATGATGCAAATGTCTTAATGGATGATGTTCTTGACGAGTTCGCTTCAGTTGAATTAATTTTGAGACAAATGTTTGAATGGAAAAAAAAGTATCAAGAGACCTACACAGAAGCTTATGTCAATGTTTGTTTGCCTAAATTAGTTGGGCCTTATGTTCGTCTTGAAATGCTATTTTGGAATCCTCTAGAGGTAAATAAACTTGAAATCAAAGCGTATTGTAAAAATTACATTTTGTTGGCGTTTTCGTTTTATAGGATAATCAAAAGTTTGAGGACATGCTGTGGTTTAAAAGTATGCAAAAGTATACCGTGAATGGAATGTCCAATATAGAACAACTATCGAAAAATGTTGATTTAGAATTAATACCAAAAATAATAGAAAAAGTTGTATTGACTAAGCTTGACCGTAAGTACTAATTAAGCAATGCCAAAATAATATTTATATTTAATTTGTAATTTTTCTTTTCTTTTTTCTTTTTTATCTAGAAATTGTGTTGACACAATGGGATCCTTTGTCATCAAAACAGACAAAAGGAATTACTTGTGTTATTAAGAATATACTAGATAATTATCCTACTATTGATCCTGATAGTAAGCTATTAATGGCACTACTGACAAATATAGTAGATAGACTACGAGATGCTGTTGATAATGACGTTTTTATTCCAATTTATCCAAAACAGTGAGACAAAAATATTTTTATTTTATAGTGGTCTTCAAAGATAATTTTTCAAATATTAATACACTTGAATATTCTCTTGATGTTAACAATATTATCGATATCGCGACTTTTTTCACTAATTTTTCTATTTGAATATTAAAAACAAAGTTGAAATTAAAATTACGATGTATTATAACATTGCATTTATTTTTTTTATGATATATGTAATGTTATTACATATTCCATTGGCGTAAATAGAGAGGGTTCTTATTAGGCACAGTTCCCAAGTAAAGTTTATAATTTTTACTAAAATTCTGAGGTAGCTTTCAGAGTTTTTAAAAAGTTCAAACATACTTGGCCCCCCTTTAGTTACGCCAATGAACAATCATAAATTTAAAAAAAAAGTATATGATTAAATATTTGTAATATTTTTGAATTATCAATATTCAAAAAAGTATTGTTGAAAACCCCTGCTATGTACATACTATTAGCAGTAGCGAGGCGTTAGGCTTAATGTGGGATAACCGATAAAAACAAATATTATACATCACATTATCTCCTTAAACGTTTTGCCACTGAATATTAGTAACATTCTGACTCGGTATATTATAATTCTAATTTTTTTTTTAGAGTAATGAATTCTGGAAGAATGAATGTATTTTTTCAAAGGCAATTTAATGTAGCTGTAAAATTATTAGGTAATATCCTTTGTTGGCATCACATAATTGAAGATGCAGTGCTTATAGATCTAGCAATTAATCAAATATTAAATAGATATTTGCTTATGTCTATAAGAACACTTCAGCCCTTAGAAGCAATACTTAAAGTTACCATGGTTTGTAATTTCAAAATATGTTTGTCATTATTTTTAGCTATAAACAATTTAAATCATTATTTTAATTTCGTAGGTTGCCAAACTCTTACCTATATCATGGCTATCGTATGGAAATGCTACGCCTAAAGAATTAACATCATTTTTAAATCAATCAAAGTTGGTGGCTATCGAAATAGATAAATCTCAACCACAAGCAAAGTGAGTCTAAAAATTAATTAATAAATTTGAAATCTAATTATATATTATGATGTATAAAACAATTAAATATTATTATTTAGGCTTGCACTGGACAAACTGAATGAGGTGTTGAAATTGTGATATATTTTTGTCTTGTATCATCACGCATAATGTCATATTGCCCAGCCGTTGTACTACACCAGTTGTATTTAATTATAAAATTCATTAAATTAATTTGATGTTTTCATTTTAGTAATGTTCTACTAATATGAAATAAAAAAAATTTAAAACATACAAAGAATTTACTTTTATGAAAAAACAGTATAAATATTGAATTAAATCAATGCTTATATGGAACCTAACCCAAAATGACTTTATACTATATAAACATAATTTTTTAAATCTTGTTTTTTTAATTTTTCATTGCCTTTGATTCCAAAAGCTTTTTTTGTTGTAACGAGAATCATATGGTTTCATGATAAGTATCCATCACTTAAAAGGACACGTTGTGATGCCATCGAACAACAGCACTTGTAGTCTAGGAATATGCAACGATGCAAGACCCTTAACGTTGTAGCCAGCTGCACCAGTTTGACTACACCGAGTCCCTAACTTAATTAACTTGAACTTTGAATAGCATTTTATATTAATAGTTAACTAAAACTGTTGTTATTATTATTGGTTTTAAACAAAATCAAATATGTTTAGAACTAGGTTTTTTTCCCCCGTGTTGTTCGCCTTATGAAACAAATTAACTATAAATTATTATCTATGAATATGAATAGTAGGTATAAATATTGATATAAAATATATCCAGCATGGTGGTGTTTTTATGATCCTTTCTTGGAGTTATTGAAGTAAAAAAATATTTTAACATGTGCCTTTAAAGATGTGATATCATATATGGCTTATGGGAACTAAATGAATACATCAATTTAATCTAAATAATGTACACCTGTACAAAATGAATACATATTTTTTGATGCAGAAACCGACATTCTTTATGTGGAATTTTAATTCAGTGAGTTCGTTTTAATTATGTCACCTGTTTTTATAATTAGACAAACTTGTGACAGGAAGACCGGCGAGTTGCCTTAAGTGTTTTGAGCATAACGTTGAGATCAGATTCATCAGGGTTTCTTTATACTTGTTGTCAGGAAACCTAATAAAATACATTATTACCTATGAGAAACGAGCAGAGGCGTGCACTAATTGAATAAAACTTCTATCTTAATAACCATCTAGATAAAACGTTCAATCGAATAAGTAGTGGAAAAATCATTCAAATGACGTTTTAACGGAATAGGAATTTGCACAAATCTTGAAGCGAGGAAAACCTAGTCAGGTAATTTAAATCTAATATTATATTATTTTGTAACGATTCGTGTGAATTGTTTATAATTTCTGACGATATATAACTTACAAGTAGGACTAGTATGAACTACATTGAAAATGATCGCTAGCCAAAAATTTGGTTATAAAAAACACTCATGGATCAAGTATTTGATATAATATTAAAATATTAAGGATCTATAATCCACATGAATGTTCTAATAAAAAAAAAAAATCAAAGTCGACTGAAAAATGCGCATTCGTTTTGAACGTTCAAGTGGTTTCTGAGATGAGACCTTTTTCTAATAAACTGTTTTTTAGTTTTGTGGCAGGCTGGGCTTTTTCCATGAAATTACCGAGACAAACATTTATTTTGAATATTATATACAAATTACAATGCACGTGCACCAAATTGGTTTTCAGTTTATTCAATTAAATTGTTATTTATTTGTTTTAAACATTACAGTCGGTTATAATGTTACTAACAAAATTCACGAGAAAGTACTTTAGTGTTAAACTATAAAGGTCTGAAATTTTAGGATTTTCTTGTTTGATAGGCGACCATCAAACGGAGAAGTACAAACAAAAAAATGAAGAAAATTGAAAACTCTTGTAGACTTTGTTTTGTTTTTCTAGACTTTAAGGATGAGTAAACTTTTTCAACTTTTAACCCCCCGAAGTACTAACTAGATAAAATTTGTGATTTATAGTGTTGCTACTCGAAGGAATCGTAACAAACACATAAAAAGCACACATCATAATGTAACTAATGGCCTCTCAACTCCACAACGAAATAAATAAAATACGATATAAACACAATTATCAATGTAATATTATACAAAATCGATTCCTACAATACCCTAGAAAAATAGCAGGTTAACTTAAATATGTTTACAGAATTGAAATCAAACCAGCCTGATTTGGCATAGTTATGTCAGGCTTTTAGGTCTAAATCATCCAAACGAAAAAACATACCACTTCAATACCATTAAAGTGGGTCAAAAGATATTCACTGGATTTAAACTTATAATTCTTACAACAGTTTTCTGCTACCATGTCTCATAGGTACTTTTGTATTGCACGGTTATCAGTCCACACACATCCATCAAGATTGTCAATTATATTATCTTCACTAATGATTTTCCCTTTAGTTGAATGATTAAATATCAGATTGGTAAACATCAATCGTATAACCACTAACCAGCAACCTCTATTTCTTTCTGTATATACAGAAAAGTTAATTTTGAAGTTTGTAGAAAATAGGTTAAATTTTTTGTGTAAACTTGAGCTATTAAGACAGTATAGTAGATACGTTATTTGTTTTAATCAAATACATATTATTGTTTTCAAGTAACAGTATTTTTTGTTTCTAAAAACGTTTTTCCGTTAGAATAAAAAATAAAAATACAATTTTACATATTATACACTATTCTTTAGTTATATCTTAGTTAAGTCTAATTTTAATTCCTAAAACTACAGTTGAAAAAACAATTAAAGAATATGTTGCTGCCACTTTTACGAAAAAATATTAACCCGTTGACGGTCATGACTGCTATAGCATGTTGCATGCTATTGACACAGCTACTTACAATTAGTTCGGTTTTTAATTTAGGAAAAAAATGTATCTAAAGTGTAACAACTAACCCTACTCTCCTCTATAATAAATTCAAATGAGCTGCTTAATTTTATCATAATTTTGAAACGAGTAGATTATATTCCGCAAATTTTGAGGCAGAAATACACCCAAAATTTTAGCTAGTCAAAAATTAAAAAGAAAACGGTATTATAATGAGTTATATTAACCATGATTATTGATTGACACTTATTAGACGATGATAAATATATCTCAATGTATAACAATCTTTGAGTACTAAGCAGATAACGTTCATTTAGAAAACCAAATTCCTTCAAGTACATGTTGTACTTAACAATGCTATTGCAATACCTATTGAAAAGTTTGTCAAATTTGTCCCTTTCTAAATTACTAACAAAATTATAGTAATTTTTCTTTTTTCTTATATTTAAAAATAATGTTGTACAAAATATAAGTAATCGGTGTTTATTTGAAAGGAACAGCGATTTTGGATTCATTTTTCGTTAAGACATATTGTATCTTGAAAAATTGTTTTAATTACATCTTAAGATAGTTTAAAACATTAAAAAAAAAATATATATATATATATATTTATATACATATGTTTTCTATACTCTTATTAAAATACTATCCAATCAGCTAATTTTCGTCCATAAATATTCATTCATTCTCCATTCTTTAATTTCATTACTGCTTTCTTTCTTTCTTACGAGTTTGCTCGTCTCTACGAATCGTTTCCATCTCTTTTTGTCTCCTTAATATTGATGCTTCTTTCCTTTCTTGAGCGAGTTTTTTAACGGATACACCCAATTTACTACAATAGCCTCGAAAAACTTTACTAAATATTGGTAAATCTATCCAACCTAAAACAAAACGAAAATTTTGAATTTAAATATAAAATATAACATCATTTATTATAGAGACACGGTGGGTGCAGTTTTCGATGAAGCAATTTATTTTAGCTTCGATGTGCAGCTGAAAAAATATTGTTTTTATTTGTCTAATTTTATGTTGGGACTAAGGGGTGGTAACTTATTTTTCATTTTACTTTTTTGAGGGTACTTTTGGGTTTCACCAATTTTAATAGTATACTACATATGAGGTGCTCAGAAGTCAAACTGATTAACTCCATAAAATTACATTTTTCAGGACAGGCATTTAATGTTATTTGAAACAATATATGTAAGTACAATTGCCAATGTACTTAGCGCACTCTAGTGGTGAAAAATTCAACTACGGAGTTTTCTTGGCCACTGAAAATTATACACTTTTGTAATCCAACCATGCTATTATTCGCAATTTGAAAAAAGTGGAGTTAATCGGTTTGGCTTCTGAGCGCTTCATATATGTTATTTTTTTTTTGTCACTTTTACATCTACTAAACTGTAATTGTTAAACAGTTTTAAGACTTATACATTGTCTGACAACATCACATAATTTGGAAGCCGTGTTGTTAAAAAAAATAAAGGTTACTTATTGTAATTTTTGTAAATGCGAATGAAAAAAACTTTTTTAAAACCAACTTTTTTACAGTTTTGCATCGAAAATAAAAAAAAAAATTGTTTAATGATAAGTAACGTGGGCATCTAGTTAATATTTACGTTCTGATGCGAATGCTCCTGGAAATTTAAAACTCTTTAAGTAATTCGTAATGCTATAATGATCGTCTTCAATATATGTTGAGTTTATCATATAATTGCAAAATTGATAGTCTGAAATGTTAATAAGTGAAAGTCCGTCGCGATTGACCCATTCTCTACAATCTTCGTACAAATCATTTATTATCTGAAAATTATCGATCACTACAAATTTTAATTCCATAAAATATTATAAAATTAAAATACTAGTGTACTAAAATATACGAATAACCATTGAGAATATATACTCAACGGTAAGAGCCAGTTATTAACAAAGTTATAATACAACACAAATATACTTTAGCGGTTAAAATGAAAAAAAAAAAATTATTATAAGTTTTAATGTTTTAGTAACCAAATTAAAAAATAATATAAATATTAATCTAGACGTTATTTCATTATTTTCTTTACAACACAAGACGTATGACAATAATTTTATTTGTAAGTCTTTAGATTAAAAAAATAATATTTTCCTAATCAAAGTGTGATAGTACTTAATATTAAGTAATTAACAAAGTAGTAAAAATGTATACATTTTTAGGACGAAAATACAATTTCAGGTGAAATAATTGTTATAATAAATAAATTTAACTAAAATGATTAAGTTGAGAATTTAACTTTAATCTTATACAAGGTGATTGTTTTATCACGAACCAGTTAATATCTCACTGAATTTAATTAATAATTGAATTTTTTTTTTTTTCATTTAGTTTTTATACAATGTGATTTCAAATTTTCACAATTTTTTTTGTTTTTACCCCCTTCCAACTTAAAAGTTTAAAAGTTAGGATGGGAGGGGAAGTGCGGTTTGGAAATGCGTACAGCTAAAAATAATACTACACTCCACTTGCCTTGTTATCATTTCGTATACGAAATATCATTGCGTCTTTCCTTTCTTGAGCGAATTTTTCAACGGAAACATCCAATTTAATACAATAGTCTTTAAAAACTTTACTAAATTTTGGTAAATCTATCCAACCTAAAACAAAACGAAAATTTTGAATTTAATTATAAAATATAATGTCTTTTATTATAGGGACATGATGTGGTGCAGGTTTGATGTGTTTTTATTTGTCTCAATTTATGTCTGGACTAACCGGCGGTATCCTTCTTTTTTCATTTCAATTTTTTTAACTTACTTTTGGATTCTTTTAATAGTTTATTATATATATGTTTTTTATGGTCACTTTTTACATCTTCCGGACGGTCATTTTTAAGACATATACAATGTTTGATAACATCACATCATTTATAGGCGGTGTTGTTAAAAAAAAAATAGGATACATATTTTAATTTTTGTAAATGCGAATGAAAATAATTTCCTTAAAACTAACTTTTTTACAGTTTCACATCGAAAGTAAAATTAAAATATTATTTAATGATAAGTAACGTGCGTAGTTATTATTTACTTGATTCTGATGATTCTGAAGACCCAAAACTTATTGCGTAGTTTTTAAAGGTTTCTAAAGTTTCCTCGTCTTCTTCTACCATGTACAAGCTAAATTGATAAATTGAAATTAATTTTGGTATCCATCTTTGGTCTTGGTAGGCCCATTCATTACACATATTGAACGCATCTTCTATAATCTGAAATTTTTTGATCATTATAAAGTTTAATTCCATAAGAAATTATAAAATTTAAATATATCATATACTCAAATATACGTATAACCATTGAGTATATATACTCAATGGTGTAACTTACGTGCTAATAATTAAGAAGCAACAAAAAAATGTATACTTTTTTTAAATTAATTTTAAATAAAAGAACAAATCCAATTTCTAAATTTTTTATTGATTTGGAGAGGAATGTAATTTTTTAATTTACGATTTTTTTTACTAAAAATATAACAAAATTTCCATTACACGAATTCTAAAAAAAAATTTAATCCTAAATAATGTTTGTAATTAAAAAAAAAAAAAAATTTGCATTATTTTATTACCCAAACTAACAACTAAAAATGATGTTAAAAATTATTTTAATGATTGCTATAATTTAACACAAATAATATACTTCAGCGGTTGAAATTTTTTTTATAAGTCTTTTAATGTCTTAGGAACCAAATAAATATTAATCCAGTTATTATTTTGTAATTTTTTATACAAAACCATACGTATACTTTAATTAATTGGACTAAATTGTTTATTACTTTCGGATTTACAGATACCAATAATTAATTATTAAATCAAAGAGTGATAATTATATTTAATAATAAGTAGTAAAAATGTACACATTTTTAGGACCAAAATACAGTTTCAGGTGAAACATTTGTTATAATAATTTAATTTAACTCGTAATTTAAATGATTAAGTTACGATTTTAACTTTAACTTTATACAACAATATCAAAAATATTGACAAGAATGTTATTTGTAAGTCTTTAAACTAAAATAATATTATTTTTCTAGATAAGAATGGCTATTTAGGAAAACTTTTACCTTTATGTTATAAATAATTCAAACATTAACCAAAATATGAATAATAACCTAATAGTTTTAAAATAATAGTATTAATTACCTCATCATCAGATTTTCCAAATATTTGTATGTTTTGGAACTAAAATGATCATAATTTCTTGATAAGAATGTCTCTTTTGGAAAACTTTTTACTTTATATTATAAATAATTCAGCAAAATATTCCAAAAAACCTAATAGTTTCAAATGAATAGTATAATTACCTTAGCTACTATTTCCAGTTCAGGATTAGCTGAACTTGAAGCTTCAGGTAGCTCCAAATCCATGTAGCTAGCCTCTAGGATATAAAAAAGTAACAAAATAGAGAACAATAAAAACATTGTGCTGTTCTATGAAGTATAAACTAGAGTTAAACTGTTAGACAAAACTTATTATTATTATCATTATTTATTTTGAAAATTTGCCAAACCAAACAAACACATCGATGTTATTAACAAAGAGGTGTGTAACTGTTCTTTTTAATTTTACAAAAAATAGGTTAGAAATTGTGTATTGCAACACTATTACAAATTTTCAACTTGTATCATTATTTCGCTCGAATCTGATTTTTGCTTATTCGTGAGCACTGATTTTACTTGCTTAGAAAATTGATGGTTATATAGTATTATACCATAGGTTTAGAGTGTTTTCGAATCAGAGGGTCTAGTACTGACGATTCGGTAAACTACCGAATTTCTAATTACCGAAATCCTTTTTACCGAACTCGGTAATCGTTTCCGAATTTCAATAGTACTGACTCGGTAACAATACCTGATAACCGTTTTTTTGCCGAAAAAAACCCACATTTTACCGAAAAGTCCCATATTACAAAGACCCGGTCATTAAAAAAAATATATATATAGCTATTAACGGTTGTACAAGGTGTCTTTGTAAGAATCGATTGGCCATATATTTAAAAAAAAACAATTATAGCGAGTGTTATTTATTCCTGATTATCGGTGACAATTATATCGATGGGAGACCAATATTATTATCATTTAATGGCAAATAGAAGCGCTACTGTTGTAAAAACCGAACAAATATTGATTTTAAACTCAAATTCTTACGAAGTCATAGCAAACAAACAAATAGATAAAAATTATAAATAAAATCGCTTAGCAAATTTCAATGCTAAGGTTTTTTAGTCTAGATGGGAAACGTAAGGTACTCATACTCTGATGTTTTATTTTAACGGTGACTTGGCGCCGACCACCTGACGTTAAGACCTATTGAAAAAAGTTGGGAGAGGGGATTGTTATTGTAATTTATTATATTCAGGGACACCATACATAGACTAATATTACACAACTAAGTATGTCGGTTAAATAACTTATACTTTACCGAATTCGGTAAGAGGAACCGAACTATTTTTCGGTAATTTTTGTCAGTACTAGCAAAATTCGGTAATTTCTTTTTACCGAACCTAATTTCGTTGCCGAATCGTCAGTACTAGACCCCCAGATATACTTTTTTAGGATTTGTATACACAAATGTGTCACTATGTTGTTATTTCTATTGCGCTACATCATTTGACTATTTACAAAACAAATATGAATGGGTTGAAGCTTTCACGGGTTGAAATATTACGTGGATGACTTTCATATGTACCTTTGTCAACACGAGGATAATAATAACCTTTTTTTCTACTGGATCTATATACTGGAATAGCAGCTATATAAATCGGAAATCGAATGCGATTGGAACTTTGGTTGGCCAAACGTCGATAAAGTCAACTTTTTCCCCCCGAAACCGGTAAAAAAAAATTTGTCGGTTATCCAACTTTCAAAATTAACTTGCTATAACTTAGCGAAAACGGTCGAAAGTAGTCAACAATTTTATCGATTATTTATTAGGCGTTTAAAAATCTCAGATACATTTTTTCGACACGCTGCTTTAACCTTCTTTTTAAGCGCAGAAAGCACACGAATCTCAAAAAAGTAAAAAAATCATCTGGAAATGACACTGTATTTATGCCTAACATTTTAATAAAATAAATTATATAATTGACTGCATAATAAAATAATAGGTTATTTTGAACAATGCCCAGATCTGTTTCAGGTAACATATTTAGGTTTTTATAACATTTTTTAGGTTTCATATTAGAATTAAATTTGTTTTAAACGTTTTCTTTCTAACCAACAACTAAATTCTATATAAATACCTCTTCCCGATGAATGATTTAAGCCACATCTGAAAAGTTAACATTTATTTTAAAAATTATATTTTAAATACCATATTCTAGGTTTGATTACATTTTTTATACAATTTTAAGCCAGAAATAATGTTTAAAAAAATACTTACGAAACATATGCTGCTAGACTAAGTAAAATTATAATCTTGATATTCATCATATTTAATATGATACTGGTATAATATTCAACTGTAACGATGTACTTGTCAAACTCGACTGCAAAATCACACTGTGTGTTACTACAGTAATTTTAAGACAAAATAGACTATTCTACAACTGATTGACATGGTTCATTTCAAGTTTAGTTTATAGGATTTGTATACACACATGTGTTAATACGTTTTCGTTTCTACCGCGCTATACTATTGAAAAATGTAGAAAAATATGTACCTACAAGTATGGGGGAAAAAACCATTTTAATATTAAAAGTAATTAATTAAAACTGTTATACCAATATTCCAAGGTATATCCGAAACATTTATCCTGCGCTGTTTCGCCAATGTGGGGGGTCATGCTTTTAGAAGTTTATATATATTTTTTTTATGTTATGTTGGTGGTTTTTCTCGTGATACCGAATATATTTTAAACGTTTCTGAAAAACCCATAAGCATTGATGATCTTTTAGAACCGCGGTTGTGTTGAAAAGGCTATAAATTATTTAGTCGCCATAAAAATGAAAAACAATATAATAATTATTATATGGCTTCGTTAGTCACTGCCGTTGGACGGAATAAATAAAACTAATACTAAACAATTGTCCTATTTTTTCCTTCAGTGGTTGTACAGTTTTAATATTTTGATGGAATTAAAAAAATGTATTACACGATGTACATCTTTTTTTTTATATTTTAGATAAATAATTTTATATTTTTGTAAATTAAAACGAGAAAAAAAAATAGTTTTAACAATTATTAAAAACGAAGCTAACGACAAACCGACGTTCAACTAAAACCTATTAATTCAACAGTGGATATTTATATAAAAATTATAATAACCCAATTTATCTAACTAATTGATTTAAAGTCTTTCAAATGCTTTACGGTTATTGTAGAAATCTAATTTTTTTTAAATATTTCAAAAGGCTTCGGAACTTTTGATTGACGTTATAAACTTCAAAGTTCAGTCAAATTCTCTTTTACCAAAAAAATAGCTTAACAAGCATAACTAAATTAATATGCAGGTTGCTATTAGAGATTCCAAACCCCCCCCCCCCTAAATCCTGTTACCCAAGGGCGGAAAAATCACAATGACCTTGAAATATCATTGTATGGTAGAAAATAAAAAAATGATTCACATAGGTGGTTCTATCATAACTTAAAATCGTCAACAAGTCATGTTGGCCTTGAAATTCTAAAGACCATGAGTATTTGTCGTACACCGTTATTGAAATGCAAGTTTAACATGGGTATCTAAAAAATAGACAGTCTTTTGGCTTTGCATAATATTTTTAACACAAACGAGCATTGTATTTTATTTATGCAAACAGTGCAAAATCTAAACGCACATCGAATCACACAAGTATTTTCTAAAGTAAAAGAATTATGTTTTCGAGTAAACGCTTAGGCAAGAATTCAGTAAACAATAATTTAATAAAAAAAACCAGTACGCACGGATGAAGTGAAACTTCTTCCAGAGTCATTCAACTGACTGGCCAGACTGTAATTTTTAATCACATATAATGAATTCCAATAAGAGTTTCCAAAAATTATTCAGTTTTTTATTGATTGGGTAATCTGGTAAAAACGTCTTACGTATTTTTTGTTATTCCATTCTTTATACCATGGAGTTCATTAAAAATATGTTCATAATACAACTTGTTCGAACAATTTAATCTAATTACATTTAAAAAATGCAATTGATCACCAATTATTTGAATAAAAATCCACCGTCAGTTGTTCCCACACGTTACCGAACACAAAATTACATTTGAAAACGCGATATCTATATATATATATATATACAGGATGATACATTAATACACAAACTGAAGTGTCTCCAATCACCAAAACTACAAGAATTACAGGGTTTTAGTAGGAAATTCGAATGTTTTACAACGATATATTATTTTGTTTTCATTATCGATGAGCAAAAAGTAGTCAAAGTAAACGAATATAGCCAAATAACGGCTGAAAAAGTTTAGTACTTTTTCTGGGGGTCTAAAAAGGTGGACTTTTTAAACTAAAATGCAAACTAATACGCTTGATTTTCTATTTAAATAAAGAATATTTTGCTGATAATACAGAGCAATCTTTAGCAATTGATATTTTGATTATTTTTTATGCTAACTACTAAAAGTAACTATAATTATGTAAAATATTGAAATTTGTCATAAGCAGTCGAACAAATAAACGGTGGCCTTTGTTGACAGTTGTTAAAGTATACTTATGATGTGAGTCTTTTTTTTTTTTTTGCGATTCAGCTGCTACGGCTGACGATACACAAATACAAATTTATACGTCTTGGGACAAAATATATATTATAGGCAAATTGTGAAATGTAGTGCCTAAATTTTTTTTTTATGTAACTAACTAAAAGTTGTAACAGTAAATCATTAAAAAGCTCTCTTAATTGTAATTTAATACATAAAAAAAGGTAAAAGAAATAAGTAAAAAAATTCAAAAATATGGAAAAATGCTAAACAATTAAAAATCGTCATTAGCAGTTACAATTTATTACATTTTTTAATATAATTTGATCATCTCCAGAAAATATTTATGTCAACTGATTGTATAACGATATAAACGCAGAACATTGTTGTGTCGCTTTTGACTTATTGACTTCGAATAATAGTTTCTGAAAAACTTTTAGTGATTAAACTATTCTTATTATCGTCATACTGGTTAAATTTGAATTGCCAATTTTCTATAACATCCTCACTCGCTACATTAGTATAACATTAAGTTATAATTTAAATTTCATGATAACTAGTACCGTAATTTGGGTAAAAGGTGGAGTGGGCATAAATAGCTATCACCTAAATTTCTGGTGTCTGGCTGAGATTTTACTAAGTAGCTTAAAATTAAAACAACAAGCATCTGGTAGCAAAAATAATTGCAAAGTATTATAATTAATTATTTAGGGGTAGGTGTAATCTTTAAATTGAATTTCCTCAAAAACATGATTCGTACTAATTGTATGCAATAATTATGGGCTAATTTTAAGTATCTTATTGCCTTCACAGTGCTTTTATCAATACATATTTCATAGTTCTACTAAATAAAATATACTATCGGCGCAAAATGTCACATTAACAATTTTATGCCTTTTTTATGAAATTGTTTAACGTTCAAATTAGAACTAAATAATAAATTCAAAACAGTTTAAGAGCCCAAATTCTCTATGAATTGTTTTAAGCCAAATATTAAACACTACAATATTAGCCAGAAACTTGATGTTTGAATTAATATACTAGCTTGTTACTTTTTCTTAATATAATATATCATTATTTAAAATTCCACCACTACTCTAAATGTATTCGGTACTTCAACGAGACATGTAAATGCTCTTTCGTGGTTGCAGACTCGGCAAATCAATAAAAACTTTTTTTATTAGTACAACTCAGTACATTTTTAAGACACGCGGTTCTAACTACTGGCGTTTAAAAGAATATGAAAAGACTTTCGAGATCGATTATAGCTATAGTAAATTTTTTACTTATTAAAAAAAAAAAGTTGTGTTTACTTAGTATACCATAAGTTTTTTCTAGAAAGGGGCACATAAAACTTACTTAAAAATCTGTAGTGAAGCTTTGTTTTATTAGGGAAAAACCAAACTAAAGGGGGGGAATTACGATGTTATGGTAGTAGGTTTGTAGGTTGCAATGAGTAAGGGTAAATCAAAAGTCAACAGCTGGTATCTGAAATATATTTGCATTATGGTGTAGGTTTTTTTTTGTCTGTATAGACTGCTACTTTTTTGGGGGTGCAAAGTATTTTGTGTTTTTAGCCGTAATTATAAGACCTATTAGTTGAAAACATTTTTCAGCAGTCAGAACTCATAATATTATTACATCGAATCCTTCGAATATTCAAATAGTAATAATAATTAATTTACAAATAGTTTTTTTTCTATTATTCGAATATCCGAATAATTATTGGAATATTGGAATATTCGAATCTTTAAAAATTAGGTATTCGAACCCGAATATTCGAATCCAAATTACAACACTACTGACTAGAGACGTGGGCATCAACAGCGCCCTGTACCGGCTGTAGCACGGCGAAGATCATTAATCCCCGCCTAGCGCATTAATTTTGAGAAAATTGCAATTTTCAGATTTTTTCCTTTATCTACACTATAAGACCCACCATTGTTCCAAATTTCACGTTTCTACCTATACTGGAGGTGTCTTATAATTTTGATGATGAGTGAGTGAGTGAGTGAGTGAGTAACAAAAATGCAAATTTTGAAATCCTCCCATTTTGAAACGGCTGAATATTACGAGTTCTAATTTTTACAGTGTCCTAAGCTACATGAGTTTAATCTATGTTCCAAATTTCAAAAGCTTATCTTAAGAAGAAACAGAGTTATGTGGGTTAGAAAAACTGGGTGAATTGGTTCGTGTAAAGATACACTGGCATTGCTGGAACTTGGCCGGCGCACTGCCGTGCGCTCAGATAGTATAATATATAATAAATACATAATAATAGTATATTACATATATAGTAATATATGTAATAATATACTTATAAATATGAATGACTATGACGCTTATATAAGTTGTCAACAAACATGGATTCGGTGTACGTACTGTTCGTTTGCCGCATGTATGATCACAACAACGTGCAAACGGTTATTCAAATATATTTTGTTTTACAGCTTGAGTTTGAATGATGGCCTGGATTTTATTATATTATATGTTTTTTTGGAACGAAACTCTGGCAAACGCTTGCATAAAATCTATACTATATCAAGGTCAAATAAACCAACAGGCATTCGAAGTAGAGCCCTAACCAATTGCTAATTAGCTATTATATTGGTGTAAAATGTTATTCTTCGTTAGAAGGATATCATTCTGAAAAATTTGTTTGGAAGGGCGTTAAAAAAAACTGGAACATGTTATCAAAACTAGCTCTTCTGCTTCACTTAACCTCTTCCAGATGTCAATAAAATTGAATATCTTACATCCTTGAGATTAACTATTGATGGCAATAAGATAATTTTTTCATGGTGCCCTACCGTATGTCTGAAATTGAAAATTTTCATCTGAATTTAGT